AAACCAGCAAGAAGATCTGGGAGAAATACTGAAAACTTCATGAGCAATTTCTGTTCAGCCTCTTGTACTGTGTGTCCTGTTCACCAACACTAAAGATGAATTAGGAACAGTGTAAGCAAAATAATAGGGCATCCTGTTTGCATTTGTTTGGAAGTATGAATCTGTTGAATTCAGCAGGGTTTACACCTAGTTTAATGGGAACAGAAGGGGTTCAGGGAAGCCTCAGTGAACTTGGCAGGTAAGCAGGATTTAGTTTGTGGTTTCCTGCACCATGATCCAACATTTCAGCCACTGCATGCTACTGGATCTCCATGGCTGTGCTGTTTACCTACTTTTGTTCATGTTGTTTTAAGAGTAAGACCTCACATCCTTAATTTGAGCCAGACTTTTCTATACTATGTGTGGCAGCATCCAACTTAGATGGCAAAATCAGAATGCAATTTTTATTGCAGCTGGCAATTTAAGACAATGTGAAAATCTCATTTCAGCATGATTCCTAAATACTACCATCATGTTCTTGCCTTTGTTTTTGCCATTCATGAGATTAATAAGGATGTTGAATTGTTACCCAACACCACTTTGGGATCTGAAATTAATGACAATTCTTTTGATCCAATGCAAGCCTGTGGGAACACTCTGCATCTTCTCTTTATGGGACAAGGGGACCTCCCCAATTATAGCTGTGGCAGGAAAGACAAATTAAGGGCTGTTATTGGTGATCTCACTTCCCCAAACTCCATCCAGATAGCAAATCTTCTCAGAACCTACAAGATACCACAGGTAAGTAGATTTTAACCTTAAATGAAACCATAATGGCAGTGCTTACACTTATGTGTGTCCCACATAAAACTTACTCATTGCAAATGCCCCATTGAACCCCCTGAGCCCATAACTAGTTACATGGCCAGTTTGTCCTGATGCTTCCAGGACAAGAAAACGCAAGGTTGAAAATTGCTGTATATGTCTACTCAGAAGCAACACCCTCCAAGTGTGTTGGAATTTGCTCTCATGACTATGGGTTTGCAGATACGACTGTTAGAAATCAAAACATTTGCTCTGAGGCCCTAGTCAGTGAAATCAAGGTTTTTACCTTGACAGACCTTTGGTTAAATTTATTCTGTTTGTGAAGAAAGGGTTTATTTGCTCAGATTAAAGAACATGTTAATATCTTTCCCATTAGCTCAGTTTTGGTTCCTTTGATCCAGTGCTGAGAGACAAAAATCAGTTCCCCTCTTTCTATCAGATGGCCCCCAATGAAGATCCTCAATATATTGGGATTGTGCAGCTTCTCAAGCATTTTGGATGGAATTGGATTGGCCTCTTTGTTTCAGATAATGATAGTGGAGAAACTTTTCTTCACACACTGAGACCAAGGCTTCTGCAAAGTAAGATCTGTATTGCTTGGACACAGGTGATCCCAGAACTGACGATAGCTTCAATACATGAAGGACCTGAGAAAAAATTAAGGCCAATTGAATCAATTCTCTCACTGAGTGAAATCAATGTGATTCTTGTCTATGGAGACAATCAAGCTCTGGAGGGCTTACGGCTATTTCTATTCATAAGTGAAGTTGCTAATATGTACCCTGTAGAAAGGGTGTGGATCACAACAGTTGAATGGGATTACACTGCTGTATTCTACAAAGAAAGGTTTACCCCAAGATCCTTCAACGGTTCCTTATCATTCATTCTTCATACAAATGAGGTGCCAGGATTTCAGGACTTTCTTGAAAAAATAAATCCATATGAATCCAATCTGTATGACATACATAATTTCTGGATATCCATATTTCTCTGTTCATTCACACAGTATCATGTGCACAGTGAGGAAAACTGCACAGGGAAAGAGAAACTGGGGAGTCTTCCTGAATCTGTGTTTGAAATGAGTATGTCTGGCCAAAGCTACAATGTGTACAATGCTGTCTATGCTGTTGCACATGCTCTCCATGCCATGGATTTATCGAGAGCCAAACAGAAGTCAAGAAGAGTGGAAGGCAACCAATGGAACCAGCATAAAGTTCAAGCATGGGAGGTAATCACAGTTACAAACACCTCAAAGAACATCACAAAATAAGACAGAACCATATCAAATAATAATAATAGAAGAAATAAACCTCTACCATTAAATGTGTCAGCATATGAACTTCAAAACCTGAAGTTACTGAAAATGCAAAATGCACTTCTTTCTGGAATAGTGACAAAGGAGAAGATCTTGATTAGGCTCAGTATCCTGGTCAACATGGGTAGGCAACTATCGCGGGGCCAGAAATGTGAAAGGGCACAGCCCTTACTCATTGCATTCTTCTCCTCACTCACCTGTGTGTCCTTCTCTGGCAGAAAGAATGGTCAAACCTGCAGGACTTGTGGCATCCCATTTGCTGTTGCTGATGATGCTTTAAATTTTAAGGAGCAAACAGAACCAATAAATACTGCCTTTGCATGATTCACCAGTGAGAAACTACAGTGAGGCTCTTCTCTTTGGCCCATCATGACCATCAAGCAGTCTACACTGCAGAAGCAGGACTCATGCCTGAACCACAGCAGACAGGCTGGGGGAACTGATTAGACACCCTCACCTCCTTCTTCAATGGAGACCACTGGAACAGCTTAAAAAAAAATGATGCCGCTTGTAGAGTCATAAGAGCCCAGACATTGTGTTTGACACTTTCCTTAACGGGGGAAAGATCATCAGAAAAAGCTGCAAAAAGCTGTTGGGTGACGTGAAAGGGTTTCACTCAAAGTCAACGCCATGTGGACCCCTATACAATTTTGTATATGAGGCAGGGAAGGTGCCCAATAAAAGCTTTCTCTGGAATGTAGCACCCTTAGTGACACACATTAGCAATGTGCAAGGAAAGAACATTAACCACTCCAACCATCTGATCACCCTGTTTGGGCCAGAATATGCATTGCTTAGAAATATTTTTAACTAATATCACATTGTAACCCCTTTCTTTTTATTCTCCAACACAGCTTCACCCTTTTCTGAGAACAATTCGCTTTAATAACACTGCTGGGGAAGAAATATCCTTTAATGCAAATGGGGATCTAGAAGGTGGATATGATCTCATCAATTTAGTTACTTTCCCCAACGATTCTTTCCGGAGAATACAAATTGGAAGGATCGATCCAGGGCTTACTACAGAGCATGGCTTCACCATTAATGGAAGTGCTGTGGTATGGAACCACAAGTTTAATCAGGTGGGAATAATTCTTTTTATTTTTGTCACTGTCTCATATGAATTTTATTATAAGCACATTCTGGATACTGAGATGGTTGATACTTGTTGAGATTATGCTGGACATGTCTGCTATTTATTAGTTAATAGCAGCATAAATCAATTTATTTATCAGGGTAGCTAGACTACTCATTTATGATGGAGGTAATCCTTTTTCAAATCACACTGTTATTTTCCCTCCATCTTTTTACAACATACTCATCAGATATTCTCAAGAAACTTCCTAGTAGGTATAGAGGAAAGGTTTTTGCATTGGACAAAAAGACTAACAGAAATCATTGCTCTTAATTGACAAATTCCAATATTCAAGCCAAACTAAGGGATTGAAATACGACTTTCATCCTCTCTGTCCCACACTAGCCCTTTGGCCTGCTTGGCTTGGCTCAACTTACAGCTTGAGACTGGTATCAATTCTAGTAGACATGTGCAGTGTGAGAGTCAGCTAATTATTCTTCTATCTTTAAAAAAAATAATATTAAGAAAATATAGAATGAAAGTACCTACAAAATCACTCAATATCACTTGGTTCAATTCTGGAGTTTTACAAAAATATTGTTAACTATTATTTATGGAATAGTAAAGTATGAATTCAGATTGTTTCCCACACCATGGTTTTTTGTCCAATCAATAATAAAAATACTCAATTTTTATTTCTTTTTTTTTTTTTACACATTTTGGACTCTGATGTCTGCCACTGATTTTTAAGAACTGTACTAATTGCCAAGACTTAGCTATTATTTCTTCATTTTTCCTGTTCTTAGCAAGGATCAACTTCGCTACCTCAGAAAGCATTGGTTTATCTTGTTCTGATATACAAGAATGGAAAAACTCTAACATTGCTTTAGTTTTAAACATTGCTTAAAGGCTCAGAAGAAGGTAAACTCAATTCAGGTGCAACACTACATTAAGATAGAAAAAGCCCTACAACACCCAGCATTCCTCAAGTCAGTCTTGTGGGCTGGGGCACACTGGTCACACTAAGAATTTTCAGTCAAAACATGCAATCACATCCTTCCTCTGGTCTGTATGTCTCTAGCTATTCTGAGGTACTTATTCACAATTGATGCTGTAATCCAATGCCTGTGGCACAGCTGAGAATTTCAGTGGGAGTGGCAGGACTCCCTTACTTTTGCAGGAAGTATTATCTGCCTACAGGACTGTGATGAGCAAAGATAATTTTGAAGAGACATCAAAGCAGTAGGGGGATCTTGTTTGTGAAGTTCAGAAGCCTGTTTGTGCAAGTGCACACAGAGGTTCTGAGCTTATAATGTCTTCAATAGAGACTAAGCAGCTAAAATAGTTTGGGTTCCTTCTTTGGAAGTGGTATCTGCACTTGGTCAAAAACAGAGAACAGAAGCTAAATTAGGGCCATTTGCTTCCTTCTGGTTACCATTAGATGCTGCCCAGTTCCACCTGTGTCAAGAGCTGCAACCCTGGACAGAGCATGTTTGCCCAGCCAGGAAAGCAAGTGTGTTGCTATGATTGCATTCAGTGCCCCAAAGGGAGGATTTCAATCCACATGGGTAAGTGAAGGAATCTAGATAGACTTGGAAAATCATCCAAGTTTTCAATTCAGGTATAATGCTATACCTGTCAGGTTTTTCTATAGTACCACCAGCCTATCATTGCTCTTTCTTACACAGAGAACAATCTGGCAGAGGAAATATCACAGCTGTTGAAAAACTGCAAAATTAAATTAGAGGGGGTGAAAGTATTTCTATAATTTAGAAATCTGACATTTCAGATGCAGATCACTGTGAGATGTGCCTAGAAGATCAGTATCCAAACAGGAACCAGGACCAATGCATTCTGAAAGAAATTGCCTACCTTTCTTATGAGGAGCCCCTCGGAATTACTCTGGCTTCCTTGGCTCTTTTCCTTTCTGTTACTACATTTGTGGTGGCATGGAGTTTAATTCAGCACCACAATACTCCCATTGTCAAAGCCAACAACTGGAGCATCACATGCATTCTGCTTTTGTCCTTGTTGCTCTGCTTCCTCTGCTCCTTCTTGTTCATTGGGGGGCCTAGGAAGGCAACCTGCCTTCTGAGGCAATCCATCTTTGGCACTGTCTTCTCCACTGCTATTGTCTGTCTGTTAGCAAAAACCATCACAGTGGTGTTGGCCTTCATGGCCACTCAGCCAGGGAACACAATGAGGAAATGGATTGTTGGAAGGAGACCTACAGTAGCAGTGATTGCTCTCTCTCTTTTTATCAATGCTGTTATTTGTGTTGTCTGGCTAGTAACTTCCCCCCCTTTCCCAGAGTTTGACATGCACTCCCAGGTTGATAAAATCATAGCTCAATGCAATGAAGGCTCCCTCCTCATGTTCCACATAGTCCTGGGCTACATGGGGGTTTTGGCTATCACCAGCTTCACAGTGGCTTTCTTTGCTAGGAAGTTACCTGATACCTTTAATGAAGCCAAGCTGATCACTTTCAGCATGTTGGTCTTCTGCAGTGTGTGGGTGTCCTTTGTGCCCACCTACCTGAGCACCAAAGGGAAATATATGGTGGCTGTGGAAGTCTTCTCCATCTTGTCTTCTGGTGCTGGCTTGCTGGGTTGCATCTTCCTACCCAAGTTATACATTATTATGTTTAAGCCTGAGCTGAATACCCGAGAGCAGTTAGTCCAAAAAAAGGGTAGGTACAATTGACAAGGCAAGTGATGTCATCCTTAAGAACTGCAATACATTAACATTTGGCGAGGTTCATATGGACAACACAAGCTTTAAAATACTGTGTCCTAAATCATGTAGGACTTTATAGGCTACATTATATATATTATATATATGTAGGACTTTATAGGCTCATATAACAGCCTTCAAATTACTGACACAGAAAGAGACTGGTTGGTAAAGCCATTGTAACAATAGTCATAATCTCCCTAAAATTGGCCCAATTATATTCTGGCTACAGCCCTCTAGATCAACTCAAGTTCTAAGTTTTTCAAAGGCAGCTTTGCATTCCAGTAATCCAAATGAGATCTGTATCAAAGATTTGTGTCACCATGGCAAGATCTCAGATCACCATGAATTCAGCATAGTTGGCACTTTAGCCTATCCTTAGCTGTGTGAATGCATGCATTCTTGCAACTGCCAAAACATCCAAATCTAGGGCTCAGTCCAGGTGTATACCCAAACTGAGAATGAAAGAATGAAACATGTTATAGCAGTGGTAAGTATCATCTGCATTTTTAGTGTTTGACCACAAACTCTTGGCTTTGAATGCTTGATTACATGGGTGCCTTCTTTTCCCAAATGCTATACTACAATACTGAGATATTTAGAGACAGTTGCCTGAAAAAATCAATGTGTTTCTCCTGACAAATGGAAAGGTTTTGTTCTTGAGCCTTTTGCTTCCCTGGTGTTGCTGAAGTGAATCCACCTTCTGAAGTGTAGGCCATCATGTGTGTTTACAATATTAAGATGCGATGGAGTGGTTTGTCCGACAAGTGTTGGAAACATGACTTTGTATATTTCTCCTCTTCCACTTCTCCATGACCATCTTCTTAGATCTTGTTCATGCCCTTCCAGGTTCACAGTCAGGGTAGTGGGAGGGAAAGGCAACACAAACAGGTTTGCTCAGACCTTTCATCACACTGGATGCTTTTAAGGTACCAACCTGTATGTTAAATATACAAAGCACGCATATTGTTCATTGCATCTTTTGCAACAGCAGGAATGTATGGATTGCAAATAGCAGTCATGGTGGTCACGGTTGCACTACCACTATTGCTACAGCTAATTGATTGGGAGTAATCACTGCCACATGTTTTGGAAGGAAAAGGATAACAGGTTCACTTCTATAATACTGACATGAAGTCTCAAGTAACTGAATGATAAGACTCCCTGGAGAAGCTGGTGAGAGTGATGATAGCTATTACTCAGCTGGATGGATCACTGTTTATGCTTTATATTTCATTTATTAATTTAAACTACCTGTGTACTGCATGCTGTAGTAAAATGACTAATTTGCATAAAATACATTCTAAAAACCAATGCAAAATTGAACACAAAGTAGAAATGACATGCATATGGGAGGTAGTGTGCTTGCTCACTCCAGCATAGTCCTGACAATTCATGAGTTGAACAACCTAGCACTTCGCATTGTATAAAATGAGCTCACAATACCAAAGTAACAGAGATTAACATGAGGTTTGGAATTTATCTGTTTTTTACAACTTGAAAAGGTTTTTTTTCTTGCAAGTAAAACTGTAGGAAACTTTTAATCAATCCTTGAACACAATTTTGTAGATCCATCAGGATAAAATTACCATCCTATCAAAGGGGGTGGGGTTCCACTCTACAGAATACCTGTTTCCCATTCTTGACAGTGATGGCGAACCTTTTAGAGACCAAGTGCCCAAACTGCAACCCAAAACCCACTTATTTATTGCAAAGTACCTACACTGCAATCAAACATGAAAACTGAGGTTTTAATTTATAAAAAACAACTCACAGCCAGTCCAAGCAAATCCTTGGCAGCAAACTGACTGGCCATGTGAAAGCTCAGACGAGTCACAGCTAATGAGTTGCGGCTCGCAATGTCATCACCTGGCGCCTCTGCTCCTTTACAAGCATGCACATGGCCCCTATGTGTGCTGTTATCCAATGCTCAGCTGCTGCAATGATGCTGGGGCAACTTGGCTCGCGTGCTGACAGAGAGAGTTCTGCATGCCCACTGTGGCACGTGTGCCATAGGTTCACCACCACTGTCCTAACCCTACCCGGGTGCACTCTCCTAATGCTAATACAGGGCTAAAGTTCCATAGAAAAGAGGGCGATTTTGAGAAAGCCTTCCTTGAGTAGCTTTTTCTGCACAGTTCAACATTTCTGCCCAATCTCAACACATTCCAAACATGAAAATCATACCAGGACACCTCATTTTTCTAACCCTAACCCTACCCTGGTGTACACCCCTAACCCTAATATAGGGCTAAAGTTCCATTGAAAAGAGGGCAATTTTGAAAAAGTAATCCTTGAGTAGCTTTTTCTGCACTGCTCATCATTTCTGCCCATTCTAAATACAGTCCAACCATCAAAACCATACCAGGACACCTCATTTTTCTAACCCTAACCCAGTGATGGTGAACCTTTTAGAGACCGAGTGCCCAAACTGCAACCCAAAATCCAGTTATTTATCGCAAAGTGCCAACATTGCAATCAAACATGAAAACTGAGGTTTTAGTTTAGAAAAAACAACTCACAGACAAGCAATTATATAAATATCCTTGGCAGCGCACTGACCGACCATGCAAAAGCTCAGACGAGTCATGGCTAATGAGTGGTGGCTCATGTCATCACCTGGCACCGCTACTCCTTTCCAAGCATGCGCATGGCTATATGTGCTGTTATCTGATGCTCAGCTGCTGCGAGGATGCTAGGGTCACTTCGCTCACATGCCGACAGAGACGGCGCTGCGTGTCCGCTGTGGCATGCGTGCCATAGGTTCGCCACCACTGATCTATGACAACCAACTGACTAAATTTCACAAAATATGGGTCAGGTCACCCTTGTTCAGCCATGGAGATCAGTGGATTGCAATGGATAAGCAACCCTCCTCCAGAGCAGTCTACTAACCTCACAGGACTGCTAATGCAGATAAAATTTGCTGATGTGTTTTAAGGTATCTTGTGCCTTAAACAAATAATTCCTGTTCTTCGTTATGATTACCACATACAGAGAACTGCCTGAATGGCAAGGAACATGTTTTATTGCTTTGGGACGACACAGGGAAAAAGCCAGAATCTGGAAAAGTCTGTATACAAATTACAAAAACAAATTCAAAATGTTACAAAATAAATACACAACTTATTATCCCCTATATACACGTGAATCAAAGATACTGAGGCTTATCCAAGCTTATTCATATTTAAAGCTGACCCCTTAAAATTAGTGGGACTTAAGTTTTCTTTTCCAATATAGAAGTAAATATGACTAAGCCTGGATCCACTCCAATGCAATCTCCAAAACAGAGAAGAGTCCAAGAAGACCAAGTGCTAAAACTGAAATGAAACGTAAAGAAGGTGACTAATGGGCAAGAGCAGCTTCCCCAACCTGGTGACTTCACAAGTTTTGGACTTAAACTCCCATTTGTCCTGTCTAGCATGACCAATGGTCAGAAATGTAACTGTGGTCCAAACCATACAGAGGCACTAGGCTGGGGATGGCAATCGTTCCCTCAAAAGTATAAAGAAAGCAGGCTTTGTTTTTGGAAAGTGGAAGGAGTTGAGAAGAGGTGAGACAGAGTGAATGAGCAACCCCAATTTTGCAGACCAAATAATTATTACAGCAGTGAAGTAAGGCATAGGTCAATGCCTGTGGAAGTAGAAGTGAGGAGCAAATCAAGAGGGGTAAGCTCCAGTTTGAGCACAAATGCTCTGTAATTCCCTCTCTGTCTGTCTCACACAATCCCTTAACTCTAAATATTAAAAATAGTCCAACTTTCCTAAGCCATTGAACATCACAGCTGTCTAAGAGGCAGCAGGTACAACCCAAAGATCAAGCACAATTACAAGAGGGAACAGCCCCATTTTCCCGCTCTCCTTCTTCATTCACTTTGTGCCTGGTATGCAATGGTGGGAGCAGCCTGACTCTGGGATCCTTGCATCTTGCCATTCACTACGAGCAGCAAAGGTGTCTCCACCCGGATGCCAGAGAAAATAAAACTCTGAAAAAATGGAGATAAAAAGCAAGGGAACATTCAGTGAAAGTGGGACCCACTCATTCCAAATTCTACTGACTATAATGCAATTGACTTGTGACAACTGGAAAAAAATAAGGGAATAACACGACCCAAAGCCTGTAAGGAAACCTCTAGCCTTAAAAGGCCTCTTCTACCTGGAGTACTTTTCTCCAAGCCATGGGAAGCAAAGGAAGCAGCTCATGTGGGGAAACCATGGCAGACTCAACATAGTTTGTAATCCCTGAATTGCTTACCTCTTACCTGTGCATTAGACTCCTTACAACAATTGTGCATTCAGGTAATTCCATACTGTTGTGTCTGAATCTTTGCAACCCCCTGGACAACCTTCTTCCAGGTACTCGTCTTCCACCATCTCCCGGAGTCCACCCAACCCCACACCCACGTCCTCAGTGACCCCATCCAGCCACCTTAACCTCTGTCACCCCCTTCTCCTTCCCAGAATTGTTCCCAGAATCAGGATCTTTTCCAATGAATCCTTCCTTCTCATTAGGTGGCCAAAGTCTCTGAGCTTCAATTCCATGCTGCCTTTAGCATGGTTTGGGACTTTCATTATGGAAGAATTCCCATACATAAAACAGGTACCTAGCACTGCTTGGGAGGTCCAGAGGAAGAAGAGAGACTAGACTCACCTTGTTCTGATGCTGGATGTGATGGTGCCGGACATTAGGCTCAGGGATAGCTACCGAGTCACCAATCAGAACGCCCCAGCTTTGTGCCATGTTGTAAACAGTCACAGCAAAACAGTGGCCCTCAAGGGAGTCCATTAGGCCAAAAGTGCTATCAAAGAACAAAGAAAAGAAGACAAAGTATTAGGAAGAAGAAGTGAGGCTGCTGAATGAAAAGGCAAGTGGAACTAACAGAAGATTTATTTTTGTTTGTTAGTTCTATCTATAGGCCATCCTTTGGAAAAAACCTCAGGGTAGTTAGTTTTTTTATCTAAAACAGATAATAAAATACAAAAAAAGCCTCTAATGAAATCAGCAGAAACAATGCTTAATCACACAGTCAGTCTTTTTCATTGCAGAGGCAACTGACTACTTATAAATACTCAGGTAAACAAACAGGCCTTAGTTTGATGCCAAAATATTTGCAATGTTGGTGCAAAGTACACCTCTTTGAAGAGATTTCAGTGTCAGGTTGTCGCCACAGAAAAATTCCTATTTCATTTCACCATTCAATGTACTTCCCCCAGTGTTGGAACAAAAAGATGGGCTTCCCCACAGACCTAAGAGCACATAGCATAGTTCAAACAGCTGGTCCTGATCTATCAAGCTTTAGTACAGACTAGGCATTACACATTTTACAGGCACCACGGTCCTCAGGCTGAACTGAGAGCACCCTGTTTCACATCAGAGAGAATAAAAAGACATTTCATTTGAATTAAGGAAGCATTTGGTTAGGGACAGGAAGTGGGGCTTCAAGCACTTGGTAAAAGTGACTGTATAGTAACCCTGTTTTCAAAGTAGTAATAACAATCTTAAAAACATCTTTCTTGCTTTCAGTTTTATAATATACTCTAAAGCTTGTTTACTGTTCTGGCATCTTTGATTTCTTTTGTTTTATGTCTGGAAACCCACTGCTTTAGGGGAAAGGGCCCATGTCAAATGAAAGGGTTAGTTCTGTGAGAACAGTAGGAGTGAAGAGAAGGATTACCTAGTGATGAGAAAGGATTCTCTATTTTCAGTTATAAGTAGTGCAATTGCTCTGCTGTGCAGCCCCTATGCCAAGACCCAGGTTCTCCACAAATTTCTAAGCAATACTAATGACATATGAATAAATCTAAGCAGGCAGATAAAATAAGAGTTACTTGAGCCATGAAAGAGTCCAAGGAAAAAATGGACAGACACTCACAAGGGCACCTTTTCCTCTGTGGTCAAGCTGAATAGCACCTTTCCCAGTACCACAGCACCAGAGTTAACACCAGGCTGCAAGGCACTTAGGGGACGCTGCTCTAGTTGCACCTTCTGACCTGAAGGCCCTTGGTAGTGCCCATCACCACATGGGCCTAGCTGAGAGGTCCGCAGGCTTCCCAGCATGCTTTGCAGCTTCTTGCCTTTCACTTTTCCCTGTGAGGGGAAAAAGCAACAGAAGGAGTTGCTGGGACGGAAATGAAGCTGCCTTGCACAGAGAGGGCAATGAAAAAATAAACAGCCAAGTCTCACTCCCACAATACCTTATTTTCAAGGAGGTTGGTTAGCCTTTCTAGGAAGTCCATGAGTAGATGCTCCCTCTGGCGTGGTTCCAGCCAAGCTGGATCAAGGGCTGCAGCATGTGCAAAACCCTCCAGGGCTTCCATGTAGTTTTCTTCATACTTGTATAACTGCCACAAAAGAAGTAGTGACAGAAAACAGGCAAGAAAGGGTGAGAAGGAAGGTGTCTAGTCTTCTTGAAACAAAAGCTCAGAGTTCTAGCATTTTACCTAAGGCAGGAATGGGAAGGGAAATCAGGACAGGGAGCCCAAACACTGGGTCGTGGGAGAGCTGCAGAGCTTAATACAGCTTTCCCCAACCTGATGCCCTCCAGAGGTTTTCGATTTGAACCCCTACCATTCCTGGCCACTAGTCATACTGTTGAGGCTGAACAAAGTTGAACTCCAAAACCTCTGGAAGGCATCATGTTGCAGAAGCTGATCTGATTCATTAGCATTCTTAGGAGGTAGAAGGCATGCATGCCACATGACCATGGTCACCTCCAAGTCACCTCTCCTTACTTAATAGTACCTCATGCCCCTCCCCATCCTGTCTGCTCACCGTGGCTCGATTGAGATGTAAATCTGGATTGCATGAAGCAGTTGGGTCTACCTTCACCTATAAGAAAGAGGGAGGGAGGGAGGGAAAGAAGACCAAAAGAAAAATGCATGAATGACAAAGCATCACTTCCTCTGGGCCTCGCAGTTCCTAAGGAGCACTATTCCTGCCCAAGCTCTTCACCAAGGCAGATCTTCATTCTCATGTGTAGCCTGCCCCAGTCCAGGGCTGGAGACTGGTTTCATTTTATGCAGAACACAGAGAACACCGTTCATGAAAAATCCAGAGGACTGGATAAATTCCAGCCTGCAGGCCCAGATGCAACCCAAAGGGCCTTTCATCTTCCCCACAACTGGACTTTTGGTGGAGCCAAAAAAGGCTTTTTTCAAGTGTAAATGCAGAGCATGGAGAGGGCATGCTGGGAAAGGAAGGCTTAAGCCTCCCTTAAATCACTCACAATGCTTTTTACTGAAGCTAAACTAAGGCTTTTTTCCAAGCCTAATGGGAGGAGAATTTAGAGGACTCACAATTGGGAAGGAAAAGGATAACCTGTTGAAAACACTGCAAGTCGTCCAATCCCCACCCCTGCATGAAGCAATTAATCTTTAAAGAGGATTTGTCCAAGCCTAACTTCTTAGAGATGGACTTTTTGGGGGGAGTGTATTATATGCATCTCTTCGTACAAGAACCAGTATGTGTTCTGCATATCTGTGAATGGATAGCTTTTCTCTCCACACATTCAAAGTGAGAACTTGGAAAACTTAAAGAGATAACCTGGAAAAATTTAGGCCTAACCACAGAATAGCACTTGCTTCTCTCCTGTTCTTTGCAGCATCTCCAAATTTGCTCTTCCTTCAGATACGATGCTCTGCTTGTGAACTTCCTCTGAGAATGAGGGAAGTATAAGCAGTTAAAGAGTACATTAGGCCCTCTTCAGTAGCTCTCTCACTTCCATACTCCCCAGGAAATGAGAGGCGAAGCAAGGCCATTCCACCATTTATTTTTCTCTTTTTTACCTGGGTCGGGTCCCCTTTTCCTTTATCATTTTAGGATGCCTGCCCACTCTGAAAGCTTTTTAAATAAAAATGTGTTGAATAAATAATAAATAACTAGTTCATCACAGCTCATCTGAATGGATCTTTGGTCTGACACAGTATGGCAAAAATTATGTTAGGGTAGATTGCAACATGTCTCAGGACAAGTCAGTGAGCTAATTTCATTACAGGTTACACACATGAATCAGGTGGCAAAATCCTGATATATCACTTTAGCCTGCAGGTAAGAAATACCTTTTTGGAACTACTCCCTGAGGTAAGTGGCTAATAATAAACATATAATCCATGCAAAAACTAGCATAACTGCAAAGCTGGATGGTAGGGGACCATAGAAAATCTTCAAAAATGTGGAGACCTCACCAACCATCTGAAGTAACTCAATCCATTCTGCTACTTCATATCTCTGTCAGCTCATCCTTGTGGCATGTGAAGACCAAGTCCTAGTGTGTGCAACTTGTCCAGATAGTCCACAAGGAAGCTTTGTGGCTAACCAAGCATTTGAACCTGAGTCTCTCAGAATCCAAATTGAACACTCTCAACTACCATGCCGAACCAGCTTTTTTCACTTTGGCAATCTAAAGTCTCCTCCAGAAGCTCAACCTGAACTACCAAGCCCCTCCTCACACCACCACAGCCTTTTCTAGAGACAGTTCCAGCACCTACTGCTTGGGCATAGGCACTCAGCGCCTGCTGGGAGATCTTGGGGTTCTGCCCTGTATTGAAGAACAAGGAGAGGTAGGCATTGCCCAAAACATCTGTGGAAAACAGAGAATGGAGAATTAGCAAGTTGCCTGTCCCATTCCCTTCTTTGTTCTATCCCATTCCATCAAAAAGCTGGCTAAGAAAAGCACATTGCAGACTCACACCAAGAGCGGCCATCATGCACATCCATCTGCACAGCCAGCTTGGCCTGCTGCACACTGGCCATCACATTGTGCGCATGCTCATCAGCAGAGCTTGTGCGTAGCTGCCGTAACACCATAGAGAGATTCTGCAGGGACACCTTGTTCTTGCACTGAACAAAAAAAAAGGAGAAAGGAAGAAGAAAAAAACATGCTCAGCTGAATTAGGGTATTGCAGGCTAAGATGTATCCATTAAGTAAAATTTCATATCATTTCTCACTGCAATGCCAATTACCAGCTTCCCCCAAAAAGTCATGGGAGTATAGCTTTTGGCTGAAAAGAATCTGCTTACTTTCCTACAGACTGGTGTTAAAATTGGCACTAGGAAATCCAGAGGTAGTTCCAATCTCTAAAAACTAAAATCCCAACCTGCAAGAGAAAGAAAATGGAAGAGACTTACATGGCTGAGTGCTCCAGAGAAGCATGTATGGGCTGCAGAGATATCACCCTTTTTCCAATAAACTTCCCCTAACTGATTCCAGGCCTCAACCAGTTCTGGGTCTAGCTTGACAGCTTTTGAAAGCAATTCCTCAGCTTGTACACTGTAATCTGGAGTCACATTCAAAGCTTTCCCCTTCAGCATCAGGGTGAGAGCTCTCCCCTTAGAAAAACCTAACAGTAGGTAAGAGAGAGGAGGTGTGTATCAGTGGGGTGGCAGAAAGAATGAGAGAGAGATGCCATGCGGGCACCACAAGTCTATGAAATCCACCCACTAGACGTTAAATTGCAAAGATGACCCAAAAACACCAGTACAATTTTGTTCCAGTTAAAACAAAAGCATTTTCATGGAAGAGAAAGATATGATATGATACCTCTGGGATCATAGCCAGCATGCCTCTAAGTACCAGGTGCTGAGGGAAACAAGCAGGAGAAAGCTGTTGCCCTCATGTCTTTATGCAATTCCTTAAGCATCCGGCTGGCCATCACTGCAATCAGAGTAGTGGTCTACAAAGTCCTTTTGTTTGTTTCAGAAGGGCTTGTCTTACATGACATGTACCAAATGGTTTAGAGCAGCCTCTTCCAAACTGGTGCCCTCCAAATATCTTGGACTGCATCTCCAAGCATCTTACAACCAGCATGGCCATTGGCCAGGTAGAAGATTAGAGGAAGCCATGAAATAATTGAGACAGTGTGAGAGACAGCAGGAGCTGGTGGTATACAGGGTGGATATAGGGGAATGCAGAATTTGTGAGCATTACCTTCTATCGCTTTCATTTGCTGAAGAGTCTTTTCCATCTCCTCCCGTACATCTTGCTGCTTTTTCCCAGCATCCTCCACACTGTGGCTCTCAAAATAGTGGTCTCGAAAATGATATAGCTGGTCAACCAGTTCCTATCAGGAAGTTTCCAAAGAAAGTATGTTACCCAGGCAATCATAATATACTGGCACAGAAAGTTAAAACACTCCACTTTGAGGGAAAGAAACACATAACTATGAGCATGACTTTATTGGCTAAGATAAATTGTCCATCATTATAGTGATTCAGTGAGGGTTACCAGGCATGAGAAAGTGTGTATGAAAAAAAAAACAGAACATAACTCATTTATCAAACCACTTAAGGTAAAAAATAACAAAGTGGTATACAGCATAAAGCATAATAATTCATAAAACAATATAATATATACATTGATCAAAAGATGCATAGCTAGAAACTTAATTTAGCGAAAGTCTGTCTAAACAAATAGCATCTAAAAACCAACACTGTGGCTGATTACCTAATAGGGAGGGAATTCCATAAATGCAATGCAATAAACTCCCTTTCTCTGGTAATCACAGAGAGGTCAGACCAAGAATAAAGTTCTGCATAAAAGTGTTTTCTCTGGTGACTTCAGTGACCAGGCAGGGACACAGTTACTTAGATGTCTAAACAATACTAACAAAATCTTGAACTTAGCCAGGTAGTGAATTAGCAGTCCACCCAGTTGTCTCATTCAGGTTGTTACATGCTGGTGATAGGCTGTGCCAGACAAAAGTCTGGCTACTGTGCTGTGAAATAGCTGCATCTTCTGGACTAAGCATAATGGTAGCCCCACAGATATGAGGTATGTAGTGCTCCTTTTCATATTGCTCAGTTCCAGCTTCTGGTAGCTAAGTATTACCCAGATCAAGAAGAGACAACAAACAAATTTAAGGCTGAAGTCAGGTAAGTATTATCATCCAAGTTAAGGAACAGTTTGAAAAGCAAATTCTGCAGTGGAGACAAGGTTATCATTCTGCATCTTCCAGCCCCTTTGCTAATCCCTCCTCGATTCCTTAATATGCCTAGGTTTGTGCAAGTAAATCCTGACAGTTAAACAACCTTGTAAAGAAAAGCTGCAGCCAAAAAAAATAAATAATCCTTTCTTGGGATAATATAACTTTCATAGGCGTGGTGGGAGAGGGCGTAAGCATACGCCGCAACGCCCCCCCCCCCCCCGCGCGCCATCCTTACCTGTAAATCTTTTCGAGTTTGTACGTTTTCTTCTTCTTCTTCGGCCATGGTCGCTTCTGAACCTCCTCCGTTTCCTGCTATTCTCTTTCTGCAACAAACATACCTACAGAGACATCTAAAGGTCTGGAGGCCACATTACAGTTCAGCTGCGGAAGTAAATAAGTGGCAGCAGCCCAACGAGAGTGGAGCTTTGAGCTGCACACGGTATTATTACCCACTTACTGTATTTTCAAACTATTTCTTATCCGTTTAGAAACAAAAAGAATCCGGTTTTCTGCACAAAAGAAAGGAACTCTGTACAAACTGTGAGGTATTGTTCTCGTAATATCACATTCCCAATGAATGACTGCTCATTCTTAGCACAAAGTGACCCCTTGCACATCTTAATCACTCGCACAAATGGCTGAGGTGACATTAGATATGAGAATACACAATCTGATCATAGCTAATAAAGTTAAACACATAGAATCATTACAGCTAAAAAGGATCCAAATAACTAATTCACTTTACTGAGTGATGCAAATCTCCCCATAATTCAGATCTAATAAACATTTAAATGGATTAACTGGAAAAGCTATCCAAACTTAATAACTAAAACCAGAATACAGTACAGTGTGAATTTGTCTAACAAGGGAAATACAGATTAAATTGGACAAAAACACTAGGTAGATGAGGTTTCCCCCTCATGTATCTCTGTTTGCAAGTAGCAGTGAACAAAATGATACAATTCTGTTAGCAATGAACAAAATGATACAATTCTGTACATAATTGGAGAAAAATATATTACTTGAATATGATAGTTACTTTTCAAAGCAATCATCAGAAGGGGAGACCGTACTACAACATGTTATAGAAAATCAATATAACAATTAAGCATTTTAGTGCCAGAACAACCAGAAAATTACAGATGGCAACAATCTTTAATACATTTCAGTTCAAGGAAGCATTCAATATCATGGCCAGTGCCATAACAATCTTTGGAGAAAGGGGAAGTGTTGCTGAGTGAAAGAACAATTGCAAGGTCTTTAACAATCTGGAGCAGAGAGGTGCCTAGGGTAACTGTCTGGAACACGCAGAACATACTGCGCTAGATTCAGAACGGATCATCGTTAGAGTGGGCACTGAAATCAATTAGATTTAGGGCACAATCCTATGTTGTCCACTCTCAATAAGCCTCTTACCAGGAGGCGTATGTGTATTCAATACAAGGCAATAGCAATCTTTACTGCCCCATGCTTCATATTGCATGTCCAGCTATCTAGATGAACTGCTGCAGAAGGGAAGAGAAGGAGGCTAGAGTGGTGTAAGCCATCAGCCCAGCCTCCTTTCCTACCTGCTCATCCAGCACGTCCCTTTAGCTATTTCTGAGGTTGAATTTTGACCTCAGAGACACAGCTGGCACATTTCTGTCATTACCAGCTGCAAGTGGGGCAGGGCAGAGGCTCTGCATTTGGCATCCCTGTTCCAAAACTGGAAGATATAAGAGCTGGGACGCCAAATATTCCTCCAAAGAACCCACCCAAAGACAATGTCAGTAGGCCACAGAATTGTGCCCTTCAGTTACTCATGACTAACTTAAGTCCAATTGTTTTCAGTGCTTTGAGAATGACTTAGTTTGGATGAAATCCAACGTCAAGGGGAGTTTATTTTAACTGGAACACTGACTTTCATCATCCTAGCTATCTTTAAAGTTTGCTGTGCCTGAAATTTTCAGGAGAATGTACGGGAGTCAGTAAATTGATACCTGCTGGAAGTCAGTGAGATCTATCTGGTCTGTCGATGTATTTCTTTTTAAATTTCAGATATGCAAAAGCACTTCTGCCCCTTGACCCAAGCTTCACACTTAAACTGGATTTTCAAAATGTCCTACAGTAAAAATGTTGACACAAATCACAATTTACATTCTCTTAATTTTATAGGCCCTGTTGTCTCCTGGATGCGGTTCCAAATCATTACCAGGAGAGGCAAAGGAAAAGAAGCTGTTGCTAGACTCGCCCACTGGTGGAGAGGATGCAAAGAAGGGTTTGAAATGGAAGTCGCCATCACCATGCCGACCTTGGATAGGTGTTGCATACCCAGACAGCTTAGCAGCATTACCTGAAACATGTACGATTCATGTTATTAGTTAAGGGGCTTTTATCTCCTATAAATAAAAATATATGAAATACACCAGTGGGTCAAAGCACTCAGTGTGTGAACAAAATAAAGTCCAACCTAGACTCAGTGTGAGAGATCAATGAACAAAATATCAATAAAGAAAAAATGTGACCAGCCTTACATCCACAAGAGGATGGGGATCAGGACTGTGGTGCTGGGGGAGAATTGTTTAAACCTTTTCCTCACACTGTATTCCCAGTTAAAAATTTGTATCAAAACCTATTTTCTCCACAGGGAAAATATACAGTGCTGTAAAACATTATGTTTACCCAGGGAATATTTAATGTGTGTAGAAAATAAGCCTGTTCTGTGATCTAATGCCAAGAGCCTCAAGATAACATTTTCAAAGTTTTAAACATGTATTTTATTTTTTTCCATTTTATTTACCTCTAGCTTCAAAATAATTTCTAAAACTGGACATAAGTAATCATAATGCTCAATACTACAAGCCAAAAACTCACATCTTACTCAGAAACAGTTCCCTGCAGTTTAGCTGGCCTACTTTTGTTTGGAGGAATAGATTGTAGATTGCAGTCTACAGAAGTCTGAAACTATAGTTCAGAAGATTTGCCCTAACCTCACATTTTCTGTGGCAGTGCCCTCTCTCTGATATATCAGGCACCAACAAGCATGTGCTTGCAACAGTTATTAAAATGTACTTGTTTACCATGCCTTTTTCCAACCATTAATTTTCTAAATGTTTTGGTGTTTTTACAGTGATGTATGGATGCATACTCTTTTGTAAACTGTTTTGCAATTTTAGAAATTGGAAGCAGTATTTAACTATTCTAAATAAATAAATAATGTTTCTCATGCTGCCTGAGTTAGCTGCATTTGAATAACTACCAAACTGAAGAGATACCATCCTTACCCAAAGGAAAACCAAAGACAGCAGGCTGTGGCATCATGGGAGGTTCTTGGCCTGCCTCCTGGCTGGCCACTGCAATGTTACGTAGTCGTAGGCTGTCATAAAGACCCTGAAGTTTCTGGTACTGGCGGTTGCGCTCCATGAGCTTCTCTGAGAGCTCAGTGAATTTTTTTTTATATTCTTCCAGTACTTTCTTCAGGGAGGAGACCTCACTTTTCATGGATGTCAGCTCCATATCTTTGTTCTGGAGTTGCTGTGTATAGACTTTCTCCATCTGTTTCAGGTGTCCCTCTGCTTTGCTATAGGTATATTCTTGGTACAAGCGCTCTTGGTGAACCTAAAAGGACAGAGAGTAAAGGGGAGGCATAATATCCAATGGAAAAACTCCATGTGACAATCATATGTGTCACAAACATATATACACACTTTCTTTGTCTGAAGTCTCTAGCAGAAAATGAGAAGTGGGTAGGTGGTAACTTCTTGACTATTTTGCATCTGGTTATTCTGTGGCCCCACCATAGCTGCTTTTGTGGTCTATGACATAGATTCTTCTGCTTAAGTAGAATCCAGAAAAACTCAGCTTTCTTTCAGCAAGACTTCATGGGTTACAATACCATCTCAAGTGGTGACTGAGCAAGAAAGGGATGTTGGGCTAGTGGTGGACAACATGATGAAAATGTTGGCCCAGTGTTCAGCTGCTGTGAGGAAGGCAATGCCCATGCTAGGCATAATTAGAAATGGAATAGAAAATAGAACTGCCAAGATTTTATTTTCTTTATACAAATCACATGTTACCTGAAAAGAGATGTTACTGAGTTGGAAAAAGTACAACAAAAGGCAACAAAAATGATCAGGGGACTGGAGCAGCTCCCCTATGAGGAGTAGTTACACCAGGAACTGTTCAGTTTAGAAAACAAGCAAGTAAGGGGAGGCATGATAGAGGTTTAAAATAATACATTGTGAAGAGAAAGTGGAAAGGGAAACATTTTTGTCTCCAATAATACTCAAACCCAGGGTCATCCCATGAAGCTGATTGGTGGGAGGTTTTGGACAAATAAAAAGTACTTCTTCACTCTGTGTATAAACTATAGAATTTGCTGCCACCAGAAGTGATGATGGATGCCAATCCGGATGGCTTTAAAAGGAGATTTATTTATTTATTTATTTATTTATTTATTTTTAAGTTTTTATATGCCGTCGCCTTGCTATATAGCCTCGGGACGGCTCACAGAAATAAATATATACAATATAATATAAGATTGCTCAGATTCACGAGGGAGGAGGCTCTCAGTGGCTGCTAGCCTTGTTTGCTATGTGCTTTGCTATGTTCTTTACCAGAGATCGTCTGCATATACCAGTTGCTGAGGAGCTTGGGCAGGAGGAGGTCTTGCACCCATCCTGTTTGAGGGATTTTGTGGGCAGTTGGTGTGGCAACATGTTTACACAATGCTCTACTAGATGGACCTTGGGTCTGATCCACCAAGGGTTTTCTTATGTTCACATGTGCTTTGTATTCATAGTGCTCAAGCTTAATAGTGCAGAGATTTTCCAAATCTGTTATCACTGAATCCATGAATTCCACACATAAAATAGATGTTAATATAGTGAAATCTGAGTTTTAGGTGATACTTGTGGGTTAAAACGCATGGTTTGGGAACTTAATTCTAGTTACAACATACAAATGTTGGACTTTGTGTGATAAAATATATATTCCAGGTTGCACAGTTTATTCTAACAACAGTGTTACGGCTGTGTGATAACAGAATGTAGGATTTTGTAGCACACAGTTCCAGAAACATAAGCATAGTAGCTCAAGGACATTCACTTACAGTTTCATGACCAAGATCTGGGCTTGTTCTCTCACAATGAAGTTTTGGTTCTATTTCTTTTATGAATTTCTTAATACATTCAAATTACTAATTCTAAGCACTGTTACTGAAATTGGGTCTTCAGTTTGAATCATTTGTGTCAATTTTACAGAAATTTTAAATTACGGATATGCCTTCTCCCTATACCCAAAGGCCCATCCAAGGATTGTCTACCTGGTATGTCCAGAAAGCCAGAGCCCTGGAGCTGATGTCTAAAATAATCTCTGGCCGCAGTCCAGCTAGGACCATAGCTTTATATTCCTCAGAAGGACTGAGTTCTGTCCGAACGATATCCAACTTGCCAGAGAGGGCACTGGTGCAAGCAGGGCAGACTGCTGGTGAACGGCTGAACTCCCCACTGCCATGTTGGTCACAGAAGATATGTGAGCAGGCTGTGACCCATGCATAACCTGAAAGTTTGACTCGGCACTTGCGATAATTGCAAAGAAGCATATCCTCACAGACAGACATGTTGATGAAACCAATTCAAATGTATTACAAGCACTTCCAATGACATAGGCATGCAGCATTCACCGCAGCTTCCCTGCAGACTGAAAAGAAATAGTAATGCAAAATTTTCAGTTTGCTTATTAGATTTGGACACACAGCAGAGTACTGGTTTAAGAACATGAAAGTAATGTTTCCCTGATGTGGTTTACCCCCAGTCACCATATGCAGTTCATACCCTCCTGCTATGAATTGTTACTGCTGTGCCTCTCAAAGAAATAGAAAGTAACAGGCCTTCCATTGCTTTTCTATCTGACTTGTTACTCTTTCCAACTTAAGAACACAATGAATTGAACAGCCCAAGCTCACTGTGGAATGTTAGGAAATGCAGAACTTTTTCCTATCAAAATATGCAAGATTTGGCCCGATATCTATTAGTGCATGGATTTCCTTTTTTAAGCTCCTATTTCCCAATCATCTTTTCTTTTGTGGCATGCTTTTTATGCATGCAGGCAGGTTGCAGGCCAAATAGTATGATAAAAATGGCTTGGATAAATGAGTGATTTATTCCATCTTCCAGAGATGGGCTTCAGTAGACTGTGTTATAGCTTCACTTCTGTTGTGACCTTGAGGCACGGTCCTGGGCAAACTGCCCTCTCTGCCAGATCCTTCACAGAACTATGGAAGTAAAAGTAAAGTGGAAACTAAAATTAAAACTTTCACACCATATACCATATATATGTTGTTGTTGGCAAATACAGTGCCACTTGACCAGCAAGAAAGATGGAAATGTGTTTTTCACACGAGAAATTTAGAATAGCCAAGAAATGCAGCCAAGTCAGGACTTCTTTGCTAGTTTGACATTGTAGAAAGAATGGCATCCTGCAATGATGAGCATGCAAAATGACAACTTGGGGCACATGCTAAAGTTATTTGTGTAAAATATTTGCACTTCCTTGCAGTTTAACCTTTTGAATTCCAAATCAGTGGCATTGAAATAAGACGGATTTTCCCTACTCATTAAACACTATCTGTACTAAACTCATGTGTATTTTATTTGCAATCTTTTAAAGATGTTAATCCCTATCCTTACCCAACTGCACCCTTTCCCCGGGAGATGTCAGGAGACCATTATGTGTTTTTCCTGATTTCTGCAAGCCTCAGAAATGTAGCCAATCTAGCTTTTCCAGACCCATTGGGAGAGGAATGATCGACCTATTGCACTTCAGCATGTCACACAACTTATTAAAAAGGAATATTCCAAGTGGATAGCTATTATATTGGAACATGCTTATCCTGTTTTAAACATTAAAAAAAAAACTTTTCCCAATAGCATTATACCCTTTAGCTAAAAAGGTCCTAACAGTTGCTTACAAAGATAAGTGTTTGACAGGTCATGCCTTCCAGCTTATACTCTAAATGTTAGGGCCTGACACATGTAGACTAATAATAAGCAGGCCTATCATTTAAATTTTGAGAATACTCTTTGAAAAGACAGCGGTACTAAAAGTTTATGGCACAACCTCATGCATGTTTAGACAGGAAGAAACAAGGTCTACAAGTTCTAGCAAGCTGGGAGAAGTAGGCCTTTTTGTTGTCGTCTTTTTGTCTAAATGCACATAGGATTGTGCGCAACCTTTCCTCTCCTATTCATAAATTTGTGGTTGATCGACTGTTAATGGCCTCTTTGAGGGCAGCGGGGGCCCAGGCTAGGGTAACCATGGGCTAGGAGGTAGTATCTGCGCACGTATCTATTTTATTTATTACTGTTTGGGACAACGACGAAGCAGTATTGAGATCACTTTGGAAGCTTGTGAAGTTAAACAAAGAGGCAAAACGACGATTACTACCCGTCCGTGGCAGCGAAGAAAAGGCGGGAAAACGGACGCGGTGGCTCGCGCGGGCATGCCCCCCCCCACAAAAGCGCTCGAGCGCCCCTTCGCCCCGCCCCCTCCAACGGCCGCCGGGCTCGCGCCCTTCCGCGGCTTTTCAAATCGCGCCCTGAGGCTTCCACGCCGCCCTCAAGCACAACCCCTAAAGCTCCTCAGATGCAGTCGATGGGGGGGGAAACATGACACACTGTCATGTACTATTGAATGCTTCGGTGCCAACCAGATGCCAGCAGCACTTTGTATTACAACCAAATGTCCTACAACAAGCGCTTCCCTCAAGTTAATCGTGACTCATTCTACTTGAGGCAATCATCCACGCACATGTCTTCATAGTTCACCGAGCTCAAGGCTGCTTTTCTCCTGGAAGACCATAGACTCAGTTCAGTGTTTGCAAGCTTAATGCAGGAAAAAATGGCTTTTTTGCAGTACCATGGGGCTAAATAATTATTTCAACTCACAGCTTTCTGGTAGAAAGCAGTTCTAGCTCAAGCAGAGGGTCTTAAGGTCTTGACAAATTGCAGAGCCTAGTTCTTTTAGATATGCAGGGCAGTAACTCGTCTCCAACAGGATTAACTGTAGTTGCAGTCTGAATAGGTCCACCGTTAGTGAACAGCACTAGGCAATCTGAATAACCTTGCTGTCCTTGCATAGCCTATTATACAAGCAGTTTGTTTTGATTATATAAACAATTTGGGGGTTTGTTTTGAAAGAGAAGCTGTATATAAACATTGCTAATAAAAGTTACAGAAACAATGTTACAATAAAGGAATATCCCTTTTGTTGGATTATTCCAGCAGTGCCTTTGGATTTTTACATCAATGGAAGCTTCTTTTAGATCATGTCCTTGTTACACGCCTCTGCCCGTAATTTCCATGTTCGAGGCCACTATGCATATATTACCTCAGCTATATAACTGTAATATGAATATTGGTAGAGATCATTTGAAGGCCTATTTCAATAAATGCAATTAGCAGGGTTTGAAGACACACCTCGACTTAAGCTTTTAAATGACAACATACTATGAATAATGCCAGTTTAATGTAGGCAGGGGTGTCTTGTAAGCTTACAATCAAATATATTCCTATCACAACTAGAACTGCTGGAAGATCGAGGAACAACTAATCATGGTAAATGGTTCATAGCAACTGTAGCTGGAGCTTTGAGTTGTCCATCTCCATCTGATAATTTAAGCTAACTTGAATGGCAAGAGTAATGAGTGATGTGAAAAAGAATGGGATACAAATCTGACATACAAATATGAGCAATATTTAGAAAACACTGAAATATTCTATTCCCCATGACACTTTGTTGATGCCTGAAGGAAGCGATTCATAAACACAATACAGCACAAAAATGTTCAATTAACATTTATTAGTTAAAATCTTATTACCTGAGTCAAGATTACAAGTTAGCACCACATAACAGCTGCTAATCACCACACAAATAATGTAATTCTAACACAACTCTATGAAACATCAAGGCAGTTACCTCAAAGATTTAATTGTATATGATTATCAATGTATCTCTTGCATTTCATTCCTCTTTTTCTTCTCCCATCACCATGTTCCCTGTATGTGAAGTGAGAATGGTCCAGAAATGCCAAAACAAATGTGTTTCAAATGCTATTAGACTTCATTATACATTAAATTTATATCCCACTTTTTTGCTGTTAACAGACCAAAGTAAATGCCCCACTGATACCAGACTAGATACATAGCGTTATCCCCACCTTCAAATACTACACTTTTCTGCAAATATAACTACAGGATTTTATGCATGTTTACAGAGGCAAACTCCACTGAATAAAGCAAGACTTTCTAGAAAATTTGCATATGACCTTGATGTTAGTATCATTATACCCAGCTAACAATGTATTCAAGCAAATTTATCTCTTGGGGTATACGAGAGGCATTCAATGCATTTTCGGTATCAGCATGAAGGAATAAATTGAAATTTTATTTTTCAATGTAATCCCCCAAAACGTCAATACACTTATTACATCTAGAAATTAACTTTTCAATTCCCTGTAAAAAATACTCTTCCTCCTTGTCTAAAAAATGTGTGTTAATTGCTGCCTTGAGCTCTTCATCGTTGGAAAACCGCTTTCCACGAAGATCTTTGTATAAATTCGGAAATAGGTAGTAGTCACTGGGGGCCAGGTCCGGGCTATAGGGTGGGTGGTTTATTTCTTCAAAACCACAGTCTCGCATCGCAGCCTTCGAAACAGGTGCCGTGTGAACGGGCGTGTTGTCGTGAAGAAGCAACACACCTGTGGTCAGTTTTCCCTGCCTTTTCTCTTTAATTGCTTCTCTTAAATTACGCAGAGTGGTTGCATAAGATGCTGCATTTATGGTTTCACCTTTTTTAGTGTACTTGATCAATAAAATTCCCTTTGAGTCCCAAAACACTGTGGCCATGATTTTTCCAGCCGATGGAGTGACTTTGAATTTCTTCGGAGAGTCAGCACCTTTTTTATGCCACTGCATGGACTCCTGCTTACTTTCAGGGTCATAGTGATGAACCCAAGTTTCATCTCCAGTAACAATCCGGTCGAAAATACTAGATGGATCTTCACCACAGAGCTCTAAAAACTCCCTACAGCACTTGACTCGCACTTGTTTCTGAGACGCCATGAGCATTTGCGGCACCCATCTTGCACAGACCTTTGAAAGGTTAAGATGGTCATGAAAAATAGTAAATATGGTACCAACGGATAGGTCTGTCATCTCTGCTAACATTTTGATTTTTATTCGGGCATCTTTCAATACAAGTTTCTCAATTTTTTTCACATTTTCTTTCGTAGTGGCAATAACCGGCCCGCCTGAGCGAGGGTCATCTTCAATGCTTTCTCTGCCCCTTTTAAATTCACTTGACCACTTTTGAACAGTAGATAATGAAGGTGCAGAGTCCTGGTAAATGGCCACCATCTCTTCGTGAATAATTTTTTGACTTTTTCCTTGCTTTGTAAGGAACTTAATCACAGCACGGTGCTCGATTTTCTTCAACATTGTTGTGTCAGTCATTATGGTCGCCTTTCACTGAGGATTACTAGGGAACTAATGATCACACTTATTTGATATTTTGCATGTATACCCTCAGATAGTGTCATTAGCTAATGAAATTATTACCCACATCAATAGCAAATCAACCCGATACTGAGAATACATTGAATGCCCTAAGTCAATATTGGGAAAATATTTATAGAAGTACTCAAAATCTACACCTCTAGACAGTTTTTGAAAATACTGAGCTACTTTTTCATTCAGCCAAAATCTTTACTGCAGGTGGTCCCAGACAATCCCTTCCAGACAAGATTAAAGATCCACTTTCTTCGAAAAGTCTTCTGTACCGCTTTTTCTCCAAGTTATCAGAGGAAAAGTTTTCCTTTTAAAACCTGTCTCCAATTTCCCTGTGGAAAAACATGATTTCAACATTAAAATGTAAATTCAAGCTGCCCGGAAAACTTGACTATTCTACTATGGAGTGACTGAGTTATATTAGTCCATGTCAGCCCCATGTTCACATTCCAAAAGTTATCACCTAAATGAAGGTGTTGTTAGTTGCGAAGTCGTGTCCAACCCATCGCAACCCCATGGACAACATCCCTCCAGGCCTTCCTGTCTTCCACCATTCCCCGGAACCCACTTAAGCTCAAATGAAGGTATTCGGACTAAATTTTAAAAGCCTCATGTTTGTTCCTTTCAGGATGTGTGGCCCCGCAAAATTCAACAGTGCCAACAGACAGCCAAACCCATCCAGAGACACCTTGAGTGAAAAAAGCCAACTTTAATCTTTGATGACACAAAATCCCACTGTCTAATGCTTATGACAGTGAGAGGAACGGTCATCACACAAACATTTAGAACAGTTACTATATCTCATTCTTCCATTCCTTTCAGTAACCCACTTTAAGAGGTACAAAAACATCTCTTCTCCAAATTAGAGCTCTTACTGTGCAAGGTACATTCTACTGCATAAATAGCTACTTTTTACAATGGGTAATTATTACTTTGAACTGAAATGTGTCCTGCTAAGAATACAAACAAAAACTTCAGTACTTACACTTTCCAGATGGGGCATGGGATGGAATGAGGAACAGAAAAGGATCAACACAGTGTTACCTTTTCAGAATCATTATCCCTATAAGAACAAGGAGTAGGAAAACTTTAGCAATTCATCTCCAGGTATTTTGGTCTGCTGACCACTCAGAAATCCTTTTACATAGAGATTGGTTGTTGTTTTTTCTCAGCTGCAGACAATTTTGTTGCTACAGTTTAAGTGTTTACAGCAAGAAATCTTTATACATAAATTCAATAAGCAACAGTTTCAACCATGTTCTTATGCTTAGACAAAAAGCTAGGTTAACATTTAAATGCTCATCATCTGATGATTACAGAAGACTTTGCATATGGGAATGAACTACCACAAGTGGTAAAATTTCTGTATCAACTCAAAATTCAAATGGCTTCCAATAAAGCCACTTCACATGGTCAAACCATTACTAAATAATCAAATGACCCATGTACATGGGAGCAGGTCATACAAAATGGTATATGGCATCTGAATTCTTTCTTCTGCTCTAGATCAACATACATTGCCTTGGTTACTATAATACTCCATGGCAGCACTTCTGGAGCATAAGCAGACATGCACTGGCATTCATGCTGCCATCCAGCAGTTTAGGTAAGAGATAAGGAATGCCACAACTTGATACAATAAGATCTCCAACCTTTTTTGGGTAATTGGGCACTACTGTAATGTTGAGGGTAGCATGGGAACTTCACAAAATGGCTGCCGTGGGGGCTCCCCATTCATTAAATGCCTGCCATGGTAAGCATGGACAGTCACAAAAGATCTGTCTCCCAAAAGACAAACTGGAGAGACTAAAAGAAAAGAAAAGCACAGGAGGACAGAACTACACTTTCCAGCATATCAGCCTCTCAGGTTTTTAAATTTTCAAACACCCTTAATAAAATTAATGTGGGGAAGCAGGTGAGCACCAATAGAATTGCTTGTTGCCACACTGGAGAGTCCAGTGTACAACTTCCTGCCAGAAGGAAACATTCTACAAGTGAAAGCTTGCTGGTCTAAATAAATCATACTTTTTAAAGAAGAGTGGCCAGCACTTGAATTTACCAAGAGGTGGCCATGTTAGTCTGTTGCATAAAAAGCTAAGAGACCAGCAGCACCTTAAGGCAGCCTCCCTCAACCTGGTGGACTCCAGATGTTTTGGACTGTAACTATTGGTGCAAGTGGTCAGAGATTATCTAAGTTGTAGCCTCAACATCTGGTGCCCATGAAACTGGGGGTGTTTACCTTAAACGTTATGGTAGAAACTTTGGTGTATTAGTCCAAATCAACAGAAAATGTATGCTATAACCCAAGTGTTGGCCTGTTTACTTTGGGGGAAGTAAGTCTTGAAGTCCTTCTCTCCCGACACATCTAGTTAACATCTTTACCTTTAAGAAAAACAAGGTGTTCTACTACTACTGCAGCAGGTTATTATGCTGTCTATAAAGTTATCTATGTAGCATCCAGCCTAGCAAGTGCACCTACAGATATATGAAAGCAAGTTTCTGGAGAAAGCCAGTATGCAAAGGCGGAGGAGGTATCTGCTCAGGGCATGCTTATAATCAGGGTTAATCAGGTGAAACACGGACAGAACATGCAGTTCATCATAGCAGACTCCCCAAATTTCCATTAGTACCTCTTAGTTAGAAAAAGCCAATCAGCCACAAGTTTTTAAGAGAAACCACCATCATACCTTTTCCTCAGTAACACAGAGAAGTACTAAACTCATCTCTGCAAAAATTCCAGCCCTTATTAGATCATGTTCAGTTCACCTTATACTGCAGCTGCTCACTTCAGGGCCATGCTAGTAAGAGAATCTGGTGTTCATTTTCCTCCAAGCACATGCTCTAAGAAAGAAAGCAAGCCATTCGTTATTAAAAAGAAAGCTCTTCAAATATGGCCAGTGCTCCACAATTTTCTTGGCAACATACAGGGACAATGAGCTTACTATATTGACAATGATCAGAAAATGTGAGGCAAGAGTAGCATGTGTAAAATTCTAACTTCACCACAAACTATCAAGAACATACAAAATCAGGGTGCACCATACTAGGCCAGGGTGTGACTTAGGTTAAGGAAATTTCTTGCATCCCAACCAATGCATTTACTTTCACTAGGACAAGGGAGCATTCTACTTTTCATCTTGAACTTTCTAACCACAAACAGATACCAACATTTGCATTTATGATCGCACAGCTTTTAAAAAAAAGTTAGTTTTGAGCAGTTTTTACATGCCCTTCAATCGTTTATCACATGATTATCCCACATTCAATTATATTTCTATAGCTACAAGGCCTGAAAACAAGGTCATATTATAGTTTCGTTTGCTATCTTTATTCACAAAAATACAGGATTCCATACATCCTGCCTATTTTACAAGTTACAACTTCCTAATCCTTTGAAATCAGAGACGCAAGAACGCCTTGCTCGACAAAGCAGTACCTAAAGCACGTGGGTGGCTGAGGAACGCCCGGCATCGCGGGACCGTTCCCTTGCCTAAACGCGCACAGGATTGTGCTCTAACCCCATTAACACATGCACGAGCACACAGGGAAGAGCAAAATAAAAACAACACTATCACAGCACTGCTAAAATGCAAACAGTAACCTATGCTTGCCATTTAGAATAAAAACCCCTTCGTGGGGTACACTCACGATCATGTTACGCAGCGGTGCGTGAAAATCTCAGGCCAGCCGAACCCCACCTCCTCCATAACTCTTCCCAGAACTACATAAAAACAGGTGCTAAAATGCTATCCCGCTCACAAAGCCAACACCGCACCGCACCGCACCGCGCCAAAGGCCCGTCGCAAAAGGAAGCGGAAACGCACAGGCGGTCAGGCAATACGAACAGCCTGCCTCGCCATTGGCTGAGAAGCCACGCCAATCACTTGTTCAATTCGAGGCGGGTGCCTCTAACACCGTCGCGGGGAATTTATTCTGGCTGGTAGTAGATGGTTTCGGCCGGCCGAAATTTACTACATTTTCCCAGCCTGAGGGTGTTATTTCAGTTTCATTCCAACTTGGAGTTCTACCAATCGCAGGCTGCTGCAGAAGATACAAAAGAATTCGAAGCCCAGTCCGAGCACTCAATGGAACTCACGGGTTTTCCCGATAAGTTTTCTGGTTACCCCAGATTATTTTTGAAAAATTTAAGCAATTGCGGGGAGTGCGGTCCTTTGTTGCTACTAAATTTAAACAATTTGAAATCCTTGGTGTCCTGGTTGAAGGCACGCAGAGATCTGCCGATGGAACAGATGTACTATTTCCACTCACCCCTGCTTTAAAGAATAACCCTGAACAAAGTACTCCTTTCAGAGGAGTGATGATTCAGCCCTCCCACTCTGAGGAAGACGTCTTGCCAGTTGTGATACGCAAATAGTCAAAGCTAATGATACATTTTTTGCCTATGTTACTATATCTTACTAGTGTGACATGCCATTAAACATAGTAATGCTGGTATGGGTTTGAGTTAATCTACATGTATTTCCAGCAGTGCAACACAAGATTCGGGCAGGCCAGAGGAAGGGCCTAATAAGAGTCCAATTATAGCATAGGGTTATTGGATGGGTGGCTAAGGAGAAGTACTCCTCTTCCATGCTGAGGCATCCCCTGTAAAAATTGTGCTTGCTGCAATTAAGGCTTTTTAAAGTTTTCCATTTGTAAAGCATGATTGTGTGTGTTTAAAGCCTGCAGCTGGTTGTGGAGGTGGCATGGAATCTGCTTTGTGGGTCTGAAGGGTTTTAATCCTCCCTCCACCATTTTTACAACCTGAATTCCCCGCTTCCAAAATAACTACTTTCCCCATGGTGGAAAAGTCAGATGTGCTATAAAGGCCACAAAACTGCTGGGAAAACAGAATCACAAACTACTTCAAGTGGGCCGTACAGAAATATAATTCTTGGCTCTTGTGCACATCTTCCTTCCTAACCCTCACTCCTACTTGTTCCTTGCCTTGTTCAAATCCACTGTACCATCTCCTCCTCCCATGATAGAAAAGGCAGCTCAGGTGTCTAAGCCCTGAACAGCTCACCCAACTAACATCTAATTAAATAAATGCATTTCTGAAGTCATAGCTCTTGCTCCCAAATGTCTTCTCTATTATTATTACATTGCATTTCCATCCTGCCTTATTCTTCTTGTGAGAAACCCAAGACAGCTTGCATAGCTCCTTTTTCTCCTCACAACAACCCTGAAACTTAGGTTAGGTTGGGAGTCTGACTGGCCCAAAGTCACCCAATGAGTTTCACTGGATCTCCCAGGTCCCCAGACCAACACTCAAACCACCCCGCCACTCTGGCTCTATACTGGCAATTTTACTGCAATAGCCATGGATCTCTCAAGTCTTTAGAGGTCATGTAACCCTAAACAATACCGTATGGTTACCATGTAGCATGATATTTCACCATCTTGTGTTCACTATTTTCATGATACATATTCATGAATAGGTTGAATACACCTCCATTATCCCTCCAAATGGTGGCATATAACCCATCAGACCCCACAGCTAGGAATCAATCCCAGAGTGCACTGCTCCTGCCTACCCCCCCCCCACACACACTTCTTCCCCATTTGCTCACATATCCCTTCCCTTAGCATGTTCTCAGCCAGCCAGAATTTTTTTTCCCTGCTGTTCCATAGAGCTACTGCTACTCAGCAGAGTAGAACAGTTGCTCTGCAGAAACAACAGAGCAGCTCGCCACACTGCTGCCGTGCTTCATGCCAATGCATAGGCACCTGCCCACACCTCTCCCTCCTGCCTTGCTACACATGTGCCCAATGCACCCCCCATGCAACATTTGCACATGCTTCTGAGGCTGCCTCCCTGCAGCAGCCCAGCACAAAAATGGCAATAGCATGGGCACCAGTGCCAGGGACAGAGGGAATGTGCCCTCCTGAGCACACTTTCCCATGGATGCCTGTGTGGCATCTGCCTGGAAAAGTGTCTCTGCAAGGTACAAGGACTATGATTGTCCTGAAGTTGGGGAAGGGTGACAGAGCAGGGACACAGGCTGTTCGGGGCAGGCACACTGATGGCAATGCCCACTCATAGTTTGCATGCTCCCCATGTGAAGGGCTGCCATCACATGAGCCCACTTGCTCCCAGCATAGGACAATTGCAGGACTTACCTCATCCTTCCATGCAAGTGTGATACCCTTCCTTCCCAGTGCCCGGTGTGTTACTCTGGGCCCAACTCATGTGGGAGGCCCTCAATACCATCCCCAGTACTCTGATTCTACCATCACTTGGAATAAGACCATCACAAAGAAGGTGGGATGCTCAAGAAACAAGATAGAGAGTGTGGAACCCGACTGGGAAACTGGCATGTCATACACCTACTAATTTAGAGCCGTCACTGCCTCTTTGTTCAAGCATCCACTATAGCTGTCAGCTAAATATAGTGGGAAGAAAGTCAACACTGAAAAGGAGCATTGGAGTGAAGCCATTGAAGTTTCTGAGTCAGTCTGAGTAATTCTGCTTCCTGGAGCCAAAATTCACATATGGCATTACAAGTTTTGTCAAAGCAAGGGAGATATTTTCTTCTGTCATGACCTGGCTTTTGAAAATGATCCTTTGCTGCCGGCTGTGATCCTGCTGTTTCTGACTGACAATAGGGCATAAGAATATAGTCTAGAACAGTGATGGCGAACTTTTTAGAGATGAAGTGCCCAAACTGCAACCCAAAACCCACTTATTTATCACAAAGTACCAACACTGCAATCAAACCTGAATACTGAGGTTTAAGTTTAGAAAAAACAATTCACAGCCAGTCCTAGCAAATATCCTTGGCGGTGCATGGCCCCTATGTGTGCTGTTACCTGATGCTCAGCTGCTTAGACGATGCAGAGGTGACTTGGCTTGCATGCTGACAGAGAGGGCTCTGCATGCCTGCTGTGGCACACATCCCATAGGTTCATCACCACTGTCCTAACCCTACCCTGGTGCACTCCTCTAACCCTAATATAGGGCTAAAGTTCCCTGGAAAAGAGGGCGATGTTGAAAAAGCCCTCCTTGAGTAGCTTTTTCTGCGCAGCTCATCATTTCTGCCAATTCCAAACACATTCCAACCATCAAAACCATGCCGGGACACCTCGTTTTTCTAATCCCAACCCTACCCTGGTGCACACCCCTAACCCTAATATAGGGGTAAAGTTCCATTGAAAAGAGGGCGATTTTGAAAAAGTCATCCTTGAGTAGCTTTTTCTGCACTGCTCATCATTTCTGCCCATTCTAAACACATTCCAACCATCAAAATTATACCAGGATGCCTCCTTTTCTAACCCTAACCCAGTGATGGTAAAACCTTTTAGAGACCGAGTGAACTGAACCGAACCCAAAACCCACTTATTTATCACAAAGTGCCAACACTGCAATCAAACCTGAATACCGAGATTTTATTTTAGAAAAAACAACTCACAGACCCTCCAAGCAAATATATACATAGCCTTGGCAGCGTACTGACCAGCTATGAGAAAGCTCGGACTAGTCGTGGCTAATGAGTCATGGCTCGTGACATCATTGCCTGGCACTGCTACTCTTTTCTGAGCATGCGCATGGTCCATATGTCTGCTGTTACCTGATGCTCGGCTGCTGGGGCTATGCTGGGGCAACTTCTCTCGCAACTTCGCTGTGTACAGAGAGGGCTCTGTGTGCCCACTGTGGCAGGCATGCCATTGGTTCACCAGCACTGGTCTAGAAGATCCATCTTCATCCTGGTTCAGCTGCCACCTATCATCCATTCTCTCACCATTCACTATCTTTACTATAAACAGAGTCTATGCTAAGTCCCCATTCTAACACTGTAAGTCAAGCACACGTGTCATTGGAAGTCCCCTTAATTTTACCAAAGATAGACAATATATCCATACTACTGAAAACATATATTTGTTAACATTTCTAGCTGCACTTTAATCAAGGGGGTTGGAAAATGGAAAGCAGATGTTTTCCACACAGACAATTTCTGCATGATAATGTTGATTCTGGAGTAATTTACATGAAGTAATGTCTCATATGGGGTCTAAATGTCAACAGTCTTAATTATTTATCCTTATTCAGTTCATGCAGCCACATTTCTTATAGCTTTTACATTTTTTATTACATTATAATTCAATTTTATGCTGTCCCCTCTGATTTAGTCCAAGTTGGTGTTTTGTTTGTTTTTGGCCAGAAGTGACCATGTGGAAAGACTGACTAAATATAGACACAGTATCAGTGGGGACCCCACAGCTTATTTTCTATATTTATTTAGCTCTGGTATGACTATCCTTGTATCCTTAAATATTTTTGTAATAATTTTGTTCAAGGAAAGGCCAAAAAATCTTTCCGAAACAGTACCCTTTTCTTAATTCAGATTAAAGACTAACAATAGGCAAATGCCAACTTTGGGAGCCCATTAGTGCACAAGTTAACCCTGTGGGCTCAGATTGCATCTGGTGTCTTTCATGCATGCCCTCTTTTTCCCTTTAGCTTCAGACAGGTAGCCCACGCTGAATGAGATCATTGGAGAGCTAGACTTTTTATCCTAGAGGGATACCAGGTAGTTTGTTTTTTGTTTTGTTGCACAGCATTGCCAGGAGTCTCTGTTTTGCTTCCATTCCCTGATAATATGCAGCTGCCTGACTCAGCCTCATGATTGTGCATCACTTTCCATGAACAATAGGAATAGAAATGCCAGCCTGTTTTCAGAGAAAAGCTGGCAGTTCTGCAGTGCAGCATCATGGCAACGTGTCCTTTGCTGAATGCACCAGAATGGAACAGGGCCAAGAAGTCACTGCAGCTGATGGGAAAAGGTGTCCAGGCACTGTGCAGCCACCCTGGGATTTACAGCTGCAGGGGGTGGGGCCTGACTAACTCAAATTTGCTGTGGGTCCTCAAGCACCATCTCCCCTTCTTCTGCCCTCAGTCCTCAACTGGTACCTCAGTGGACGCAGAGAGCAGGATGATGGCTGCCAAAAATAGACCCCCAAATGGTCAACCAGCTACCGTTTTTTGTAAGCCGCCCCAAGGTTCTTTGCGAATGGGGCAGCATAGAAATGTTTTAAATAAAAAATAAATAAATACCGCTACTATTGCACCTGACATGGCATCTGCAGGAGCAAAGGGTGGGTAGCCTGAACTGGAGCACACAAACCCCCTAACCCTGGTTTAGAAGCCCAGTTGCCGCGAAAATATTCGCTCAGTTGTTTGTTTTGACTGAGAGAGCTGATTCTCCAATTCCAGCCATCTCAGGGGAGATGCTAATGAACCAACCACTCTTGGGTCAAGAGGTTTTTTACTGAAACCAGCTGCAGCAGGGTGAAGCTTTGGCTAACGCCATACAAAAGAGCTTCATGCCCCCCTTCCCATTCCCCAACAGTTATATCCTCCAGTCTTTAAGGATGTATAATTCCAAACAGCCAATCAGCAAGCCACACATTCTAACATTTACTTGTTGTTGCTCTTCTTACTTGACCTTGAACATACAGTTATTTCGATAAGGCTGTTCAGGGAGTATACTTTCTTGAGCTCTAGAGCCACAAGTAACTGAATACGCTTCTACTCTAAGCTGTGTTTTTGTACAACCCAGTCAAAGGGGGCCCATGCCCCCACCCCAGCTCAGCCACTGCACCCCACACAGCCCAACTAGCAAGATCCACTGAGAACAAAGACTGACTCTCATTTTATCTCTTGTCCCATTTAGAATTTCCAGGTTTAAATATCTTATCACTGAAACACTGTGGAAAACTAGTTGTGCTTCCAAGCATGTGTAGGTTACACTGAGCACAGAGTAACTGCCACCCCTCACAGCTCATCTGGGATCGGAAGGAAAGGCATCTGGACTTTGCATTTATTACAACACAATCCTGCACAGGCTTTTTTTTTGCTCAGATTTTGAGCCCACTGATTCCTGGGAAGCAAGATGCCCAGTAACCACACAGAGATTGTAGCCTAGTGGCACATTCTCGTATTTGTGTTTCCTTGGATTTTAAGAGCCATTGGGTTTATTGGTCCTCACTCCCAAGAAAATGTTTAGGATGCTGGTCTGTAAGGCATATTCAAGCCTTCAGTCAAGACTGTTCACAGGAGGCCTTGAGTTAAAATCCACGCACAAGTGGCCCAATGTGCTGAGTAAAGTGTGGTGGGTTTTTTGCAAATGGCCACATACACATGGTGAGATGGTCCCTGTTCCAGGCTTTTCTTTCCAGAGGAATCGGGGCAGAATAGATTGTAGAGGCTGGCAGATGGCTAGAATGCCACCCCACAGAAGCGGCCCTGATCAGCCTTCCCCAACCTGGTGCCCTCCAGATGTGTTGGACTGCAGCTCTCATCCCCCCATTCTAAGATGGATCCCTCTCATCCATCTTAGAATGATGGAAAAGATCATTTTCCTCTTCAGTCCTGCACACCCAGAGGGCACCAGATTGAAGAGGGCTGAGCTAAAGGTTAGGGTACAGGAGGTAAGAAAGCACTATTGACTATTGAACCAGATTGGCTCATGGACTAGGGGTTCTCATCCCCAAGTTATGGCACTTGGTTTCTTTTTTAGAAGAAAGAAGATTATAAAAGGTGCATACAAAGATGCACAGCGTGGAGAAATCAAAGAGAGAAAACTTTTAATCACTCCATCAGGAGGCCATTTATTTGCTACCCCAAAGGAGGAAATATGTCACCAGAAAAGAGGGCAAGAACAGGAACACATCTATATAACATTGGATATATTATGTCATTCAGAGAGAAAGAAAAGGTGTCTCATGCATCATGTAACCAGTTTACCACTCATACACTGTTTGAGTCACATCTCCATGCTCCACTCAGTCTGGGTGCTGCTTTTTAGACAGTGCACAATTCAGGCCACCCAACACTCATGGCACAGAGTTCTCTTCTTATGGAAGACATCAGCTCCGAGAACTATTCACAAATTCCTCTGATTGGTTATCCCATCCTTGAGTAAGTTTCATCAAAGCCATGTGGTTTTCTGTGTCTGGCACTAGTTCATATTTTTCTTTGGAGCATTTGAGTCAGCATTCAGATTACATGTGAAAATGTGTGTGTACACAGAAAGAGAGAGACAGAGAGAGCGAGAGCTTTCCTGCTAACATAACCCTTTTTCATAGATATAAGGACTCATGCACCAAGGGTTTTTTTAAATGTTTTTTTTATAAGCAATCTCCAGACAAAAATAAGCCGCTCCCGTTCCTTGCCTAGGGGCCTCCCTCTCTTCTGGCATGATTGCTTTTGTTTGGCCTTGAATTTTCAGTCTTCAGGAGACAAACTTGAAAGACGTGGAGAAGGATGACCACCCTGCTGATTCGAGATCAATCTTGCAAAGATTCCTGTGGCTCTAAGATTTCATCAGTAGCTGCTTTGTACTAGGAATGGCGGACCGGGAAAAGCATGTGCACAACTAAATTGCTTCCAGATTATATTGTTGTTTGGAAAATTGGAATGGAAATCACTCAAAGGCTGGGCCATTGAGGGGACTTCAGCTGGGCTTTATCCCCTTTGTTCCTCTCCTCCACTCCTCCACTTTTCAGAGAAGCTAATGGGAAAAAGCTCTCCCTCCTCTTCCTTCTGTTTTTTTCAGATTTTCCTATAAATGAAGCCATGTATAATGGAAAAAGAATTTGGAGCAACTAGAAAAGAGACAAAGAGGAGAACTGATGAATCCTTTGTGTGGATCTTTTCATCTAGACTAGAAAAGGAACAGTGAGTATCCCTATCCATACCTTCCAACCTGGTTTGGAGAAAATAAAAATGAAATTAGGTCGGCAGTGAGAGAGGGATTTGGGAAACAGTCTGCGGGTGAGAGTGGAGATTAAAAGGCTATTGTCAGGAAATATCCCAAGAGGGCAAAAGCAATTTGTAGAGGAGGAGCCACTGTAATCGTGAGATGCAGAGAAATAACAGGTTAGTGAAGCAGGCACAAGTTCAACTGGGAGAAGCAACATCAGTTTGATTTCTGCCTACTGTCCAACTATTAATGATATAGGATCCCTATTGGAAGGAAATGCTTCTGGATTTTCATTCTTGTACTCAATTATTTTTATACAGCGCTGAAGAGAACTGGAGTTGCTGTTGTGGTGCTGTGTTTATATTCTGCCTTTTGCCCTTCAGCAAGAAACCCAAGGTTCTCATCTCCATCTCCATTCTGTCCTCAAAACAGCCATACTGTGAGGTGGGCTAGGGTGAGAGGCAGTGACTGGCCCCAAGTCTCTCGGTTCCATGGCTGCCTTGTAGCTGCAGTTCTGCCATTGGTTCACATGTTCCTCAGCCATCAAGTTCAGTGGACCTCATGCAGTGAAGAGATGCCTACACTGCATGCAGCAGCTGGCCCAGTTCAATCTCTGGTAGCCCCAGTGGAAGGGAGCAGGTGGGAGGTGGTGGGAAGGAGACCTGGCTAAGAAAAGGAGCAGGATAGGAAACTCTCTGACATGGTACAGAGCTGACGTGAAGCAGAGTCAGTGAGAGGCACCCAGCTCCTTTCAGCCAGAGGGCCAGATTCCATTTTGGAGAAGCTCTCCGGTGGGTGAAGCTGAAGGCAAAAGGGGCAAGACCTATTGGCCTCTTTCAACTGAAAGCCTGGATTGCCAGTAAGGAATTCAAGCTTTTGGAATGGGGGGAAATGGCCCAGAAACTAGGAGACCACCAAATGACCAGTGGTCAAGTTATGACAGGAAGGAGTCAGCGGGGGAACCAGGAGGGCCAGTTTGGAACCCTGGCTCTAAGATGTCACAACCCATGTTTGGCCTGATGGGAAAAATAGTGTGGCTTGATAAGAGGCAGCTTCCCAGCACACCTGGTACAGCGAGATAAACATCATGTTATCCAAGCTGAGCTCTTTGTAGGGAAAGAGAAATCCATCCAAGGTTTAAAGAGATACCCGTCACACACCCCTTCTCTGTTTGTCTGCTCAGGGTCACTTAGAAGCCATCTACCTCTCTAGGGTGCAGGATCCTATCAGAGCAACCATGGCCATCCGGCTCCTCTTCCGAGCAGCGCTCTTCACATTTCTCTCGCTTCTCCAGCCAATAGCCTGTGGCCACTGTCAACAGTTCCCCAGAACCATCTGCAGGAAACACGCTGCCTTTGTGCCTGGCCACAGCTTCATTGGTGAGGGGGTTGACATCACCACTCTGGAGGGAAAGGGAGCTTACGTGGTGGACACCAGCCGGTGGCAGGGACCCAACGGGACATGCACCTTGTGCCGGAATCCGTTGATGGAGGGGCAGCTGCAGAAACTCCCCCTGGCTGCCGTGGACTGGCGGGTGCACAGCGACTGCCGCCGGCACATGAGCAGCTCCATGGAACATTCTGATGTGGATGTGGCAAATGCAGTGGCCAAGGAGGTGAAGAATGACTGGAAAAGCCACCTGGGGTTGCATCCAGAGGAAGGCATTGACGAGAAGATGGACCAACAGCTGCCCAAGGCCCAGGTGGCCTTTGCTGCTTCTCACTCCTGGATGACCCTTTATGCTCATGAGAGGTCCCGGCAAGACAGCCATGTTTTTTTCAGACAAGAGGTCTCCTGCGAATACTACAGGTGAGCAGCAGTACACCTGGAGCAGGGATGCAGAGCATAGAGTGAGCAGGGGGACCAGTTGCCCTCCACTGGATTCCCAGGGGCTTGGCGATCCCTTTCCCCATTTTAAGTTTCTCTGTCCAGAGGAGAGGGACAAGGTTGTATAGCCCACCTCAGCATGGAGCAGGGGACTCAGCCACCACAGCCAGTCCAGGCATGCCCCTGGATTGGGGGAATTCAGTGAGGACGACCAGCAGCATGAGAAAGGACGTTAGCCAGTGCTGGGAAGAGTAGCTTCTTTCCAGTTGAGTTGTGTCTTCCATGTGGCTCATATCACACTCAATGATCCAAAAGAATAGCGCCCCCCCCACCCACACACAAAGAAAGCCCTTTACCAAGCAGCCAGTCCTCTCAGCACCCACTAAGTCTGTGTCCCAGCTGTTATCTCCCATTTCAGTTTGGCGTTAATGTGGGGTTCCTCCCATAGGAGGAGTTGGGATGATAAACCCCGTTCCTTAGAGGATCCCTCAGAGGCTTTGAGGGCTGAACTAGGAATCCAGGCACACCAGTTTAGGGCTGGAGTTTCTGCATCCCTGCCCTGGAGCCACAAATGGCTGGGAATATGCCGGAGCCTTGCTAGGAAGGATGCCTTGCTTCTGTGTGCACATCACCAGACTTGGCTTCTCATAGCCTGCCTTTCTTGTTCTCTCCCTGAGCAGCCTGAGGCTTCTCCAGAGTCCCTTACTGCTAGCCTCCGACTTCTCCTGGGCTGTGGGCAACTTGCCAAGGAAGCATGACCCTGAGGAATACCAGCACTTCATTGACATCTATGGTACCCACTATATCAGCCAGGTGCAGCTGGGTGGGCAAGTGAGGCACCTCATCGCTTTGCAGACCTGTGCAATGGCCTGGAAGGATCTGTCAGCTGCTGACATCAAGCAGTGCTTCAGCTGGGAAATTTCTCTAGGATACCAATGGCTCTCAGGCGCCAGATCCCTTGGTTCCAATTGCAAAGACCTGTGGAGGGGCCAAGGCCAAGGGAAGTTTTTTAACTCTTACCACATGCAGCACACGGACGTGATGGGAGGAGACAAGCAGGTAGAGATGCTGTTTTTGGAAAGCGGGGAGGTTCAGCGCTTCTCAGAGTGGATGGAGAGCGCCAAAGCAAAGCCTGGCCTGGTCTCCTACTCGCTTCTTCCACTGCACACTCTGTTGCGTCGGAGAGACCCCAGGAGGGATTTGCTGCGGCAAGCCATTGTGACCCATATACGACAGAGGGCCCTCATTCGGAACTGCCCCCCAGACTGCCCACACTGGAGCTCCCAAGAGCACTGTGCATGCATGTGTCGGGGCAGCAGTGTCACCAACAAGAAGTGCTGTGCTCGGGAGGAAGGCATGGCCCACCTCAAGTTCCACATTGACAATGGATCCAACCTGTGGGGCGACCGCTTCACAGCCACTGACGCCTACGTGAAAGTCTTCTTCCAAGGGCAGGTGCAGCAGACCAAGGTCATTGGTAATGACAATGACCCCTGGTGGCAGGCAACTCTGGACTTCGGGACCGTCACACTGTCGGGCCACAACCGCTTTGCCGTGGAGCTCTGGGACAATGACGTTTGGCATGACGACCTGTTGCAGAGATGCTGGGAAAAACTGGAAGCGGGAATCAACATCCCACGCAAATGTCATGCCAGTTATGGGTATGTTGCATATTCTTACTCATTAGAGTGTGGCCGCACCATGGGGGGGGCCCACCTGTCATGACTATGTCCCCTTACAGCTGCCAACGTCTTATTTCAACAATACGACTCCTGCAATCAGGGTTTCATCGTTATCCCAGTGGTTCCATGACCGTAGGCTCTGGGGACAGGACAAAACTAGACATTTCTAAGACGTGTCTGGGAGAAGTCTTGTTGAGCCGGGGCATTGTTGGGAAAAATCCACTGGATCTGGGAATATGGCCTGGTTGTTCTAGGAGTGTCAACAAAAGAACTGTTACAGGATCAGCTCTTGGTCTTAGTGTTATGAGCACCTCTCCCCCCCCACCCCCCTTTGCTTTTCTTCTAAACAGAAGATCTTTAATGTCCTGTATTTGACCTAGACAGGGCTTTTGTGCTACAGGGTGCTTCATAAGAAGGCTGTTTTCAGGCATCAGTCAAAGTAGTGTCATCCCCAGTTTGTGGGAGCAGCTCTTGCCCATGTGAAGAGTTGATTCCAAACTGAAGATCTCTGTCTTCTCAAAGACTTGGCTCCACTTTCAGGGAGGTTTGCACTGCTGGTGGGCCAGATCAAGGGAAGGCTGGATGTGACTTACTAGGTCTGCTCACTTTGCCTCATTGCAAGCTCACTGGCTTAATAAATGCACACCCCTCCCTCAAGCACATAGAAACAGAGCGAGTCAGAAGGGGCCATGGCTGTTCTCTCTCTTTGTGCCTCCCTTCATACCTGAGGCAGTTGGTTCTGTCGGACAAATCCTGATATTTAACCTTGACATTTCAATCTCGCATTCCAATTCCTTGCCTTCTCTATCTTGTTCCCATTGGGAGTTTGAGCTTTCTAACTAATGCTGTGTCTTGAGAGAAACAGAACCCGTCTCTATATTTAGGTCCCTCCAAAACCTATCGCATAAACCTCAAAACTCTCCTCCCACATATAGAAAAATATGCAGTTTTTCTTATAATTGGATTTCATGCTAAGTCAGACTACAGCTTCTTTAGCCTGGCAGTGGTTTTCCAGATCTCAGAATCCCTCAAACATGCACAGCCATGTGATATTTCTTACATCCATGCAACTGTGAAACTGTTAGGTGATCCTACCAAGGCTGGGGTCACCGGTATCATTCTCATTAATTCCTGTACTGCAAAGGTATGTTTGTGCTTTTGCACATACTTCCTTGTGCATGCATTCCACAATGCATTCCTTAATATCGGAATGGGCAGAAAGTAGGTCTTCCAGTGTTTTGGTCGTCAGCCCCCAGCATTCCTGATCATTGGCCATGCTGGCAGAGACTTCTGGGAGCTGGACATCATAAAGACATGGAGATCCACCATCTGCTTGTCCCTGTCGCAGCATAGCCCGGTGACTGGTATTCATAGCCAGACATGGCAAAGTGGTGTGTGTTTAAGTTCCCATTCACCTGCTTGTGTGCGTAAATCGAGCCCTGTATATGTACAGCACACATGGTTCCCACTATCCCTGGGATCGAGGCCCATGATTATTGTGGTGTTTTGCCCCTTCTACCAACAGTCACTCCCTCCGGTCGATGCACAAGGAATTCTGGAGCTGGGAGTTCAAGAGAGCATGGCACACTAGCAAGCACATGTTTCTCTCTTGTAAGGACACAAGTCCTTGCTCTCTCTTCTAGGGAAGGACCAGCAAATCCAAGTTCAGAGAGTCACTTGAACTGTCTCAGTGGGATCCAGAAAATCTTGCAAAAGCAGGAAAATAAGGACATAGTTGCAGATAAATTAAGTTCCTCTAAATAGCCTCAAGGATGTCTGACAAGTTAGCCTAGATCTCCCCTATCTTGGTAATGAGCTTGCAGCCTGAGCTGGGCCCTGCTAAAGTATGTCCCCCATTCCTGCTTGCCATGCTTGGAACCTCACCTCCTCATCCTCACCAATGAAGTAAATTCCAGATTTGAAACTGCAGAAAACTACTTTGGAAGGGAGTTTATATAATAAACTTGTTTTGCACATGCTCTGTGTGTGTGTGTGTAATTATTCTCCACAAGATAAGAAAAAATGTCAAAAGGCCCTGGTCAAAAACAAACCCCTTAGGATATCCCCCTCCCCCAGCAAAAAAGAAAAACTGGTGAAGTTTTTGAAAAGTTAACATGGAGCAGAATAGTTTATTTTTTAGACCTGTTTTCTGTTACCAAACAAAGCAGAGGCACAACTATTCTTCACTAGTGCATCTAGGACCAATTGCCATCTGGCTTCCTTTCAGTGAGCAGTCTATCCAGTCATTATGCCATTGGAAAGATTTGGAGAAGCTGAATTTATTTTGTAATTCCTGCCCAATTCTTACAGACTCTTTTGTGCCTCTTAGATTGCAAGCCCCAAAGCAAGGAAGGCATGAATCATTTTGTGGTTTTTTTAAACAATGCTTGAACACTGCCAAAAATATACTTGCCATTCCCTAATCACTAATAATAATCACTACCCCTCCGTTGTCTAATAATGCTGATGAGTAGCCAACCAACTGGGAAATAAGAGGGAAGTTACAGCGCGATTCCCGCCGCCCCCGCTTGAAACAAGAATAAGCAGAAAATGCTGGTTGGAGACTAGTCTGAATTGGGTTATGAAGCGCGCTTTCAGCTTTACTTCACCTCTGCCCATTGTACTCATCATTGCCGGCCGTGAGTCATTCCCAAATCCCAAGCAAGCGGCGGAGGCATCCGCAGGAAGGAGAACGAGGCCCCTCCGCTGCTTCTCCTGCCCCTATCTTTGGCTTCACTGGAGACCCACATTGCTGGGAACTCACCCGCCTTCCGCAGGCGGCGCCCTGCTAGGGCGGTGCTTGGCCCTTCTCTCAGACCTTCCCAAAGGCGGAGCAAGGGTGACGAACACCCCGTAAGTGGCCTCTACGGAGAGCTTCCTCCCAGCATGTACTTCATGCGCCACACGCGTCTTATATATGGTTTCTTACGCTGCTCTCACCCTGGTCAGGGTGAGCAACGATTGATAGGCCTTCTCTTTTTTTTTTTTTTTTTAGTGGATCGGTTAAGAGATTTCACCTCACCAGGCATAAAGTCCAATCAGCGCCTGAAATTTTAATTACCTTCCCTTTACAAAAACCGAAACAAAACAAGTGTGTGGGAAACGCTCAACTGGGAGCGGCGACCGTCATGCAGCGCTTTCGATTTGCATGTCTCAAACCTCCCCCTCCGAGCTCGTGTTTTCACTCGGCAAACCGCTCCCCGCTCCCCACCTGCAGGAGGGGCTGGCATGCAAGCGAGACGTAAGCTAACGAGGGAGGGAGGGAGGCGGGGACACGCTTTCGCGCGGACCGTTCCCGGGGGCGCGCCAGGAGAAGCCGGAAAGAGCGGGCTTTGGCTGCTGTGTCGCAGCCCCGCCGCAAAACAGGCTAGCGCGGATCAGGTTGGTTGCAGAACGGGAGATCCGTGGAGAACGCTGCGATGCCTGTGCTCGCAGCCCGGGCTCTGGAGACAGATCCGCGCGAGAGATTGGAAAAGGGGGAGCAGCTCCGCTTCCTTGCGATGGACAGGCGGTGGGGGTGTGCAGCCTCAAGCGGAGGAAAGGCTGAGTGCCGGATCAGACCTGGTCCTCGGGCTGAGGGCTCAGCCCCAAAATAACGGGTTCTGAAACCCGGAGGTGGGAGGCGTAGGAGCAGGCTTGCTTGTTCGAGTGCCACTATCATTTTACAGCCAACCCCACCCCTTGCTCCAAGTTGCGTTTGTGAGATTCGAAAGGTCAGAGGCTGCCGGCATCGCCTGCACTTCCTCAATCGAAGTTTCTCTCCACCATGCCCCATCGGAGCGTGGTGCCTCTGAGCGTGCACTGAGTGCCGCTTATACGCGAGTAGGAAAGCTGGGTCACAGGCTGTCTGAATGGCATACACTCCATGCCCTGCACTGGCGCTTCTTTGATCTTCGTTTCTGCCCAAGAACATATGAAGAGCCCTGGCAGAGTGACCAACCGGCTGGCTGCTCCTGGGGAAGTCTCGAGGGTGCAGCAACACCCTTTCACCCATGATCCCCAGCAACTAGTGGACACAGACACACTGACCCTGATGCTGGAGGCAGCATGGAGCCAACAGGGCTAACAGCTTTGTTGGCCTCCTGCTCCATGAATTTGTCCAGCCCCCTTTTAAGCTGCCCAAACTGTTTGCCATTGCTGCATCTCTTGGAAGTTAATTCCATAGTCATTTTTTCAATTTATTTATTTGTTACAGTTATAGACCAGTGAAGCGGTCTTTTTCTCTATCCCGAATCTCCCACCAATCCACTTTGTGGGACTGCTCCTTCACAGTATGGTATTATGGGAAAGGGATAAGCAGGTCTTCCATGCCACTTTTTCCACATCATTCATAATTCAGAACATCTCTGTCATGTCTCCCCTTCCCTGCCTTCTTTCCAAGCCGAAAAGTGCCCATTTTATGCCCCACTGGAGCCAGTGGTGTGGGCAAATTGGAGAAATAACTCATCCAAGCCTTGTGAGAGGCTTGCATATTTACAACGGAGCTCTAGGGTGTCCTTGTTGCTTCATAACTGCAATATATTTTGACTGCTTCTTGTTTACTGCATCAGATCTGTGGCATCTTCTCCTGCAAGGCCATTACTCATCTCCCAGAGGAAACGGGGGTGGCAATGATGAATGATGCAAATAAATAATGGTGCAAATAAAGAATACATTTCTACAAGGAGCAAGTAAATGTTGGTGATAAAGGTGTATTGAATTATAAGAATAATAGAATGTTTTGTGGCAGAACCACCTTCCTGGACTGGAGGCCCTCTCATTTCTTTTGTATGTACCCATGTTTCTGCCAAGAAAATGGCTCTTAGGGCAGCTTATGGCTTTGAGTCGTCTTTTTAGATATAGTCACACCATCTATAAAACGATCAGTTAAATCAAGGAAGCAGTAGGCCTGTCCTTCCAGGGAAGGCTACTGTGCAGTGCCGGCCCTGTTCAGCCCCTTTCTCGTGCTCTCTCGCTGCTTCAGGGATGGGACGGAAGCGGAAGGCCGCCGAGGCTCTGGACGGGGAGCCCAGCCATGCAGGGTCAGAGCTGGAACTGCGCTGGGAATGGGAGAAGGGCGCCCATGGGTGGCTGCAGTTCCCGCCCGAGCAGAGCGAGGCCCTGAGCCAGGCAGCCCGGTGAGTTGGAACCCCCTTTGTTGCCCTTGCAATGGGGCTTGTCAGTGCTGCCCTGGCTTCTGTGATACAGGTGTGTGCGCTTCTCCTGCAGGGCAGGGAAGCTCTCCGTTGACATCGGGGAGTCCCGCGTGGACCTACGCAGGATGGTGCAGCGGGATAAGCAAACCGGGCTGGAAACGCGGGTGGCTGCGGCTGTCCGGGATCAGGATTCTTGTGAGTGACTCCGGTTTATATTGGAATCCACATCAGTGTCATGCTTTTTGCCAGGCCAACCCCCACATCAGGAAAATTGTGCAAAATTTCAAGAACTCCAGATGTCTTCAGCCATGCAGAGGTTCCAGAAAGCTGAGTTTGGTTAGGTTGGAGTGCTGGTGAGGTCAGCGCACTGGTATGTTCGAAGCCAAAGGTGTGGAGAGGGCTGCTACACTGAAAAATTAATATGATGGTTTTGATCTGCAGCTCTCCCTAGGAATGCTGGGAAACAGAATGGGAAAATTGTTGGGTCCCACACTTTGGAACTATAATCCCCTCCTCCAGCTCTGACATGCTTCCACCCGAGGTGAAGTGTGCTGGCCTCATTTACCAGGTTAGAAGCTGGTCATTAAAAACAAAAAAAAATCTTATTTTGCACATCAAGGAGTTCGGGGTGTCCACAACCCCCTATTTTATCCTCATGACAATCCATCCTGCTCCATGTATTTAGCTGAGAAAGAGACAGAGAGAAACTGTCCTTTTTATACTCGGTGCATTTTGGGTAATATTAATTATTGGTGTTATTATTCCTTACAGTTCTATACCACCTGAAGCCAAAGCTCTCTGGGCAGTTCACAGCATTAAGTCACCCATGCAGATTTCAACCAGGCCTGACCTTCAAAGCTTCAAATATTTGGCAGGATCAGGCATTTCAGGCTAATAATAATCATTATTAACCTACTTTATATCAGCCTTCCCCAGTCTTCCTTCTCCAGGTGTGTGCTTGGACTAGAATTCCCTGTCACACCTAATAATTTGGCCATGCTGAAGTTGACTGGAATTGCTGTCTGAAACACCTGAACAATATCAGACCGGGGAAGGCTGCTTTATATAACTGCGGTAGAAGCAGCATTTTAAATTTTGAAGATAATGTATCGTACTGGTAAGCCCAAGTCACTCCAGCCCGTTCCATGCAGTTTGCCCTGACATTTTTCTCCAGGAGGTCAGAGTGCCTCTGAGCACATGCTAAGGGCACATGTCTTGCCACTAAGGGAATGCTAGACAATCTGGATCCACTCTGCATTTATCTTGCCTGAATTTATACTGAAGTTCTCATCTCCCCACACCCCTCCTTCTCTGTTTACCACACAGACTTGGTCTGGCAGTGGAAAGGAGACCAGGAAGACGACTGGCTTCCGTACCCTGCGGACACCTGTCTGGCTTTACAGGCAGCCAGAAGTGGTCATGGGGAGCCCACAGTGGAGGTGATGGTTGGCCGGACAAGCTACAAGCTGGACACGATCCGCATGGTGCAGACAAACAACCGCACAAAGTTTGAACGCCAAATCGAATGCAGGGAGTCCGGTATGAGAGTGTCATATTTGCACTGACATTTATTACTACTGGTAGAAGTTGTGTAGCAATATTTATTACTATTAGGCAGTTGTCATGCACCTGTGATCTCTAACTCATGGAAGTTTGCAGGGCCTTTTCATGATGTCCTGCCCCCCACCCCCCTGGGCTTTTCCTGCATTTTCAGGTCATTTTTGCAGGGAGCTTCTAGAGCAAGTAAAGTCAGTTACTAAAATTCGAATTGAAACAAAAGCTTTGTGTATTGTGGTAAATCCACTATTCTGCAGTAGTACCACAGCGCCTCCTGGTGGCTGGCTAGTAGATTATATAGAACTCTGAAGGGAAAAACCATATACTGCCTGTATTTCAACTCCCTCCATGAATACAGAAGTAACCTCAGTAAAGCAGAGGAGCTAAACCTCATGCAGGGAGCCCGTTGAGGCTTAAACCTTTCTGTGTTCATTGTCTTACACCAGCCATGCAAGGGATCCTACGTTGTTATGAATACACCGAGAAGTGGAACCTTGTCAGAGGCTGCTGAGAAAATTGAGAGCTTCTAAGCAGGAATCCAGCCGGGAACATCCTAATTTTTGTAGCTCAGTATCGCAGTCATGAAGGACAAATGAGGTGATTTGCATCCCTTCTGGTTTTTATTTCTGTTTTGTTGTCATTCAGATGCTGCGGAGGTTACGGATGGAGGCTCTCAGCTGAGCAACAGCACCCCGGGTGACGCTGGACCCACTTGCACGAAAAAGGTCCAGAACAGGGTGGCTAAAGCAGCATCTCAAGGGGAGGGAGATAGCACAGGTAAGGGGCCAAGGACATGCGACTTGATGGCTGACAGTAGCAGGCCTCGTTCATGGGACATACACAAATGAATGGCAGTGGTTTGTAGTAAGCAGTGAAATGCTCAACCAGCAGCCTTGCTGGAGTATTCCCTGAATAGCCTTCAGGACTAGAGACTTGGCATTTTCAAAAATAATGCTGAGATTCATAGGACGTAGACTTAGGCACTGCAGTGCTAGATTCCGTACTTGTCAGGTGGATTGAAGGAACCCACCCGGTCCCACTGTAACCTCTGCTTCATGTAACCTGTAGAATCAGTGAAGACGGTGATACTTAAGGGAAAAGCGCCTGTGGACCCACAATGTGCTGCCAAAGTGGGGAAGGTAAGCCGCCTGCTCCGTGTATAATGCAAGCGTTTGCCAAGCATGCGCAAAGGAACGTGTCAGAACCAAACCTTGCTTGGTGGGGAGGCATTTCAACCTTTCACAGAGGGGAATAGTAGCCTAAAAGCTTGGAAACCAGCAAACCACTGGTGATGGGGGAAAGGGGGTGTGGCCAGGGGAAGGGGCGTGGCTTCCTGGGGATCTCTGGGGGGCGCCTGGACCTGAGGGTCCACAGCTCTGCTCTAAAAAGAATCGTGCCAATCAGATTTTCCAATGCATTTTCTCTGTGCTTGCTTCCTTCCGCTCTTCCTACCCACAAAAAAGGCTCACGTTTATTGTGAGGGTGAGGACATTTACGACATCATGTTGAATCAGGTGAGCGCTCAGTACCTACTTTTCACTAACGGGGAACTCTGGAGGGGTAAGCGAGAGAGCAGGTGGGGGTGGATTTTGGCCCTTCAGCTGGGCAGGCCTGTGTCCAAACCCCTGCGTGCCTGCAGAGGTCACCTTGGGGTACTCACCATTTCTCAGCTCGGCCTACTGTGCAGGGTTGTTGTGAGGATAGAAAGGGTGGGAGAGCCATCCCTTGGCGGAAGAGAAAGGCAGGAAACACCAGGCTAACCATGGCCTGTGGAAAGAAGTCTGTATGTCGAGGGGCAGGAAGCAAAGCAGCCCACCGAATTATGTTAGTGGCTTCCTTATATCCGTGTGGCCACATCACATCAGGGACCAGCGAGTGAGTTTGCATGAGGGCCTTTCTCCAGTGCGCCTGAAAAGGGGATCCGGATGGGTTCACTTTGAGGTAAGCAGGACGGGGAAAGGCAGAGGGCTTTGTTTTGTTTTGTCTTCCAATCCTGCCTCTTACCTCCCTGGTCGCCCTCTCCTGCTCCTAGACCAATCTGCAGTTCAACAACAACAAATATTACCTTATCCAGCTTTTGGAGGATGATGGAGTGCAGAACTACAGTGTCTGGATGCGCTGGGGGCGTGGTGAGTCGGGGGAATGGAGCTCACCCACAGAGGGGCAAAAGGAGCTTTGACAAACAGGAAATGAACGCAGAACTGAGACTGAACAAACTTTGCAGTTGTGACCTCTGACCTGGAAGCAGAGGATTTGATTGATGGCTGGTAGGAGAGCTCCAAAACTGAATATGGGTGTGACCTCAATGTAGGATCTATCTGTTGGTGGATCTTGGGCCACGTAGCAAGAGAGAGAACCTCCAGGTTTATAGACATGTCAGTTCTCGCTAACACACAGTGGGGGAAAGCTACCTGGAACCAGGCATTGCTTTCATACTCCACTCATATTCTTCTCAATGCCATCTGGCTAATCACAAGCACAGTTGGGCTGGGTTCACACAGCCCTGTGTGGTTGCCATTGTTTGTGGGGTTTTTTACCAAGATCTACCTGACAGATAATCCAGTGGTTTCTACAGCACTGTGGTTTCCATCCTACATATATCCCAACAGCTCCTGGGCCTGAAATTCAATCCCAAGGTGTATTGTTCCCCACCTGTGTTACCCGCCTCTTCCTCATTGGTCCACACACAGAGGCTGGATGACTAGAAAGGCTCCTTTCCAGAGGACACTGGAATAGTTGCATATCAGGACTGTGGAAACCATGATCAGACATCACAGCAAGCCATGGTGGTAGAACAAACCATTGTTTCTTATCAGAGTTTCTAAAGACCAAAATTACCATGGTGAAATACTGCTACTGGGTTCAGACAACATGACAGACTAACAATGTAAAAACCCCACCCTGATTTGTTGTGGAACCTAGCCACAGAGTACTACGTTGGTACATCAAATTCTTACATTCTTAAGCAGTTCATCCAAAATGTGTGAGGTCTGATTCTGAGCTTTAAATACTCTGGTGCCAGAGCTCCTGGACTTTTCCTCACCTTGGAAAGGAACTCTGTATGACCTATACACCATCCCACCCTTCGCAACAGTTGTGAGCCTTCCCATGCTCATTCTCCCTTTCTCACTCTTTTCTTCCTTCCTAGTGGGTAAACCGGGGCAACACTCCCTCGTGAGCTGCGGAGGAGATCTGGCTAAAGCCAAAGACGTCTTCACCAAAAAGTGAGTCAGGTCAACACTGTTTTTGACAATACTGCAACATGCTCACTGCCTCCCCTCCCTGATCTCATCTTGTTTTCACTTTGCGTGCCTGTCTTAGGTTCCTGGACAAAACCAAGAACGAATGGACCAAGCGCTCCAGTTTCCAGAAGGTTGCAGGCAAATATGACATTCTCCATCTGGACTATGAAGCCAGTGATGCAGTGAGCCTTCGGGTGGGAGGGAGGAGGGAGAAGTTTGATGGCCTAGCACATGCTCGTCTCATAATGTCTTCTCTGAATGCTCCTGCCAGGATGAGAAGGAAGCCCCACAAAAGTCAGCCCCACGCCCCAAGCCCGTGTCGCAGCTGGACCCCCGCGTGCAGGCCTTGGTTGAGCTGATCTGCAGCATCCGCACCATGGAGGAGATGGTGATGGAGATGAAGTACGACACCAGGAAGGCCCCTCTAGGTAAGCGGAGAGCTTTCATCCAGGCTAGGGCTGAACGTCGAATGTCTTCGAGCACCAGCAAAACAGAAGCAGTGGGCCCCTGTATAAACTGGGTGGAGGTGTTAGAGTTGTGGTGCCTGACGAGTTATTCACGGAAGTCGGGGGAGCTGGGAGTTTGCACTTGCGTGAAGTCCAAGGTGGAACAAGAAGGGTATGTTTTGCTGGCAGACTCACCTGAGAGGGACACTCCATGCCACCTTCAGCTGAGTGACCCTTTTCCATCTCTTCTCCAGGGAAACTGACGGCTGAGCAGATCCAAGCAGGGTACCAGTCATTGCAAAAGGTCGAGGCCTGCCTAAAGCGGAAGCAACCTGGCCGTGCCCTGCTGGAAGCTTGCAATGAATTCTACACACGGATCCCCCACGATTTTGGGTTAGCACTGCAGGGCTGGGGGCAAAGGGGGTTGTAGTCTGAGGCCTCTGGGGCGACATCTGTATAGCTACATGTTCCCCATCAATGAATTAAGCAATTTCGTTTGATTATTTTATTCATATATTTCTAAAAAAAATGTGTTCTGCCTTTTGCTGCAAAATGGTCTCAAAGTAGCTTACAATAATGCAGCAAGTGTTGATAGCTTTTGGGTGGGGTTTTCTGTTTTAGTCTGCCAAACTGTCTTGTGACCTAATATTCTTGTTTATTAAATTGGGTTTTTAAGATTGTTTTAAATATGGTAGAATTTGTCATTTTGAGTTCCTCTCAAGGAAACAGATGGGATATACATTTTAAAATAAGTAAAGAAACACAGTTCTAACCAAACAAGATTTAAAAAATGGCAAAATGAGCAAAATAAAAAGGAAGATAAAGGTCTAAAATTAGCAAGTAAAATTGCATTTAAAAACCTATCACATACCATTAAACCCCCTCAGAGCAAGAGACAGGCTTTGCCTGGTATTTAAAGAATAACAGGATTGGCACCAATGTATACATGACTAGGGCAAGAGTTCCAGAGTTTGGGTGCCACCACCAAAAATGCCCCTCCCTGGCCAACATTTCCTTGACCACAGGAGGCGAACACTCAGGGCAAGGAGGAAGATCTTCAACGAAAGACTTCCATCAGAAGAAGAATGCATATTTGCTGTGCAAACTCAGATATACTCAGTCTTACAACCTTTCCTAAAGACTCCACCCTTCACCTCTCTCCATTTCCTCCACCCCTTTGCAGACTGAAAACTCCTCCACTGATAAACACAGAACAGGAGCTACGAGAGAAGATGCAGTTGCTGGAGGTGAGGACAACTTAAATGCAATCACTGATCTGAGTTTAAAACTGAACGCTGGGATGATGAGGCCTCCCAGTGATCTGGACAGTGGAGCGCAAGGACTTCTCTGCTGCTTGGGGAGCAGCACTGATTTTGGTGCTGCAAGGCATTAACAACGGAAGCCTGCTGTGGCCAGTCTTCCTCAACTTGTTGCCCTGCAGATGTTTTGGACTGTAGTGCCCAGATTCCTGGCTATTGGCCCATCCTGGCTGAGGTTATCTGGAGCCCAAAACTCTGGAGGATACCAGGTTGGAGAAGAGTGTGTATTAGAAATGAATTTGTAGAAGTTCCTGCACTTCCAACTGAGCTAAGCCATATAATTAAGATTCTCCAATCTGATTCTCATTAACCGTGAGCTGTTTCAGAGGACTTGGGGAGCAGTAGTAATGTGAAACGTGTGTGGAGGGGGGTATCCCAAGATGCTGGAGGGATTGCCGTGAGGAGTCTGTTCCCCTTTAGGGCAGCAGCCCGGCACCTGCCATGTTTCAGACTACAAGTCCCATAAACCCAGATCATGAGCTATACTAGCTTGACCCGATGGAAGCTGCAGTCCACAAGGTCTGGAGGGCACCGAGTTGCTTACCCGTGTCTAAATTGTGCATTTATACCTGTCCATCTCTCCTGGCCTTCCTTTGCTTCTCAAGGCACTCGGCGAGATCCGTGTTGCCATCAAACTGGTGCGGTCGGACAGTACAGAGCTGGAGCACCCCTTGGACCGGAGCTACCGAGGACTAGGCTGTGAGCTCCAGCCCTTGGACAGGGAGGGCCCCGATTTCCAGGTATGTGTCAGGAGAGAAGAGGAGCACCTTCCCTTGCAGCCAAGAACCTTTTGGGGGACGCATATCCTCTGGTTTTCCAACTTCCCCTTCCTCTCCCAAGGTGCTAGAACGCTACTTGTTGTCCACGCACGCCCCCACCCACACGGATTACACCATGACCCTGCTGGAGGCCTTCATTCTGAACAAGGAGACCTCCGGATCTGGCCATTTCCGCTCCGATCTGCCCAACCGGTGAGTGGAGAGAGTGGCGCTGATGAGGGACACACAACCAAGCCCAGACATAGCTTCCAAATGCCCCCTGTTGCTTTCTTTTGCCCCCAGGACGCTGCTGTGGCACGGGTCCCGCCTGGGCAACTGGGCGGGGATTTTGAGCCAGGGGCTGCGTGTGGCACCGCCGGAGGCCCCGGTCACTGGCTACATGGTGAGTCTCTCCTCTGCACCTGGGCCCCTGGCTCCGAGTTTTGTCCTGCCTTGGGCCTGTGCTCCATCCAGTCCTCTCTCCTTCTCTCTCTCTATTTTCCAAGTTTGGCAAAGGCATCTACTTTGCGGACATGTCCTCCAAGAGCGCCAATTACTGCTTTGCCACCCGTGAGAGAGACATTGGCCTGCTGCTGCTGTCAGAGGTGAGGGCTGCATCCCTTTGGGGCGGGAAAAGAATAAACCAGCATCCATGCCTAAATAGAAGTTTGCACATGCTCTAAATTGAGCGACCTGGGACCTCGCAGCACCTCCTTCATCTCCCCCTCGCTGGGATCATTTGCACGCTCCGCTACCAAGTTCTGAGTGTTTCTGCCCTTCCTGCAGGTGGCGCTGGGGGAATGCAATGAACTCCTGGAGGCAAATCCTGATGCAGAGAAACTGCCGGCCGGCAAGCATAGCACCAAAGGGCTTGGCAAGCTAGCCCCGTCCCCAAGCAACAGCGTGGTGCTGTGAGTTGGCGTGGAGAGATGGGAGGGGAGCGTTCCAGCTGGGGACTGGCATTCGAGTTTGGGGACCTGGGCTTCAGCAGCTTGGCACTGCAGTGCAGGTCTGGCTGGCCTTCGACCCCTCGCTTAAGGCATTTGACGTGTGTAATGCCTGACAGTCTCAAAAGTGAGGATGATGGTGGAATCGGGCTCAGGGAATTGTGTCAGAGTCCAAGGCGTGGCAGCCAGTTAAACGTATGAATGCCAGGACCTTACTCCCAAGTATTAACCAAAATCGAGTCCGAATTCTAAGACGAGTAGATAAGCATGAACCAGAAATCAAGAGCCAGGAAGTCCACACAAGGACAGAGTACCTTTGGAGCAGGAGCAAGGTCCAGAGATAGGGAGAGCAGCCAAGGATCCACAGCAGGGTCCAGGAGCAAGAACAGGAGCAGCCATAGGTCAAGCGCAGGGTTCACAGCCAGGGCTTCATGTAGCAGCAGGAAATACCACAAGTCAGAAGGCCTTCATGTTGAAGCAGCTTCTAGAGGGAAGAGCCAGGTCTAATATAGCAATTCCCCAGGGCTCCTAGGTGATGCTCATAAGGGTCCTACTAGCTGCAGTAGGCTGTGGGTCCAATCCTGCAACTACCAGGGCTGCTATTCTGGCTTTGGCCAGAAGATCAAACCCTGAAGCTGCCCCAGATCCTGACAAATTGTATCAAGCTTTCTTAACACGTGTCAGCCACTCCCAGAATGAGCAGCGTCTGTTATGAAAGAATACGTGGATCACCTGGAGCATTATCTTTATATAGACTGTGGAGCTGTGTAGGTGCATAGGAGTACCTGGCTTCTTCTGCAGGACCACCAATTTGCAGCCCTTCTCTTGAGGTGTCTTAAATGTTGTTGTTACCTAGGTGAAGTTTCTCAGGGGAAGCAAAACCATCTTTCCTTGGGGAACAAATTCACAGGAACACTCGATTTCAGGGATTAACATACCCTTTAAAAATGTACATTAAGAAAAGTAATGTGTGTGGGGGTGGGGGGGGTGAAAAAATTCTTCAAATGAAGGTAGTACCATTCACTAGCAGCCTTCTTGAGAACTCTCAGGATGCAGACACAGGTCAAGAGATGGTGTTTTGATTGGCTCTTTCCCATGTCATGATCTTGCCTGTGCTCCCTCTTCCTCGGCAGGCATGGGGCAACGGTTCCGCTGGGCCCAGCTGTGGAAACTGGGGTAGTGAATCCCAGTGGCTACACCCTGAAGTACAACGAATTCATTGTCTATGACCCATGCCAGGTGCGTCTCAAGTACCTCCTCAAGGTGCACTTCAATTTTACTGAGCTCTGGTGAAGGGCCTCAAATACCAAAGGATGAACCCTGCTGGCATTTCCTTTACCTGACATTACAAGTGCCTTCGAGCAGAGAGAGTCTCCCTTCGACGGACTTTTTTCAAGCAGGAGCAGGTTTTTGCCAATTTAAGTGAAGCAAAAGGAAGCTGCTAAAAGAGAAGTGTGCCAGATTGCAAGGGGCCTCTAATTCCTTTTTGTTCTTGTTTATTACATGCGCAGTGGCTCTCTGAGCGGCACCCAGCATGGGTGAGATCACTTTATTTTTCAATAAACAGAATTCTTCTATAGGCCCAAATCTAGTGTGTGCTTGTGGCTGTAAATTTGTGAGGGACATAGCACATCTTTTCCCTTTTCCACCAGACTGAAGTTTCTCCCTCACAAAAGCAGCTGGTAACACCTGGATTCAGCCTCTTCTATGAATAGCATTTTTTCCCTCTGAGAATCACACGATTCTCACTGCATTTTAACCCAGTCTTCCTCCAAAAGGCCCAGAGATACTTGAGTCTCTGCACAAGCAACTGCCTCCCCCAACCTAGTGCTCTCAGGCATTCTGAATTTCAGCTCCCATCAGCCCCAGCCAACACAGGCAACAGCTGGAAGTGATGTCCTAGTCTAAAACATCTGCAAGGTACCCGTTTGACAAAGGCTGGGGGCAAGGGGAACATGAACAGATGAGTTTTAAAGCTTTCAGAAAGGTTTATGGTCATGTTCAGAGCTGGATTAGTTACTTGGACCGAGAGAAGAATAACAGTATGTAGAATGAAAAGACTTTGGAAAGGCACAGTATTTGGAATTTGTACAGGCAGTCTGCAGTGAAAGAATAAAAGAATTTGTCCCAACAAACACTTGACTCCAGTGGGGATCAGCTCAGTTTATTCAACAAGATTGTCTGGCTCATGTGAGGCCCTGCAGCTCAGAGTCTGGGCAGCTGCAGGCTGCGACACGGGAACCATCTCCAAGTCAACCGAGATCATTAGGGTGAGAGAATATCTTCCATTTCTGAGTCTGGAATCCTCCACCGAGTCAGTAGCAGCTGTACAGGCTCCGTTCAATGGTGGCTTAACTGGCAAGATGGTCCCACTCCAGGAAGTAGACGTGGCCCAGCGTGTCACCCACAGCGAGCAGGAGTGAGGAGTCGGACGAAGGGCGCGGCTCCAGGCACGAAACTGGAGCGCGGCACCGGAACTGCCCCAGCTGTGATACGTGGGTCGGGAGAGGGGAAAGGAAGGGGGGATACAGGACAGAGCAAGGATAAGGCAAGATCTGGGTCAACCAACCAAAAGGTGAAGGAGGGTTTGGGGAAGAACTTCAGAGCAAACGGGGCCCAGGGATCTGCTGACATACAGCCGAGTGGTCTTCACGCAGCCGGCCCGGTGTCCTCAGAATGCACCGGGCGACAGCTCCCACAGTCCCCATTCAAGCCGCCGGTTGCGCCCGTGGCTTTGAACGCACGCAGCTTAGACCGCAAAACATAGGCATGCACGAAATGTTCCCAGGGCAGGCCAGAGTGTTGGGGAAACAGCTCCCTGAGGTTGGGCCCCGCCATGCTCACGGACACTTACGAGTTTCATGGTGTTGCCATCCCAAATCTTCACATCCTGATCATGGGAGGCCGTGACAATCCTGTCTCCAAGAATGTGCATAGCTGTGATTCTGCCACTGTGAAGCTACAGGGTTGAAAATGGTCATGGATCAGGAAGGGATTTCCTTGGGTTGAAGAGGAATAATCTGAGCTGTTGAGGACATGCTGGTGGAAAAAGTACCCACTCTCCGTAAGAGCCATCCTTTCCAAAAAGATGATTTTTTTTCGTGGGAAACATCAAGTAAAGGTAGGGCAACTTCATCCATCAAAACAAGTCACTTAGACTTTTGTAGTCCTGGGTATTGTGCCTTTTCAGTGTTTTGCTGTGGCTGGTTAATTTTTATTTTTCTCACAGCTGCACGGTGAAACGCTTTTCCATGTTTTGGCTGCTTCGATATTGATCTCATTTTTAAATTATTGCTGTCCTGTCTCTGCTTTTAAATTCTTCCCTTAATATGCCCTTTACATTGGTTTTGCTGCATTTCTTTTAATGCATGGCTTATCACCCCGATAGCTTTAGTGATACGTCAAAGTATAAATTAAATAAATCAATAATATAAATAATTGATGCCAAAAATTGAGCTTTTTGGTGCAACAAATAAAAGCCATGCATTTTTATCATGTTTTTTGGTCAAAAAGGCTCTCATGGCAGTTTACAATGTTGAACAATCGAGTTCCCATGTGCAGTTTTGTCAGCGAAAAAGACATGATACCTGGGTGGGTGCACCAGAGGGGAAAATAAGGAATCCTTTTTGGTAGAGGATCGGCAGAACATTGCTGCTTTCCCTCTCCTGAGCAGTCGTGCCACTGCCTCTCCAGACAGAACCGGGCGCTGCACTTCCCCATCTCCACCCCCTTTCCCAGCAGATCTTTCTGACTGTTGGCATTTGAGCACCACTGCTGCCTTTGTCCCCTGCCAGGGGGTCATCGCACGTGTGGGATTCCAAGTGCACAGGGCAATTCCACTGTGCTCACCCAGGGAGCAGAGCGCTTCTCCGAGGGTTCTCCTGACACACCCCAACATCACCATCGCTCTTGGCTCTGCGGATGACAGCAACAGGCCGAAGCATCATGGGGACCGAGTGCTGTGCACCCCAAGCCACCTGGGAGATACTCCACACACCCCTCCGCGTGTCCAACCCAGCACAGCCCTGGCTCTCCATCAGTTGCATCCCCTCCTCCATCACTGGGACTCACCTTCCGGCTCTGCCAGGCATCGGGCTCACACCAATGGCTGCCCTCCTCATCCGGCTTGCTCTGTGTCCAGAGAAACCCCTCGGAGTCCGCACAGAACAGAGACTTCCCTGCCAGAAAGGAAAGCAGGAGCTGGAAGTGGCATTAAATCCCCGGCCAAAATGCCCAGCTCTATTTCAGGCCAGCTGGGGCTCTCACTCCCGATCAGCCCCCTACTCATCCCAGGCTCCTCCTCCTCCTCCTCTTCGGTATCCATCACAGGGTGTCAAGACACTTCGGTCTTATGCAAGGCTGCCCATCCATGCCTGTCGCTCACCTTGCATTACACAAATTATTGCCGCTTCCTAAAATCAGTCTGCTGATGTTTTCACTCCAGAGAGTGGGCATCAACTCAGGCTTTTCTAGGACTGATAAGCGGTCGAAAGACGGACAAGAAACTTCCAAGAGATACGAGGGCAAATGTTGTGAAATTTGGCTTGAGCAGAAATCTTGTCTCACGTTACAGGAGTACTTTAAGGGTGCGTTGAAAAATGGCTGCTAACACCTCACCTTTGACCACCCGAGCAACTGTGACCTGGCTGAAATGCTTGTTAGGGAGCCAGCCAATGTCCTCAGTGGTCTCCTGGCTTTCATCCAACTTCCCAGACTTGGTCACCATCTAGCAAAACAAAGATGACACGGCCCTGCTGAGAAAAAGCCTGGATGCAGCAGCCACGTTCCCTTGCACAAACCCGCCCAGGTTTGAAGATACTTTGGGGAGGCTCTTCTTCCAGGTTGGCCACCAACAGATACATATTTTGCGAGGCTGTGCGAGATGGCCTCATCAGTGGTGGCTCCCGAGATCTCCAACTCTGTGCCTGGAGGGGCTAGGCTGGCTTCCCTCTGGCCAGCTGGTACACATCGTTTTATCCTGACAGCCTTTTGCATTAAAACTCGGCTGCAGCTGAAGGAGATTCTAACTGGTTGGGGGTTACCTCTTTCGATCAGCTTTTGATGCATCAGTTTGATAAACGGCCCATGGCGGAGGACCACCTCCTCGCTCTGGAGTGCGCAGGGCTTCAGCCAATCCTTTCCCCTGGAGTACATGTGTCTGACCCCAAATAGCTGGCCTGCAGCTTGGACTGCCCCCCAGGCTCCCTGCCCCTCCTGATTTTATTTTATTTTCTCAAAGTTTTAAAAATTAGTGGAGGTGTGTTTTTACTGGGAGGGTGCTATGTTTCAAAGCAAAGGGCTATCCTCTAGCACATGCTTTATCTGGCTTTCTGTTTTGGAGCTTCGACCCCTTATACTCAGCCCGGAGCTAAGTTGCCTTCCATCGTTCCCTCCTTCCAGTCACAAGAGTTTGCCTTCTGGGAAAAGGAACGCTCCAGTGGCGGCCATTTTGCAAACCCTCCCAAAATGCTGCCCGTGCCCACTTGGGCCTGCAATGAGGACTCACCATCTTGAACAAGGAAGGCTGGTCCATGGAGTCCCAGACAAAAAAGCTGCCCTCTTCCTCATCGGAGGCCGTTATGTTGAAGCTGGCGTTGCTCCAGGTACTCCAGTGCTGATAGCTGTTTCTAAGAAAGATGAGCATGAGGGAATGTGAAGGTCGTGCGAGGGAAGGCCGTGCCCACACCATCACCACCATGCGCGGGAGTCCCCTCCCGGCCCACTCCGCCACTCACTCGGTGGTCTGGAAGTCCTCTGCTCCCGGCTTCAGCACCAGCAAGTCCCCCTTTTCGAGTCCGAGGAGCACAGTGGCGGGAGGCCGGGAAGCCCCCATGCAGACGACCAACATGTCTTCTGGAAGGCGGAGCGCTTTCTTGTGTGCCAGACTAAGCCACAGGCAGGGGAGAAGGCGAGAGAGGCTCAGGGCCAGAGACGGGCCGTGGAGATGAGGCAGGGGCTGCAGCTGCAGGCGGGCTTTTCGGGAAGGCCCTTGACTCGCCTGGCCAGCAGGATCCCCTGGCCAGGTCGGACCACAGGGCCAGCCAATCCAGCATCCTGCTTCAGGCCATCCACCCTGGGGAAACCCACAGGGGCCCAACCCTCTTCAACAACCTTATTTGAAGCCAGCAACCACCGCAGCATGTTGGGGTGGGAAATCCCCAACATGTTCGGCTCAAGGGCCAAATGTAACTTTGGACAAGCACTCGGGAGGAGCGGGGGGCACCGTCCAGAGGCAGGCATGGCCAGAATGGCAGCAGGTTTCGAAGACTGATGTTCTTACAGCCAGGAACTAAAGCTTACAGGATACATTTTAACCCATTGCAATGGGAAGAAAGATGGTGTACAAAAATTGGGAGATTTTTGGGAAATTATCAAAGAATCAATGGATAGGGGCTGCACAAAACCGTGCCACAAGCCATGCGCTGTATGAAGAAGTGGTCTGTCTTGAACCTACTTGAGATCAGCACTTGCTCAGAGGCCAAAAACAAGCCAACAGAACACACTGCAAATGCTTAGAGGAAAACCACCCATTTATCAAGGCTCCTCATGAGCTTGTCCTCCGATTCACGGCTTGCAAGATGGTGTGGCTCAGATTTAAGTTAATCCGGCAGCTGATACAGCAACTGAGCTAGAAAGAAAGTTTCTACTGGCCCAGATGGACACTCAGGTCTCTGGAGAAGAGATAACAGGCCCCAGGAGACAGAAGCAGGTTGAGGGGAAGGGGGGAGCCCCGGGACCACAGTCCCACAAGGTCTCGGGCTGGTTTGCTGGTGCTCACCTGACTGGTGCACCAAGTGGTCCACCATGTTTTATCTCCCAGAAGCTGAGCACATCAGATGCAACGAGGATCGTGCGGGGGGAAGTGAAGACCAAGGCGTTGATGCAGTGGGAGCCAACCTGGAGGAGAACAAGAGCCATGCTGGGCCCGACCAAATCGCATCTGTCCCAGCAGTCAACTGCCTCCCACGAGAAACCTCCAAGCAAGGCATGGGCTCAGCAGCACTCTCCCATCCATGTACCCCAGCCACCGGTGCACAAGGGCATCCTGGGGGCTGCACACAGCCACCGGAACCAGCAGCCCCATCCTCGTGCAATCCCCATTTCAGGCCAACCAAGCTGGTAGCCATCTTGCAGCAGCAGCTTCCACAATTCAGCTACGTCTTGGGTGCTTTTTTTTCCGTACCGGGACTCTTCCATAATACAGCCTCAGCATTATGGGGGGGGGGGCATTGTCTCACTTTTATCTACACCCCCATCATCTCTACCCTTACTGCCTTTATCTTCCTAAGCTAAACTGTGCTAGAGTTTGTAACCTTTCTTTGGCTGAGTCCAGCCTCTTGGTTGCTGTCCTTTTCTCCACTTTCTCCTGCATTACAGCGTCTGTTTTTGGTGTGGTAACCAGAACAAACCCCGTCTTTCAAGGATGGTCATACCAGGGCTATTTGGGTTGGTTAGCAAGTTCACAGTTTTGGTGCTGACTTACAAAAACGAAGTAACTTAGGGACTGCCTCCCTTTGTGGACACTCAGTCCACCGGAGTGATCTTGAGAGGCCTTGGAAGCCAGAGTGACCAGGAGCTATTGGAACAGTCCTTCTCCGCAGCAGTGGCTGGCCAGCAACCCATGTGGTTCGGGAGACAGAAAATGTAGCCGGTTTCACGCCCCTCTGGAAAACGCCCTTGTTCCCACAAGCGTTCCCTGGGTTGTGACTGGCTATGATAAGGGCTGTTGCACTCCCTTCTTCTTCCATGCCAGCTATTTAAGGGCCATACTGCATTTTTATTTATTACATGCATACCCCACTTTTTCTCCTGTCGAGGAACTCAAGGTGCTGCTTCACACCATTTGCCATCCAAGTCCCACAGCAGCTTGGGCTGAGAGGCAGGGCCTGGCCCAGCGTTGCCCTGTTGGCTCCATGGCGGAGCAGGGACTAGAGCCCGGGTCCAGCGCTCCTCACCACACCAGCACAGTGGCTCTCAGAGGAGGAAACGCCTCCTTGTGAGGAAGCCGTGGCAGTCGGCATCCACGTGCAGCCCGCCTCCGACAGCAGGCCCGGGCCGCTCCAGTTAGGAGAGGAGTCACGACACCCTGGCTGCCCTGCTTCTACAAACCCAGTGCTAAGCTGCAGTATATACACTTCCCACTTAGCTCTGGTTCTTTATAGCGCTTTGTGCACAAATGGCTCATCTCCTGACCAATCACTCTTCCTGGCTTGCAGTCCTGATTCGGACCCTCCAAGTGTCCCTCTTTTGGTCGCGGATGGTGGATGATGGGAGCTAGGGACCACATATTTGGAGGGCCGCTGCCAGCACCTTACACAACCAATTACCTTGGCCCTGGCTTTGTTCCAGAGCAGGAGGTCTCCATACTTCCCACCAGATGCCGCAAATTCCCCGTCTGGAGACCAGGCCAAAGCTGTGACGGCCCCGCCATGAGGAGGAAGGTATTCTGTGTCGCCTGCTGGAGACAAGGAGAAGCTGCTCGGCAGGCTGGCCAAGCACAGGAGAAGCCGTGTGCCGTTTCCAAAACTCCCCAAATGTGGGTGCAGTCAGGGCTGGGTCAGGGAAAAGGGCTGGAGCCTGGATTTTCGTGGCTCAGGGAGTAAAGCCTAGTGAGCCACGGGGCAGGCCTGTCTTTTTCTCTTAACAGTCCCTGGCTCCGAGGCAATCCAGTTTATCCATTGAAACTCCAAGGTAGCGTTCCCCTTAAGCCGAGGAAGCAGCCGACGGAGCCTTCCCATTTTTAAGGTAGTCATAGCAAGCAGTGCCCGACAGTCAAGGCAGAGCAGATCTGGTTGGGAGGCAGGAAAAGGGAAATGAACGAAAGGTGGGGGGAAACAGCTGTAGGGTGTTTTTCATCCCAGCCCCTACACAGTGTAATCCAGATGTGGAAAACAATCCCCATCATCCCTGGACACTGGCCAGTCTAACCGGGGCCAAATGGAGTTGCACTCCAACTCATCTATATGGCAGCACATTACAGAAGTCAGCTTTCAACAGATCAATCCTCTAGAAACGATTGTAAGATACTAATGCAGAATTGCCTTCAAATTAAAAATACTGCATCTTTCAGCCCACAGGATGGACTCCTATTGAAGGAGCTCTTGGGGCGAGGACAGAGGGGAAGGCTGCATCCCAGCAGTGGGCAGAAGTTGCCAGCACAGCTCTTATTGCTAATCACTGAGCCTTAAGAGACATTTCAACCTTTTAGAGTCTGGGAAAACACCACGCAACCGCTGGAATTATTAGTGGCTGAGAGAAAACAGGCAGGGGAAAGAGAGGTGGCCTCGGGCCTCAGGGCAGCCCTACACAGCCTGATTCGGCCCGCAGGCCTGAGCTTCTGTGCTCCACTCCAGATTCTTCAAGCAAACAAACTTAGCCACACAGGGCTCCCAGTTCGTGCCCCCAGCCCAGCCCAGCCCCCTGCCTGGTCTGAACCGGAAGCACACGAAGAGGCAGCCACCAACCCTCCGCCTCCTCCTTGGGAAGGGGCCACACTCGGACCGTCTTGTCTTCGGATACGGTAAGGAACGACGTTGGCAAAGCGGCAGCCCCACGGACGGCACCGCAGTGGCCGGGAAGGACCTGGGGCTGCTCCATCTGAGAAGAACACAAACAGAGAGATGAGTGTAACCCACAGGGATGTGAGCAGGGAGTGTTGCGTCTGGGTTTGTGTGTGTCACATTCAGGTCGAAGAAGCCACAAGACACCAGCAGACTGATTTTCATAAGCGGAGCAACGTAAGGCGCGAAGGTGGGGTGGACAGGTGGTCACCTTGTCTGGACACACTTGCGTAAGAGAGAAGGTATTTGGAACCATGCGATGAGCACAAGGGAGGAGGATGAGTAGGTGGCAGACTGGGATGGAGAGGCACCAGCTGGCCTGAAAGACAGCTGGGCATTTTTGCCGGGGGATTTAATGCCACTGAATCGCTTCCTTTTCTTTCTGGCTGGCAAGTTCCTGGTGCAGCTGGAGCATCGCAGAGAGACTTTCTCTGGGGTGGGGGGAGTTAACCCTTCACAGCTCCAATTCCACCCCCACAAAAAAAGTTGCCTTCTATATTTTTATTGATTGCATTTACACCCCACCTTTTTCCTTTTGCAAGGAACCCAACCTGGGTCACATGATCCTCCTCTTCCTCATTTTATTTTCACAATAATCCTGCGAGGTAAATTACGCTGAGAGTGAGCAAGTGGCCTGAAGTTAGCTAGCGAGCTCTGGGCCACGCAGGGGCTAGAACCCGGGTCTTCCAAGTCCCAGTGCAGTGTTCTAACAACTACACAACCCTGACCGTTAATATGGCAATTAAGCTTCAAAACCTCCCTACTACTTGCACAAATGGGCACTCAGCTCTCTGGAGAACAGATTCAGGGCTCTAGGAAGCATTTTGGGCCAAGTCCTTTTCCCCTCGCTGAGCAATGATCCTGTCCAGACATTTAGTAATGCACCATAAACGCATTCACGTTAGCCATGGTGAATTCCATGGCTGTTCTGCATGACCAAGGAGGAGTAAAGCCCTCTGGGAAATGGCATTTTTTAACAACATTATGGAGCCTTGCAGAAAACAGACGACCCAACTGGACTGTGCATTTCAGGCGTGTTTGGTCTGGAGGGTCCAATCAACTCCACTTCCCCCCTCTTACCATCAGGGGCATCCAAAGTTTCACTGTGCCATCACCCCCACACACCGCCAACAGAAATTCTTTCTGCCCTGCCAAAGGAAAATAAAGGAGACCAGGTTAGCAACAGAGCACTTAACTGGAAGGAGAGGAGGGAAGAGATAAAGCTGCTGGGCTGCTTTGAGTCGGAGGATTCCCACCCCCAATTTAAAAGGTGCTAGCGCCCACTACTTATGACAAATCTGCTTGTTTCAACTTTGCCTTAATTTTGGCTATTTCCACATTCACAGAAAGCTTCCAGATTACATAGCAACTGAAAAAGGGCAAACTTTCCAAGAGCGGAATTCTCTAGAGCCCAGCAAGTGCCATGATCCGGGACTCCAGCTCTCATCCCAGAGCACGAGGCCCCTGAGCCAATGAAGTAAGGCGAGGGCTATGCCTCGGAAGGGAATTATGAGGCTCCCCCGGGACTCAATCCCCCAAGAAGGGTCCAGGAACCAGCTCCAATGGGGAGGTCTCCAACCACACAAATTCCACTCCTGTGCCGTAGCAAATAGATGCCACTGAAAAACAGGGCCTTTAGGAGAGGCAGCGCTAACCAGCCTCAAGAAAGCCATTTGTCATTAGGGAGGTGATGCTCACTAGCCTAAAGAGCCCAAAACCATACTTAAGACTCATTTGCAATTCACTGCTTGTTGACTTCCAGCCCTGCTATCACTCTGAGTTCTCCAAGAAGCTGCTCAATTTCCTGACTTTTTTCTTTTTATTTATTTATTTTGAAACTTGACTTTGACTTGGCTGGAATCCTCCACACCTGCCTTGCCCTAAGGATTCTGTGGAAAACCAGAACCCCTACTGGCCGATGGGTCATGTGGTCGGCATGACTAAACACCGAAGTGCACGAAACGCCTTTACCTTCCCAAGGAAGTAGCACTTTTTTATCTACTTGCATTTGCATGCTTTCAAACTGCAAGGTTGGCAGGAGCTGGGATGGAGCAACGGGAACTCACCCCGTTGTGCAGATTCGAACTGGCGACCTTTCAATCAACCAGCCCAGCAGCACAGCGGTTTAAACCACTGCGCCACCAGCATCCCTATGTGCATCTCCTGCTCCTCTACAGGGTGATTAATCCAGAATGGAGTAACCCAGGACCTCACGTTTCCCTTGGAATATTTACATGTAAAAATTAATGCATGCCAAAACAGCTTAGCTCTAAGGTTTTGCAAGAGCTGCTTCTAAGACCTCAAAAGGGGGGGGGGAAACACCTCAATAGCATTGCTCAGGCTAAGGGTATCTTAATGTGAATGTTAACCATACAAAGCACTTCTTTTAAATTAATGCATATATCAAATATATCCCCAGATACATTGGGATGTGTCTGCAATCACAGGTCATGTAACACAGACAGGAATTTCACAGTTTGTTCCCCTCTCCCAAATCTCCCTCCAAGATGCCCCGTTTTACATGGCAAAGTATCTTACGTGGGTCTTGGAAGCCTGCACAGTAAGTGGCCCCACCAGGGTGAGCCAAGAACCGGGTCTTCTCGATTCCCTGTAGGTCCCACATCGCCAGCATCCCATCTCTGGCCATGGCGATCACGTGCGCCTTCTGCCACATCAGCCAAAAAAGCAACCGTCAGAGGGCCGAGCCAAGACTGGTCGGGTACAGGGGAGCGTGAGAAGGGCTGCATGCTCTTGGGTTAAAGGCCGGAGTGCCAAGGAAACTACGGCAGGCAGGGGAGAGAGTCTAGGGGAAGGCACCTAGGGAATGGCTTAGGGCCTGGTTACCTAAGGAGCGTCTGCTTCCATATGTGCCCACCCACCCCGTAAGATCTGGGGCAGACTCCCTTCTCCAGGTGCCCTCCCTGAAGGAGATTAGGAGGGTGACTACCTGGAGAAGGGCCTTCTCTGCGGTGGCACCCCAATTGTGGAATTTGCTCTCCAGAAAGGTTCTCCTGGTGTCATCACTTTATTCTTTTCAGCACCAGGCCAAAACCTTTTAATTTTCCCAATGTTTTACGAGTAAGACCTGACTGTTTTAATTGGGGTTTTATTATTAGCTAAATTTTAGGATGCAGTGTTTTTTAAAAAATTACATTTTGTATTGTTAAACCATCCCATGACTTTGGTATTGGGGTGGTCTACAAAAGTTTTAAATAAAATAAATAGTATTTATTATATTTAGCTTATATTCTTTTCGGTGCCAGGTTAAAACCTTTTTATTTAATCGTCATTTTAAAAATTAGCATTTTTAGTCGTTCACAGTCACTTCTGATTTATTTGTCTGGGTTTATAGTAATTTTATTGTATTGTTTTATTGTTTGTATGGCAATTGGTTTTAACCTTGTAAGTCGTCCTGAGACATGATAGTGAAGAACGGCACAGAAATCTTTTCAATAAAATAAAAAATAAATTAAATAAAATAATTAAAAGTCAAGAAGCAAATGATCTGCCTAAAATGCGAGAGCAGCCAGGTGCAGGCTGAGAGTCCCCAAGGGCCTCTGCAGTTCACAGGGTCGGGTCAAAGCAGATGCGAAGACACATTTAACTTTGTCTTCCAGCAGCAAGCAGTTTTGCTGCAAGCGGCATCCGCTATGGAGGTCTTGAAATTCTTGGCACCCAGAGGGGGTGTATTTTGTATTTCCCAATACAAAAAGCAGCTTCCAAGGAGGGATCTTCCCTATAGAGGGAGCAGGGGAAGGATGCGTTAAAACTGCCCCCCATGCCAGGAATGGTTCTGCTAATCACCTGCCCCCACTTCTTACTGCACACTTTTTGCATATTGTTCACAACATTTAAATACAAAGGCACCTTTTTAATTTCATGTCAAGTTTGGCTCTCTGGTGCTATTTTGGGTATTCGAGGCGCTTCATGCAGGCTGAGGACAGTTTGTCGTGGCTTGCTTATTTATTTATTTAAAACATTTCTATGCCGCCCCCATCGCAACAAAGCCTCGGGGCGGCTCACAAAAAATTCCAAAGTTCCTCGCCGTAGAGCCAATCTGGTGGTCTTTTCCCCCAGACCTGTGCTTTCATTTCCAAAAATGTCCCATGCCAGCCCAGGAAAGCATGAAAGGATCCTCCCTCTGCTCCTCCCTTACCGCCACGATGACGCTGCAGACTGGGCGTTGATGGCCCAGGAATTCCTGCAACCGCTGGCCAGTGCTGGGGTCCCAGAGACAAACAGTCGCATCGTTGGAGGCAGAGAGCTGTTTGAAGACCAATCGGGAGGCAGTTAGCAGCAGTGGGGGGCAGGACCGCGTGTGCAGGCACGGGGGGGGGGGATCTGAAATGCCAGCGCGGCCTTCCCCCAGTTGGCACCCCACATCTCTCCCCGCCAGTTTTGGAAAGCCGCAGTAAGTTGCTTCCCATCTGGGGTAGACAGGAGAGATCAGAGTCATGTACACACATGCTAGGACAACGCATACACCAGCCGCAAAAAGCCAGGCCATCTCAAGGCAGCTGCCAAGGCCCCAAAACCCTGGGGAGGATGGAGAGGTGATGCTGAGACCTGCGCTGGGCTCCTCTTTCCAAGGGCAAAATAATATCCTGTTTCAGGGCTCTGCTCTGCTGGACCTCACTGCCACATCTGTGCCCCACACGGCTTCCAGCATGGCATCACTCAGAGGCATTGTGGGAAATTGAGGGAACAATTCCCAGCAACCCCTGCCCCTTGGTACTGGATGGGGGGCTGTGGTCTACCCCTGGGCAAGCCCACCAGGTCCCACTTGCACGAGAGGGAGCCCCACTAGCAGGTGCTCTGATCAGTGCCCCTCAAACCGACGTCCAGCCCTGGGCAAAAGTCCCATCACCCAGTAGCCAGCAGATACGGACTCCCCACCTTGGGTTGCCAAATCCATCCTCTTGCTGGCAGCTTCCAGCCACATGCTTGCCCCTTCTCACTCCTTGCACAGGACGGACAGTAATGAGGGCAGGGAAAGCTCATCCCACCAGCACTGTTGGAGGATGGCTTCATTTTTCCTTCTCCCTCCCTGGCCCTACTTCCTTGTGTGCTGTGTCTCTATTTAGAGTGTCTCTTGCCATCTGCAAGCCAGGACGGTTCTATTATAGGTATGCTCCAGAGCAGCACACAAATGCATCCAGGAAAGGAATAAAGAAACAGTCCCCCTTTGGTGGCAGGGAGGAGAGCTGGCTTTTCCCTTTCCCTGCTGCTTGGAGAGCCCACCCGCTTCACACAGTCCCCAGACTCACCACCAGCGGGCCAGCCCAGGCACAGTCGGCGATCCAGTCCCTGTGGCAGTAACGCAGGGAACGCATGAGGGAGGGAGCGTTCTGGGACGGGTTCCTGACATCCCAAAGCAGCAAGTCCTGAGAAGCAGGAAGACATTGGAAGAAACCCTTCATTTGTTAGGGGACAACCATCTCACTCCCCTGCACCAGCCGTTTTCAGCATTTCTTCCCCCATTCAGGAACATGGTTGTCATTTTCACCATTGCACTGTTCTTTAAAAGAAATCGGGTGGGATTACGGTTATTTTTGTCCACCACCGTGGCTGGCTTTAAAGCAGCAACAGAGAAATATGGCCATCCACAACGTTCCCAGGCCGGCTCATCTGGCAAGGACACCCTGCTCAACGCAGCGCAAGAGGGGCCAGGCTGTTCCCCCCCCAAGACGCTGCTTAGTCCAATGCGTGACGGGGCGCGAAGCCAGCTCTCCCGCAGCTGCACCTTGCCCCGGCCACGGCGGGGAAGCCCTCCTCCAAAGAAGCACGCCCGCTTGCACGCCCGCCCGCCTGCTGGCCGCCGTCTGCCTCACCTTGTCTTTGCCTCCGGTGGCAAGGTGGCACCCATCGAGGCTGAAGGCGCAGCAGAGCAGCCCGGCCTTGTGACCGCGGAGCACCGCGAGGGGCTCGTCGCTCGCACTCAGGGCAGGGCCTGGCCGCAGCGTCTGCGGAAGCCACAACCGGACCGTGAAATCCTCTGGGGGGGGGGGGAACAAGTGGGGGTAAATATACATGCTTGCATGTATCAGGCAGAGGAAAAACAGACAGGCCTCAGGAGCACCAGCAGGTGGCAGGTGCACCCCAGCACCGTCTTCAAGGGGGGCTGAAGTTGCGTGCAACCCGGCCGACGGCTTTTCTCACCGCTCCCCTGACCAGCAACCATCTGGCAAGCCTTTTTAAGGGTTTAAGTCAAAGTGAAAGCTGCTCCTCCTCCTCCTCTCACCCCATGGGTCCTACATTCCACCTCGGACGCATTGCCTCTTTCTCCCAAATGTGCAGTGGGATTCTGCAATCGGACCAAAGCATGCCGTGGGCACCTGGGGGAATTTTCCAAGTCACCTGAGACCGAGGCCACCAGCCTCTGGGAGACGGCGAGGCCGGTCACTGCTCCTTCGTGGCCAGGCACTTCACGGAGGCAGGGGGGACGATGCTGCGAGGTGTCCCACACACACAGGGACCCGTCGTTCCGGCCCCCGATCAGGAAGATGTTGTCCAGCCAGGCCAGGCTGCGAACAGCCACCCCGCCAGCTTGGCACTGCTTCTGGCCAAACCCCTCTGCAAGGAAGAGCACACGGAGAAATCTCAGGAGCCCTCCAGGCCAGGACCCCACCTGGGGCCTCTCACAGCCCGTTCTGACCCACACACCAACCTCTGCTCCATCCCCTAGTGGGACCCACTAGGAAACCCACTTTCTCTACACATGCGTTTTTCTCTTTTGTAGGGCAACCACAAGCAAGAAAGGTCAGAGTCCCTGCATCCTTTATTAATGGTGCAGAAGTTGATTAACTTAGTATCATTTTGATTCCTGTTCCTGAAGATCTCAGGAGTGGCACACACTGAAAGCAGTACCACAGTATCACAGATAATGAACCCTAAAACTTCAGTCCCAGCACCACTGAAATGCATCGCCACCAGGACTTTATTTAATTTGTTTCTCAGTCTGAAATTGGTTTGTCATGCCTGGTTAAAGTCTTATCTAAACAAGACTCTGACTGCAAAATGGACGGTCAAAGGCAGACTTCCAGACCAGAGGCAATGTCCAGAGTTGAGCAATCAAAGCCCGGTCCATTCCAGGCATTTGAAGTTCAGAAAGAACTCTTTGGAGGAACTGTGGCATTGCAACAAGAAACAGAAACGGTGCTTTGCAAGAAATGTGCGAGGGCGCTCCTGGCCACCGTGTTTTTACGGTGCAAAAGCCTCGCACTGATATACAAACAGCCAACCACTTACCCCAAGGGTGGCTGTAGATCCGGACGTCATCCGGGTGACGCCCCACAGCCAAGCGACTGCCATCAAGACTCGGCACGGCGCACGTGGCCGGGGAGGGAGCCTTGGATCCCAAAGTGCTCTGGAGCTGCCCCAGGTGGCCGACCCAGAGCTGGACCTGAGATCCGGGACACACAACACGCCATCAGAGCAGAGCGCAACATGCTCACACACATCACATCAAACACGTGGCCAGAGGAGGTTGTATGGCTGGGTTCAGACGACACGAGCAGCCCCTGGTGCTGCCAGAACCTGTGCCCAGCCCTTCAGTGTAGGCTGCTGAGCAGCCCGAGCCCACTCTCTGCCCTTTTCCCAGCCCACCACTCTCGGGTAGTTTCCAGCTTCCGTGCAGCTTTTTTCCCCCACACCCAAAGGCAAAATGCTCCTCCGACTGCTGGTGAGAGCTCCAAGCAAAATTATGCCGGTACCAGAGCCCAGCTCCCCTTTTGCCTTCAGACCACCCGCCACCGGAAAGCTCATCACGAGATCTCTCTGCAGGGGCTTGCACCTCTTTGCCTTTAGCAGCCCCCACTGCTGGAATCGGGACCCTCAAACTTCTCTGAAAGTGAAGTGGGACAAAACGTGTCCCACACCCGATGTATAAAAAGAGAGGTACAAAGGCTGAGCCCCAGCTTGGCCTTTTTACAACCAGCAGGACTCACAATCTGGCCAGCACCAAAGCCAAAACACTGTCTCTCTGGCCAGCAGACTTGTGCTGGCAGCACTGGTGTTGCACTTTGCTCCAGTTAGATCATGCGGGACAAGCCAGAAGCTGGTTTTTCCCAAAATGCAGACCAATTCATCAGCTCGAGGGTGGACAGATTTCCGTTATGGCCCCCACAAAGCTCAGGCCTTCACATGCATCTCCCAACATCCCACCGAACCTCAAGCTTGAAGACGACAATAAAAAAGCACCTTGCAGTCTTCTCCCGTGGTGAGAAGTTTTCCTCCTGGGAGGAACAGAGCGGTGGAGACACAGCCCGAGTGGGCCGAGAAGGTGCCCAAGACAACGGCATCCTGCCATGACCAGAGGCTGACGGATCCAGTCAGGGATCCGGCAGCCAAAACGTTCCCAGCCGAATTGAAGGAAATGGAACGGACGGCGCTGCTGTGGTCTCTCAGAACCTGGTATGTGGAGACTTGAGTCAAGAAAACGGCACAGTTCTGTCGGGGGTACCTATCGGTCCAGCTGAAAGCCGCTTTGCATGGCTCTGGCCCTCCCCCAAACCTGCCCCACCCACCGTGTCTCCCCTCTCCTCACCGAGATCACCCTCATATCATCCACATCCAAGATGGTCACGGTTTTGTCCCACCCTCCAAAAGCCACCAGTGGCCTCTTGTGGTGAAAGGTCACACAGTTCAGCGGGCACAAGCAATCGCGCTCACGAGTCAACGCACCGCTGGCAGATTCCCAGAACTGCAAAAATAAAAATTGCAAAAGGGGTTTTTGCTACGCTTGCCCCCCTCATCCTCGCCCCCCTCCCCCCTCCCCACCATGCAACCCTCTAAAGCTGCTCATGAATAGCTGCTTGCGAGTTTAGACCAGGGCGGGCAAACTCCAGGTTTCTGGGGGTCCAAAACGGTTTGTGAGCTCTGCTGCCTACTGTTCACCCCAAAATTAGAACTGCCAACACTTCCTGCACCGATTTTGCCTCTGATGTGAGCTGCTGTTCCTTCCAGTCCTACAAAAGCTGGAGCAGCAATGCATTAGAAGGGAGGGAGGAAGAGGAGAGTACCTTGAGAAGGCCATCCAGTGACACAGTAGCGAGTAGTCTGCGATTCAAGAGGATGGAGCAGTCTGTGATCTGGGCCTTGTGAGCCTCTTTACCCATGAGCCTTGAAGAAAATGTGGAGAGAAATAGGTGATCTAAGATGGCACCCAGACGGAGACAGCCCAAGAGCATGGCATCAGAAGCGGGAGGAGAGCACCAGAAAAACAAGGGGCCATCACTCCATGACGGAGCCTCTACGTGGCCCTGCTGAAGGGCCCAGATTCGATCCGCAGCACCTCAAGGTAAAGCAGGAAAGATGGCTGCCTGAAACCTGGAGAGCCTCTGCCAGTCAGTGCCGACAATATTGGGCTACATGGACCGGTGGGCTGACTCCACCAAAAGGCAGCTTCCTAGGTTTAAAAGCAACCTTTAGAGTGCCTGGGGAGACACACTGGTTTAAAATCCCACTAAATATCGCTGTTCAGTATCGCTTGCTCTACTCCATCTCACAAGCATGTTACGAGGACAAGGAGAGGCGGTCTACCTTGAACTCCTCTGGGGAAAAAGTGGGACTTACATACAAACGACGACAACATCATAAAGAACGCAACTCCCCCCATGGTTCTACGGAGGACACCAAACCTTTCCTCAGGCCTGGCTGCTGCCCAGCGTGGTCCACTTTGTCTCAGGCGGCTTGGCCCCTTTGGCCTGTGCCGGGGGCTGACCCAACCCCCCAGGCCTGGCCCGTTACCTGCATCCTTCCTTCAGACTCCAGACTTCCAGGTGCCCAGTGAAGGCCCCGAGACAGACAGTGGTCTCCGACAAGAACGCACAGGTCGAGATGCCATCACAGCCGCTCAGCAGTGACTTCAGTTCCTGGATATTTGGGCGGTTGCAGGGGGAGAGGCAGAACACATCAGACCTGTTGCCATGAGGGCCTGATGTTCCCCAGCTCCACTTCCAACCGTGGCCATTTCGGCCTGGCCACTCCTGGCCAGTACTGGAGGGCACTGGCCAGGGTTGGGACAAAGCCCAGCAGCACCCGTCCCTCCAAGCATTCCCCAGCGCCCCCTTGGGCTCATCCGGGTCTTCCAGAGCAAGCTGAGCCGAAAAGAAGCCTCCACAACCGGCAACCTTCTAGCAGCCGCATGGGATCCCTCCTCTCCTGGAGAGCCACTCACCGGCACCCTTCCCCGGCACCGGGTGCAACTGCCTGAATGTAATGCAGGGGAGGGAGACCCCAGCGCAGCATGTGAGACTCAAGGCCAGGCAAGCAACGTGGGCTGGAGGCCAAGGGATTCAAGATTCCTCACACGCCCCGAGGACGGATAAGCCACTGTACCTGCCCAGTCTCCGCATCCAAGAGGTGCAGCGTCCCCTCCGCAGTGCCCACGGAGGCCAGCTTCCCTGACGGGGCCACCGAGATGCAGGAAGGTGTGGCGGGCAGTGGCAGGACAAGGCTGGGGGGCAAGAGAAACCAAGTGAGTTGCGTGGGGAAGGGCAGGACGGCGGCAACGGGGGCACAAGGCCGTCTTTGCAGAACTACCTCTTGGCCTTCTGGACTGTCTGGGGTTTGTTGATCCACTTCAGGAAACGGATCCCACTCCCACAGAGGGCAGCCCGAGCCTGTGAACAGAGGTCTGAAGAATCTGGTTCATTGGCCGCCTGCTGCAGAAGCAGCTGAGGATTCTGGGAAAGCAGCCCGATGTTTCTTTGCAGGAAGGCGTGGGAAATGGCAACGGCCTCATCATGCTCCAAACCAGCAGCAGCCTCTGCAGGGACAAAGAATCCCGGTCAGCAGAAACAGGCTGGACAAATTCACATTTTCAGTATGTTTTTCTAAATTCAGACCCAAAAGCACATCTCTCCCCCGCTTTCCATTCTGACCCACTGATTCTGATTCACCATCAGAATCCAGCTGCAGAATTCCCATTTCAGCAGTCTCCAAAAACTAGGCTTTCCCCGCTTCCAGGCCAGCTGGGGACAGACACCATGCAAGCTGCTATCCCCACTCCAGCCACCAGGGGCAGCAGAGGCTCACCATAGAGTGTGTAGGCCTCGGACAGGCAGTGGAGGAGTCCCAGACGGACGTGAGTGCTCAGGACCTTCAGGTTGGTCAGGAAAGAAGCCAGCATGCTGAACTGGCCACTGTGGACCTGATGGAGGAAAGAGTTACCATGAAGAAGGCACCTGCAGAAAGCCTGACTTCTAGGTAGTGGGCTAAGTCCAACTGGAAAACTTGGGGTGTTGAACGACTGGCGGCTCTTGGGTCAAGTTCAGTTCTAAAGAAGCACTTGGGGGCTGCATTCCAGTAGTGGGCAGGGCTAAAGGCAAGGGGGTGGGGCCTAATGCCAGCACAGACAAGCCCCAGTTGGTGGTTAGAGTGCTGACCTGGAGCCCTGGGTGATCTGGGTTCTCATTCCCGCTTGGCCATGGGTGACTTGGGGTTGGTCACTCACCAACCTACCTCACAGGGCTGTTGTTGTGTGGATAAGAATGGAGCAGAGCAAGCTGCTTTGGCTTCCTCAAAAAAGCAAAGAAGGTAGGATAGGAACGCAACATAATTGTCACAGTAATTTCTTGGGCCGCCAGATACCAGGCATTTTGACCTTTGAGAATTAGGGGATGGCGAAGGTTAACGGAAACCCATGAATGCTGGGAAACGAGCAAACAATGAACTGCTGGGGGGAAGGGGTGGGGCAGGGAAGAGGCTGTGGCCTTCTATGTAACCCCAGAGGCCCAGTTTGAGGCCCACGAGGGCCAAATTTGGCCCACGGGCCAGAGGAACAACACCCCTGTTCTAGAGCAAACCGACTGCAGTGTGTTTTCTGTGGAGCTGCCTTTGAAGGGGGCCTGGATGCCACAGTTGGGGGCAAAATACAGCCCCCCAGATACTGTTAGCAGCCGAGGATAGACACTCTGAAAATATGACTCCAGTTTTGACTCAGTCGCACTTACTGGCTGCCATCAGGCTTTGGGGCCTGATTCAGAGTGGTGCGCTGAACTTTTAAAGTCCTAAACGGCTTCTGACCATGTCATCTGGAGGATCGCCCCCACTCCTACTCTTGTCTGTCTGGTAAGATCTGCGGGAGGGGGGCGGGCTTCACATGTGCCTGCTGTCAAGCTTAGGTGGGGTGGCATCCACAAAAGTACCAGTTCCCCTTTACTCAGCACTGGTTAGACCTCATCTGGACAACAGCATCCAACTCTGGGCACCACCGTTTAAGAAAGATGCAGGCAGGCCAGAAAGGAGGAGGAGGGCAATGGGGACAATCCAGGGACTGGAGGCAAAGCCCGAGAAGGAGAGATGGAAAGAACTGGGCATGTTAAGCTTCAAGAAGAGTGAGCGGGGAGAGGATAGCACTCCGCAAAGACTTGAAGGGCTGTCACAAAGAGGAAGCTTAGGTTCTCTTCTCCATCATCCTGGGGTACAAGACATGGAAGAACAGGCTAAGTTACAGGAAGCCAGACTCCGGCGAGTTATCGAGAAAAGTTTCCTGAGTGTTGGAGCAGTACAACAACGGAACCAATGACCCAGGGCGGTTGTGGGCTCTCCCACATGAGGCATTTGGGATGCAACTGGGCAGCCATCTGAGAGGGATGGTTTAGACAGGAGTCCCGCACTGAGCCAGGTGTTGGGCCCATTGGCCTGATGGCCCCTTCCAACCCTACGATTCTATGAAAAGCCATACGGCCTTCTTAATGAGGAGCGCAAAACGGAGGAACTCCCCCGCAAATGACGTTCACCTGCTCTTTCTCTCCAGGCAAATCCTGACCCCGATGGACGTGCCCAGCCCTGCTTCCCAATGCGGGACTTGACAGCCCTTCTGATCGCTTACCAGGTGATAGGGAAGCTCTCTCAAGGCCTCTGCCTCGCAGTGCTGGAAGGCCCACGCGTCCGACTGCTTCCACCAGTGCGCTACAGGGGACAGAGCACGGAGAGAACGGGTCAGTCGGCACCACGACAAGTCACCCCATGAGACCACAACACCGCTCCCTCCAAGGGCACAATCAGCCTGCTGCCACCTAGAGGCTGGCCAGGGTGCTGCAGGGGCATCTATTTGATCGGCTCGTTGAATGCACAACAGAAGGCTGAAGGAGGCCGCAGGAAAGGATGCAGAGAGTTATGCTCTAAGCACAAAGATGCAGGCCAGAATATCTGCCTATCAAGCTCCTCCTGCCACTAACAAATCTTTGGAAGAGATTTTAGAATGGGGGAAACGGCATAAAAGCATACAATGATGAGTGGCTGGGAAGAACTAGGTGGGGCTGGGAGCAGGGAGGATGCCCGTCGGTCGGCCTGAGGAGGGCTAGATGTGGCCCCCGGCCGGAGGTTCCGCACCCCTCATGCTTCGCAGGGGGAGCAGTCACCTGCCAGGAGCACGTGTGCTGTGCGCTCCAGGCCTGGCTTTTTCCTGTAGCGCCGCTCTACCGCCGTCCTCAGCGGGGTGCCGCAGAGATGCAGCCGGGAGCCGGGGGCCTCCAGAGGGGACCCGCAGGCCAGGAGCAGGCTGTGGAGGAAGAGCAGAGAGGTCAGTCCCGTGCCTCCTTCGGAAAGCTGAAAGTCATTGCTCTCAGAACTACTGAAAGATATTTAGGGCTCAGTCTCCAGCCCATCCCACAGGGAAACATGTCTTTCTACCCACCGTGGCTTTTGGAGACACAGGCCCCAAGGCCACATGGAATGATGCTCACACCACCGCCTGGCATTGTGGGACACAAACACGGCAGCCGAGTGAAGCTGCTGCTTGGCCAGCAACCTGGCCAGATCTCCTGAACCCAGGCCGCAAGCAGCTGGGAAGCACGGAAGTACGTTATGAGGTAATGGGTGTGGTTATCCACACGGCCCAGGCCTGTCCACAGCTGTAAGCCAGGACTGTGGGGGTCGCGTGCCGCCAAGTCATCGCCAGCTTGTGGCAGCCCTCCTGGAACAGAAGCCCTCCTGACCATGACAGCCCGGCTCAGCTCTTGTAAACTCAAGGCTGCAGCCTCCTGGATGGAGCCAATCCGTCTCTGATTTTTCTTCTGCTGCCTTCCACTTTCCCTAGTGCAACTGTCTTCTCCGGGGAGTCCTGTCTTCTCATGATGTACCCAGAGAATGCCAGCCTCGGCTTGGTCATTCTTGCCTCTAGGAGAAGCTCTGGCTTGAGCTGGTCCAGCACCCGCTTGTTCATCTTGCTCCAAGTCCAGGTATTCACAAAGCCCTCCCCCCATTAGCCATGAGAACAACACAGAAGCGAAAGAGAAGCAGCCCATCCACAGCCACTGAATGATCACTGCCAGGGAACGAAATAGGGGAGACAGACGGGCCGCTGCCCTGCTTGTAGGCTCCCTAGCGGCCTTCTGCCTGGACCTTGTGGGACACAGGATGCTGGCCCAGACGGAGCTTGGGTCCAACCCAGCAGGGTTCTTCTAGTCTTTTCCAAGTGTTACTTTCTTCCCAGCCCCGTGTAACTTTTGGAAGCAGCTGGGTAGGAAAGGGCAAGCTATCACTCTGGGTGGGAAAGGGCTCACTCCACCTTCGCCTGGCAAGTCCTGAGGGTCCAGCCTCAAGCCACTCACCCCTTGAGGCTCCGCAGGAAGTCCAGGAAGGAGGCCATGGGGTAGCTTCCAGGGCAGCACCCGGCAACCATGGCTTCCTCCAAGGTGATGCCAGCCCCACGCAGCTCTTTCCAGGTGGCAAGGATGGCATGAAGGTCTCGTTCCATCAGCCCTGCATGGGGCCAAAACCGCAGGGTGATGAAAACACAACCACTCTGCCCCAGGCAGGCATCCCAGTCACCCGTCCCAAACCCAGTGCGGCCCAAGTGCATTGGACTTGAATCTGGGAATTGTCATCCAACACACCCAGGGATCATCGGGCTGGGGAAGGCTGGCCCAGGTCTCTCTCAAACCAGCAGCCTGGAGGGGAGGGGAGAACCTGCTGGCGGGTCGATCAGCAAGAATACCTCCCCCCCCCACCGGATTCAGCTCACCGTCTCTGCTGGCCCAGAGGACCATGAAGGCAACAGCGACCAGCTCCAGGCCGTAATCCTGCTCCAGGCACCCCAGCAGGTGCTGCAGCAGCAACGGCAGAGAGATGGGCAGCTTCTGGATCCTCTCGGAAAGCTGGGAGGAGGAACAGGGAGAGAGACTGAGGATCCAGCGCCACAAACACCTGAGCGATGGAGCTGCATCGTCTCCAGTCTTCCTCACCTGCTCATACAGGGCAAAGAGCCGCAGGTCCTGGGTCAGCAGAGTCAGATACAAAGGCTGGCGGGAGCCACGCTTCAGGAGCACGAGCCGCATCTGTAGAGAAGGAGCCGGTTCAAGAGAGCTGCGGATCCTTCAGCGCTTGGAGGGTTTATCAGGGATTAAAACGGGCCCTGCAAAGATTCCTCTCCCTGCCTGTCTCCATTGGAACAGCTTGAGGCAGAGAAAAAGGGAGCTGCAGGGACACCTAAAAGCTAGCACCTGTGGCATCCGTCACAAACACAGTTGCAGCTGTTGTACAGTGTTTAAAAAACATTTGGGCACATAATTTTTCCATTTCATGGAAAAAAACTGTTTTATTCTACCCTTGCTCTGAATAGCATGCCGGCTTCCTTTTTATGCTCACTGTAAGCCCTGTGAGGACAGAGAGGTTATACAGGTCATCTGATGAGCTTCATGAGCCAGCAGAGATTTGGAACCTAGCCCCCCTGCTTCTCTAGCCACTGTACCACACTGCCCCTGAAGAGGCCACCCATATCTTTGCCTTTTCCCCTCTGTTTCGTCAGCCAAAAATGCCAGAAGAACAACAAGAGAAATAGGAATCCCCTTCACAACCAGCCCAGGATCTGCACTCATGTATACACAACACTCAGAAAGCTTCAAACTATCGTGGTGTAAATTATGTAAATCAGCATGTATGTTTTTTCATGGGAAAGACTTAGGGTTCAAGTCCTGGATACCAGAAAAAGAACCCCTCTCTTTACTCCACCCTGGATCTGTCTTTCTCCTAGATCCATGCTATGAAGCGACTGTACATTCTCAATTCCTTGAGGACTGGTAATTTATGCAAAAGAGCAGCTGAACCGCTCTGGATGCACAACACGGCAATCAGTATTTTAACGTCACCCTAGTGCAAAATGAACAGGAAAACACAGAATGCACACCTACCGGCTTGCACTCTTCCGAGGGCCACGGAAGCGCTCGGCTGGACCCTCTCCTGCTGCTCCCCGTATCCCTGAAGAGAGGCCCTTCCCTGCTATTTACCTGGTTGTTGAAAGGAGACTCCTCCAGCTTTTTGCCGTACAAGGCCAGGTCCTTGCGGACCAGGACGACTCGGTCAGGGGGGTCCAGAGGCCCCAGGGGGATGGCGACCGCATCCGCCCGTCTCCTGAGGGACCCGAGGAGCTCGGATTCTGCAGAGACGCTGAGAACGAGGCTGACGCGCTGCAGGGGGGAGACAGACATGCAAGCACATGTGAGAGGGGACCTGGTCACACGACCCACCAGCCCACACTCAGGGTTACGCACGCGTCGAACTGCGGGTTGCTCCTGAATCCTGGATTGTTGTGATCTGAATCTAGCCATGCCAACAAGCCATATTTTGTTCCCCGTGAACAAGCTGCCGTTGGCAGCGCAACAACAAACCGTCTGTTTAAACCGTCTGCACGGTGAGTGATCCATGACTGTTAGCACTGCTGGGTTCACAGACACAACAATCCACCATGCAACAACAGCCCACAGTTTAACCTGTACTCAACCATGAACACTTGAACATGGGTGGTTGTGCTGGATGAACCCGGCCGCTGGGTACACATGTTGCAATCCATGTTTCTCCCTCCAAGCAGTACCAGTGTTTCTCTGCTTAATGATCTTTATTGTTGCACAAGCATCTCTGAACATACGCAAAGTGAAGTGCCGGACCCCTTCTACCGTTCCTTTCCCCAGGATCTCTTTATGAGTCCTTCCGTGTCTCAACCCCAGGGGAGGAGCGCTGTGAAAACGGGCACAACCTTCACTCCTCTCTTTGTGCCCCTAATTGGGCCTCCCTCCAGCGATGACAACGAGCGATCAGGTCTACTTCTCCAGGGCAAGAGAGTTCTTTGCCGTTAGACTTCCCATTTCGCCCTCTCCTCCCTCAGGCTGTAATTCCTCTACATACTCACACTCTGATCGCTCCACCAGCTCCCGGGCTAATCTCCCCCATGCTTCCTCCTGACGGGTCTCAGGCCCTTGAAACAGAGCTGGAGGCCACATTGCTTCAAAACTCACCCTCAAAATCAGAATCATCAGTACCACCAGCACGGGGAGTCTCCCACGAGCTCGCCTGAAGTTTGACAGGGTGCACGCGTGCACACGGCATGACAGGTAAAGAGGTTCCCCTGGGAACACGCACACAGGGGGCAGGTAAAGCTCACCTGAGGCAGCTGCTCAGGCATCCAATCAGAAACCAGCTGCCCACTGGGTCCATGGATAGAGTCGGCGCCGTCTATCAGGACCACCAGGAACTGCTGTCGCTTCAGTGTCTGGGCCACGGCGTACAGGAGGGACTTGAACTGGCTGACCAGCCCTCTGGAAGGAAACAGAGCAGCCTTTTCTTTCTTGCAAGAGCGCACGCGCGAAGCCAGAACCACCTCTTCTCATGTACAGATATGGCTCCCGAAAACAGGTGCAGCCACCTTCCAGTGGGAGCAAACCAGACCCGCGGCCAAAGCAGGGAAGACTCTTTGGCTAGCACGTCCAGCATCCCGGGTGCACACACGGCCTCCCTGCAGCACCTGTGCAACGGCTTCTAAGCAAGCAGGTGCTTCGTTTTGGATGACACACAGCTTCGAAATAGAAAGCTAAAGTGCGGAGTGGTCTCACCCAATACATGGGGAAGAGACAGCAGCAAGCGGCTGCTCCAAGCATGCGACCAGCTGCAACGAGAGCCTCTTTTGACAAGCCACTGAAGAACCCACTGAGAATTCAGTCAAATAATTCAAAACTGGTTGCATCCCTCTTCAGCCAAAGGAGAAAATTACTCCTTCCTTTCTGCTCACCTTACGCTGAAAAGGTCACATTTGGTTCTGTGGTACCGTCTCCCCCAACCAGGCACTTTGGACTACAACTTCCAGCCATGGTCATCCTGCCGTGGGCTGATGGAAGTTGTAGTCCAAAACAGAGGCACGCCAGCCCATCCGAAAGTGGCAACTGCGCCCACCTGTAGCTTCGGGGCAGGGGTGGGGGCTGCTGCACCAGGTTCCTCAGCAAGGCACAAAGGTGGCCCAGCACCACCTGGGCTTGGGCCTGATCGGGCCGGGCCCTGGTGAAGTGGGCCAGGACGTGGACACCTGCTGAGGGGTCGCCCCCATGAGGTGGGGTCTTCGTTCTGAGTTCCTGGGCGAGGGCCGCCTGAAGGAAAGAGAAATGGCGGGGAGTGTTGGTCACGATTCTGAGCCATCCCTTGGCAAGCCGGCGCAGAAACTAGAATCTGCCCACCCAGCCTCGTCTGCTGCCTTCGGGGGTGGAAAGCAACGCTTTCCCTATTATTATTGCTGATCGTACTCATCACAAACTTTGGTTTTCAGAAAAATGAATGCACTAAGGAGCAAAGGTGGCAAGTTCCTTTTTAAAAAGGAATCCACGCCTAGACTGCTCGAAGAATAGCTGCCCACAGTTGCCCCGAATCTCACCCACTGCTGCAGGGCCATTTGTCTCCCACAAAGGCTGGGAGGAACATTTGCAAAAATTTTTGAGATAAGGTGGGAAGAAAATTCTTATATTTGGCTTGGGAGGGGCAGTTACCCAATAGGTATGCAACAACAAAGAGTTGTAGCTAGCCTCTTAAAAAAAAAAACCAAAACCCTGCACTACCATTTTAATTGTCAGATGACGACATGCTTAATTATGAACAGCCCACCAAGAATAACTACCCTAATGGCCAGCAGGCGCCAGAGAAGCAGCAATGCCCCTTTCCGGAACAGACTACTCCATTCCCATCTGATTTTTGTACCCCTACCCCAAAATACACAGGCAGTCAGCAAACTACGGACACCAAGCGAGCTTGATCTTCAGTTGTGGGGGGGGGGGGGTCTCCCCCAACTTAGGGCCTATTTTCCGGCTAAAGACTGGGGTACTTATGCAAAACTCTGGGATTTCCCAGGCCATGAGCATGGATGGAGTCGCTCTGGCTAGAAAGGATCCACACTCAGAGAAACTGTTCTTAATTAGTGCCTAGGATTGCAAACCCGCCATCCAACCTCTCTCCTCCCCGCGGATCCTCCACTGCCTGTTCTTTCCTATCACGAAGCTCACCAAGAAGACGGTTTTCCCTTGACCAGGCTCGCCGTTCACCACATAGAGCCGGCCTCCTTGCAGCTGGGCCGCCGTGACCCGGAGAAGCTTTGCCCGGGCACAGAACCTCCTGTGCTGCAGCTCCTGGAAAGATTCCTGCAGCGCCTTTTCTTCCTGATCCTCTGAGTCATCTGTGGGCACGGAGCCACCCACCTGGTAAGCAGAGATAGTGAGAGTCCAGCAATAATGATCTGGGTTCCTCATTGCACCTCAAATGACATCGGCTCCATTAAAAGTGGCGCTCGAGTTTTTAGCTCGCAAAGTTCTTTCTCCATCCACCTCCCAGGAATCTTCAACCTATTTCTCCAACTGTTCATTGGACTGCTGGTTCTTGAATGTTTTGATACTATTATTATAGTATTGAAATGCTTTATTCGTTACTGTAAACAACCTGAGGGTATCTCTGGTTCAGGTGGGGTATAAATATGACAGACAGAGCGAGCAAGAGAGCTTTGCTTCAAGTTGAGGTGGACAGAGAAAATTTCATAAGCCAGAAGGATTGCCGAACAAGAATCAGGACAGATATTTGCTAAATAATCATTAATGCATCATCATAATCATTATCCTAATTATCATTATTATCATAAAATAGTTGGCCCTATTAATGGATTATACAACTGCTTTCGCTCCACATAATCTGTGTAGTTCGTTTAAGATATGCAGACAATTCTACCTCTTTCTCAGCGGCTGCCTTGGGACACACGGTCAGATGGAGCTCCTCTGCACAAGGCTACATCACTGACAAGGGACCGTTCACAAGCGTCCGCAGCATCAGGACAGAGGGCATCAGCAGGGACAGGGCCACCTGTACAGCCCATGTCCAAGGCCCAGGGACCCACTGGTTCTGCCTCTAACCCACCATGCTTTTAGCAGAAGGTCTGCATGAGGAGATGATGCATCCAGCTGGCTCCACACAATCAGGGCCTGGCTTAGGTGGGATTCCCAGCCCCAAGAAGGCTGTGCCCACATGGAGCATTCAGGCCTTCCAGATGTGTCAGGGAACCAAAGGTAGCAGGGGCCACGATGTCCGGGTCAGAGCCAGCAGGCATGGCTGCCGCACTCAGGAAATGCAGAAGACACCTGAAAATCCTGTCCCAACCATTACAGCTTTCTGCTCCCCACCCTGCAGGGAAAGAGCCCCATTTTAAAACTCCCTCGACCTTGCTTTTCTCAGCAGCAGCTTCAATGAAGTGGTGTCGGAGGCATTTCCACACATCCTCCAAGACCTTGTTGCCAAAATCCTCCAAGCCCTTAACGTACGGCCGGCCCTGGGCTACTCCACCCCAGGTACACGTGTACCTGTAAAACAAAAGGGGGGGGAGATTAAACTGCTCATCACAATCAGAACAGCCCAGCCGTCCCTGCTGCATTCCCCATGTTTCTTTGAGTCACCTCCCAAGGGAAGCCAGGCCTTCGTGCTGCGAAAGACGCTCCTTCAAGTCCACCATCCGGCGCTTGGCCTCCTCGGACTCTGCCAGGAAGTCTGCCCTCCACGTGTCTGGGATGGAGCTGGTGAGAAAGAAGCGGGGAGCAAGGAGGCAGCGGATTGAGAAGGCAAGCCCAGTTCCGCCAAAGGGAAGAATTACTTTCAAGATCTAGGTTTCTGCAGAACACAGAGGTCTTGACATCATTACGCTTTGGCCTATTTAAAATCTGTATGGAGCCAGAGTTTCTGGACAAGGAGCTGACGAGTATGCTCAGGACACCCAGCTCCGTTTCACTGTATCATCTCAACCAGGAAAGGCTGGGCGTGCCCTGAAGCACCACCTGCATAGAGTGATGGGAAAGGCTGGGGCCAAACGTGGCTCAGTCCATCCTCTAGCATCCACAGACTTCCTCTTGCGCTCAGGTGGTTCTAGAACACGAACCACGGCGAGAGGGAGCCTGCAAACACTCAGTCTCTGAGCCACCGGCAACCTCCTTGCCCATCACACCCAGAAAGGCTGCTGCACATGGCCGAAAATCGATGAGATCTACAGCGTGTGGGGCTCGGCTCCTGCGAATGCTGGTGTGCACCCGGGAACTCGGACTCAAGGCCGCAGTGACGCTGGGTCCAGGGAATCCCAGCCCCAAAATGGAGTTTGCACCCATCGCTAGGAATGGGAATCCAGACACGGCAGTGGAGGGCACCCAGGAGTGGGAACTGGGCAGGTGGGCTATTCCAGATGGGGGCAGCACTCCCTCGGAAAGAGCAGGCATGCAAGTTTGAGGGTGCTCACGGAGCCGCCGCCGTCGTCACCAGAGGCCAAAACGGCTTTGGTTGCCAGAAGCGGCTGTTCCCGGCTCCGACGGCTCATCAGCTGCTCCCTTTTCTGGACAGAAATAGCCTGGACGCACACATGGTGGTCTGCCCGCACACACCAGGTGCCGAAGACCTTGAGCAGGAGCGGGTCCCGCACCCCTCCTGCTTGAGGGGCCCCGTGGGCAGCTGCTTTGCCACCGTGTGAATGGAGTGCTGGACCCAATCAAGCACCGGCTGGATCCAGCATGGCTTTTCTTATGCCGACGGGCATCCTGTTCACGATAATGCAGCACCTGAGGAACTGTGGCTCTCGGAAATAGAAAAACGCCCGGGATCCTGCAGTGGGCTCTCCGCTACCCTCCAGGAACTGAACGCTCTCCATCTCCGTGATGGAGCGGCCGGCAGGATAGGACTTCACCTGCGGAGAAGAGGTACCAACGCCTTTCACTCCCACACAACTTTGGAAAACACCCCGGGGCTGTGGTCCCCACCTTTTGGGACCCATGGGGACACTGGGAATTTTTTGAAAGTCCTCTGGGCACCACCACAAAATAACAGGTGGATTGCTCTTTGGGTTGCATCCGCCTGCAAAGTCACTGGCCGAGTTGTATTCAGCAAACGCTTTTATTTCACAGCTATGACTTCCACTCCAGCAGACGTGTCTCTCTAACAAGAGACTGCCTAATTTGGCTAATTGTTGGCTGTGAGGGAAGGCTAATCCCGTTTCTAAATATACGTTCTGGCAATGCTTCTTTTTCAGAGGGGATTAATACACAGATAAACGCTGCACCAGAGCAGTCAGCATAAATAGCTTCTCTGTACCCTCAGGCCAGTTAGAAGCCTGCTATTACATCACTCACTTCCTACAATGCAGACCTTTCGGCACTTTCAATACGTGAATGACTGGTGCAGGGCACCATTTTTAAATGAACGCATATTTGGATGTTTAGTCTGCTTTAGTGGAAGCCTACATATAACCTCTAGAAAATGCATGCACTTTATATGCATCCATGGCTTCAGGGGCTCACAAGGCCATGCATGCACACTGGAAAAACAGGGAAAAATAAACATAAATTCTGGGACCCTTCCACAGGTGCTGCTGGAGGTGCCGCGGGGGAGCCTGTCATGGGAGAATAACTTTGCCTGAGGAGTCGTGAATGAAGGCTGCTCTTTTGTCTAAGCACAAAAACTATCACTTGGTACCTGCCTGTAACTGCCCCAGGAATCTAACAGAAATGGCAGCCAAGAGGCCTGCACTCACCCATTCATACTGGGGTTCCTCCGGCAAGCCATAATCTTTCGGGATGTGACCATAACGTTCGCTGAGGATCCCAATGAAGATCTGGCTCTTTGTGACTTCCGACAAGCAGAGTTCAAGTTCCCTAGAGAAAGAGGGAGAAGGCCCTCCATTGCGCTGACCTGCACTTGATCTTCAGCTTCTTTTCAGCCCTGAAGGGCGTATCCCTGCACCCTCCCATCACCAAAACAGCTCTCTTCACTGAGTCCCAGCCAGCATGGCTTCCCCGCTCCGTACTTGTTGCTTCGGCTCTCGTGTTCTGTGATTCCCCAGCGCAGGTCGATGTCTTCCACGGCCAGGCAGAACTGGGCCGCCCGTGAGCGAAGCTCGGGGAAGACGGAGCGGATCAGCAGGTCGCGCTCACCATGCATGTCCCGGAAGGTGGAGGAGACAAACACCCTCACAGAGCGCCACCTGAGGGGAAAAGCCAAAGTCAAAACACAAAGCCCCATAGTGGGTCGGGTCCACGTCTGTTCTGCCTAATTTCCGCCAGCATCACCTGTTTTGGGGGGCAGGTGTCAGGGTTACAGCCCCTGTTTCTGGCTTGGCCATCACTGCCCCCTGCTGCCTGGGCACGCCGTAGATCTCATCGATTTTCTCAACATGCTCGAGGAAGTGGGAGCTGCCACGTTCAGCCATGAATCTACCAAAGGATGAAGAGGTTAGCTTAGCAGCTTCCCTGGAACACCCACACACACACACGCCCCTCCAAGGACAGCTGCCTCCTCTGGGGCCTCCATTCCAATGTTGTCAAAGAGTTTTTCCCACTGCTGTGCTCATCAGAAGAAATCTCCTTTTTCTCTTCGCTGTCCGTTGCAAAAACCATCTCCAGCTACCCAGTTAAAGGGATTGTAGGCTGGGATTGTGGGTCCCAAGGATGGCCTGAAGGTATGTGAGTCATGCACCCTGCCGAAACTAAGCAAGCCCGGGGCCGGCCTGAGCTTGGAGGGGAGACCCCAGGGAACCGCACATCACCACCTTGGGGAGAAAGGTGGGATATAAATATATAACTAAATACCCAGTATGCTGATTAATTAATTAGTTGTATGAAAAAGGGCGATTGGCCAGGCCCACTCAGACTTACCTGAGCACCTGCTCATTAAATCCACTCAGCACCACGTCCTTCCTGGAAGCAAAAGTCCTCTGCTGTCTGCAATGGGGAGAAACGTAGAATGGAGAGGCCATGGAAGAAGTTAGCCCATCGGTGCGGGTGTTCAAAGATAGGCTGGACATGCACATGGTGGGCATGTCGTGAGCGGAGCCGGCTGGAGCCGGGGGTCAGACTAGATGGCCTGGGAGGTCCCTTCTGACTCGCTCTGTTTCTATGTTTCTACGTTACAGGCCATTCCCCCGCATGGTTTTGTTGGGGGCTGTTCCTTATGAAGGGCCACCCCAGGCTGGGCCCTGAGGGGAGCGTGCCAGAAAACCGAGCAAGGGACGCCCGCCCACTTCCCAGGCTTACGTGACACTGGCACAGACGTTGACGAAGAGGCAGTTGGGAGACACACGGTGGCGATACAGACTAACGCAGGAGCCGCGAAGCTTCTCCAAGGGCTCGTTGCTCAGTAGGAGAATCGTGTCCACCTGGCGTGGGGCAAGAAAACAGCATGGCGGTGGCATACGGGGAACCTGGAGGGGACTCGGAAATCGCCGCGGCAGCCGCGACCTCCCATCCAAGCCTGTGTGGATCAGGGCCAGAGGACAAGAAGAATCCGCCTTCTTGTGCTCCCGCAAGCCCTTCCCAACTGAGCTGGCAGTGCTCGTTGGCCAACAGCCACCAAAGCACACGCCAGCCATACCTACATCAGGCATCCTTTCTGGGGGCTGTTGGGTCTATTCGGGATTTTGAAAGAATGCCATGGGCACTCCCACAAAATGGCTGCTATGGGGGTGGGTCACCCATTCATAAAGTGGCTGCCAGGGGAAGTGTCCACCACAAAACATTGATTTCCCAAAAAGCAGAATGCGGAGACTAAAAGAGAAGAAGCTTGCCTGTGAACTTAAGTATAAGGTACAAATAAGATCTGATCCCCAAAACACACAACCACCCTTTTGAAGGCACCAGAGGGCAGTACTTTGACCTCCAACTTGCCAGCCTGCTACTTAATATTTTAAAGTACAATTTTATGCAAGGTCAGGCAGGAAAAAAGGCTTAGAATTCCCAGAAGGCCCCGATCACCTTGATTTGTATGTGGGAAATCTAGGACATTTTTCCTGCCCAAACTTGGAAAGCATTGTGCCTTAAAATTTAGCCTGTGGCTCTCCAGATGTTTTGGCCTGTAAGCTGCAACATTCTTCTCCACTGGCTAGAACTGAAGGTCGCTGCAGGCCAGAAGATCTAGAGAGCCACAAGTGCCCCACACACCACATGATCCTCCAATTAAAAGAATCAACGGCACATTTTAATACAGGAAACAGGTGCACAGTCCCAATGCCAGGTTGCCCACCTCTCTCTCTTCCCCCCTACCCCCCCCCCAGGCACGCAAAGCCCTTCTAAGCTGTCATCCATTGCAATGCATAGATGCACCATTTAAAAACAAACCAAATGGTGGTGGGGAGTGGAGTGTCCTTCCAGAAGTAGCATTTCCAACACAGGCACATTTGAAAGAATCAAGCCATCAAAGGCCTCCCTTGCCATCGTTGAATTCCCGGGGCTACCATTTAACTAAAGAAAGCTTCTCCATCTCATCCAAGTGAGCAGTCACAGATCAGTTCCCACTGTTTCTGAGGTCCGTGGCAAGGGCTATACAACTTGACTCATTCATCCCCGCAGCAAGCTCCAAGACTCACATGTTGGCGCCTCACTACGAAGTCCATGATGATATCGCTGACACATTCCTGGTCACAGGTGTGGGAGCCTGGGTTCTGGAAGCAGAAGGAGCAGACAGGGAGTTAGCAGTGCCTCTGAGGCTTTCGGAGGGCCGCTTCCAGGGAACTGCAGGCAAAGGGCACAAGAAGGAAGTCACAGCACAACCTTGCAAGTTTCTCATTTATTTATTTAATTTATATCCTGCCTTTTTCCTACAAAGGGCTCAAGGCAGCTTACATCATTCTCCTCCTCCAACTTATCCCCACAACAACAACCCTGTGAGGTAGGTTGGGCTGAGAGTCTGTGACTGGCCCAAAGTCACCCAGCTGGCTCCATGGCTGAGCAGGGACTAGGACCCAGATCGTCTGAGTCCCAGTCCCGTGCTCTTCACCACTACGCCACACTGGCTCTCAGTGGTTAAGAGGTCAGTGAGATTTGAGTATTCTGTTCTCAAGGGTCAGGGACCAGACTTCTCTCCAGACAGGATGCCTTGAAAGAAAGGCTTGTGACATTGGCTGTGGTCCCCAGCATAAGGTCCAGGTGCCCCTGCTCTGGGCCCATCTCTGGGGAAACTCCCAAAAGAAAAAAAATGGCTTGAGGGAACAAAGGGTTGGCTAAGATGAGGCGGGCGAGGATTTAGCCACCTATCTTAAATATAAAAATTCTCGGCTGGACCTGTATTTAGCCATGCTTCGAGTAGATGCATTGAAATCACAGGGACATGAGTTTTTGTAAACATGCACGGAGACAGAGAGCAAGAGAAGTAGAGAAAGAGTTCAGACTTTTATTTCTGATTTATTAAACTTTTATCCCACCTTCCCCTTCTTTAAAAAAATTGAAGCGGCTTACATCATTCTCCTTCTCCTGCTCTCTGTCTTATCCCCACAACAACAACCCTGTGAGGTAGCTTGGGCTGAGAGTCTGCGACTGGCCCAAAGTCACCCAGTTGGCTCCATGGCTGAGCAGGGACTAGAACCCAGATCACCTGAGTCCCAGTCCCATGCTCTTAACCACTATACCACACTGGGGGTGGCATAGAAATGTTCTAATAATAATAATAATAATAATAATAATAATAATAATAATAATTGCAGGTATGGGACAGCACAAGGGAGGATTTTCTGGGATACAACCCTAAGCTCACCAAACACATTTCTGGAAAATTTTCAGGATCCATTTGTGGTTGCTTTGGTGGTAAAGCACAATCACAAGACCTGCCCATTCGGTGTGAATGAACAGCCCTGGATGTAGAGCAGACTCTTCCCTCTTTAAGCAAGAAGGAGCTCAAAGGGTCTGCAGACCACTTGTGTCCGCCCCGGGCCCTGCTCTCCACAGGCTGCACTTCTGCCTCCAAGCACTGAATTTGGTAGCAACAAAAACCAAAAACAAACCAGGAGGGATTGTCAAAATTGGCAGCAAACTGCTATGCTACATTAGAAGGGTCGTCATTTAGCTATCTCTGACTAAATGAAAGCTGACTTAGTTCAGTGCTCCGTAGCAGCTTTCAAGCACCCAAAGGGTTAAATTTAGTCCTGAAACAACCTGAATTTGTCCCATTAAGTGCTCCTTAATGCCAACACTGGAGACGTTTTTTGCCACCACTATCAAATTCAGCAATGGAGACCACATGAGGGGCCATCAGACATACATCACCCACCTGTCCTGCTTTAAATTTTGCCCAATTCCTCTTGACAAGTATTTTGTACTACACTGTTGCCTGGGCAGATTAAAAGGACAGCCGGTAAACACAAATAACCCTGCTTTATTCCTTCCTTTTCACTATGTTGGTAGATCAGTGACAAACTGGATGGCCTCAAACAGCCTCGGGTGACACGATCCCCGTTTCTCTTCCCACGGGAGAGAGAGATTCCTTACTGATGTTCTCAGTGTTTTTCTTGTCTTAGCAGTGAAGTGGCCACCCCTGGATTATAAACGGATCAGACGAAAGGGCTGCGCTTCCTTGGAGCCAGACCATCCCAACAACCCACAGTTCTTCAGGCCTTACCTTATCTTTTAGGTACTGCACGTCCTGCAACACAGATCCTGTCAAGGACACGGGCCACATCCAGTTGTGCTTATCACAGAGAAAAAACTCGGCCTGCTCACAAGCGGAGTACACCATGCAGCCCAACAACATGGCCACGTCTGATTTCTGAAGGAGAGAAATGAGAGAGATTGATTGATTGATTTCAAAAGAGAAAGACAAGGTTCTAGTCCCCCTGAGGGCCACCCCTGAAACTGAGCAAGACACACCAATGGTCTGATTTGATGAAAGGCAGTTACTAACTGAAGTGGACCAACAAGGCTGGTTAGTAGATGGGAGAATGGGGACCAGACTTACACGGGAATGACTGTTCTGTGAATACTTCATTTTCTTCTTTTGCTAAATCAGGTCCCACAACAAGGGGGGGGGGGGGGGGGGGATACACTTTTCGTTCATGGACTCCACAGTGTGCTGATGTGCCAGTGCACTGCCCAGAGTGTCCTCCTGCTTTCTTGTGTGCATGCATGTGTGTGCACACACATCTTTATAACATGTGCGTTGCCTTCCTGGGGCAGGTATGCACTCCCACCATCTCTGGGCTTTTGTTTGACCCTTAGTGGCAATGCCATCTTTAAGGAGAAGTCCTTGGACCCTGCAGCAGCCCCCTGCTTTTACATCCGCTCTGTCAAGATGCAAATCCTGCCTGAAGCTTATGCTGTGCCATTATTTGTGTAACAGTGGAAAGACAGGCACGGACGCTTTCAAAATAAATGAGTATGAATGGTTCAAGACGACTTACTTCCGCAGTGAATCAGCCTTCCCTATCCTGGTGCCTTTCAGAGGCATTGCACTACAATTCCCATAACACCCAACTACAGTGGCACCTTGGCTCACGAACTTAATGCATTCCAGGACTTTGGCCATGACCTAAATTGGTCATGAGCCAAGGTAAATTTCCCCATAAGGTTCAACGGGTTGATCTGTTCTGTAACCATTTTTTTTAATCAGAAAAATGTAAAGCAAAGTGACAAACAACAACAAAGATAACGGCCATCTCCCTGCCCCCACAGCACGCCCGATCGTGCCCATCATCCCTGCATGCGCACGCCCATCATCCAGGTGCGCTGGGGAGGAGGGAGAGATGGGCACAAATGGGGCGCACTGGGGAGGGAGAGACGGGCGCGATCTCAGCCACCTCCCCCCACCCCCGATCGTGCTGGTTGTGGGGGGGAGATGAGCGTGATCACGCACATCTTCCCTGCACGAATGCAACTGCGATCGTGGCCATCTCCCCACTCGGGGGGCGGGGGGCAGGGGAGATGGCTGCCATCTTGGTCGCCACCCAAGGCAGAGTTCATGACCCACGTCAAAATTTTCATGAAACTTTTGTTCGCGACCCAATCTGGTCGTGAACCAAGGTGTTCATGAGCCAAAGTAGCACTGTATGCTGGCTGGGGATGGTGGGCACTGTAGTCCACCACCAGGATACCAGGTTGGGGATGCCTGCTTAAACAGGTGTTTGTGCGTTTTTCTGGGGCTGCGGTTGCGAGAGGAAGGCTTCCCAGAAAGTCTACAAGTCGATGCTCTTGTATTAAAGTGCAAGAAATCGGTGAGGAGTAACAGGAGGGGTTTACTTCTGCAACCAACCAGAAGTCCGCTGCTCCACTCAGTGCGGCCTTCCTCATTTGTACTGGGACAGCAAAGATCGCGGGTTTGCACGTAAGGCCTGTACATATCATCGAAAGCGACCAAGATGAGGGTGCGCCCGGGAATGGGGGGCACGTTGTGGCGCACGGCAAAACCGATCGCCGTCTCCAAAGCCTGGCGGTAGCGCTGCAGAGCGGACCGGCTACACTGCACCTCTCTGACAGGAGACAGGGGAGAAAGCGAGACGGAAAAGATTTGTGAATGAAGCACACACGCTCGCTTGCTTCCTTCAGTCCAGACTTTTGGACTCGGCTGACTGCGTCTCCTGCCCGGCTCTTCTTCGGGGGGCAATTCAAAACAAACGCGCAAAACCACCTGGGCCGATCACACAGACTCAGCCTAGCCTGCCTCGCAAGGTTGTCGTTGTGAGGCTAAAATGGAGTGGAAGGCGCCTACGTGAGCCAGCCGGGGCTCCTCGCAAGGGGAAGAAACGCAGGATATAAATGTAAGGTGATAACAAAGATCATCAAGAGGGAAGGGTCTCAGCTCAGCTACGCTAGGCCATTTCTGCAGGAAATGTCCCGCCAAGTCAAAGATAACAGAAATATGACTTGCCTACCAGGAAATGGGACTGAGTTAACCTTTGCTAACTCCTTCGCTTCCTTTTGTCCCCCCCCCCCCCCCACAGGCTTCAGGTGGTGGGCACCAACGCCCCCGGCTTCTCTACCTGGCTTTCAGCAGTTTCTTCTTCTCAATCTTCACCAGCCGGAAGATGATCGGCACCTCCAGCAGCCTCCGGCACCCCACCTTGCCGAACCATGCCGCCCTGATGCGCCTGGGCGGGTTTAATCTCCCCAGGATCTTCTCGATGATGTGAGCGTTGCTGGGCAGCGGAGTCCCTGGGGGTGGGGGGGGAGGGGGATGCTCATCCAGCCAGGAGCCTCCTCCACCCTGTTGCTCTTACAGATCGAGCCCTTCGTGCCCACCCCAAACTACGCAGCTGCCCTTCCTCAAAGCACCTCACCGCCCTCCTTCACTCCACAATTCACCTCGGCTGTCTACATCTAAGATCCTGACCTCCATCGCTCCCATCGCAAAATTTCCCTCTCGGCCAGAAGAACGCCTTGAGGAAGCCGGGGTTAAGACAAGGGTGGACTACCACTCCCATCATCCTTTGCCACTGGCCAGGCAGGATGGGGCAGATGGGAACTGACATCCAGCCTCTGGAAGGCCACAGGCCCAACAGCCCTGAGTTAAGAGCACCAGCTTTCTAATGCCAGGAGAAATGACCCGTTTTCCAGTAGCTTCATTACACCACACGGCCCCTTTTAAAAACATACCTATATTTATATTTATGGCACCTTAATGCAGCTGCTGGCCAGAAAGCCAGGTTACACACCTTTTCACTCAGATAAAACCAAGTTACTTTGTACGCAAATGGTGTGTGCATGGTTTTGAAATTAAAATTGAGACCATCTATATTATAACAGAAATGGAAGCAACGTCATCACCATCATCCAAAAGGGGTCAAATATTATTTTTAAAACATGGCCTCGGGACAAAATAACATATGCTATTACTTCTGCCAAATCAGGCCCAAAAGACACAAAACAGGTGCAGTTAAGCAGGCCTTACCCTTCTCGTTCATGTTCTTTTCCAAGTCCAAGATACTCTTATAGGCTGCAAGGAACCGGAAAGGGAGCTGTCGACTGCGGATCACGGACTCCTGTGTGGGGAGGAGACACCACCCGAAAAACAAGGCAAAAAAAAAAAAGAAAGAAAGATTAAGCACAGGAAGCCATTCAAACACAGCAGCTTGCAAGGAGCCGCCACAACGGTGGAATCCAGGAGTATGTGCCAAGGTGGGTGTCCAGGAAGGGAACCTGGTGGGGGGAACGGGAAGGCAACGTACAGAAGTGCCCCCTGCTCTCCCCACCACAGGGGTTGTGTCAGTGGGGAGCAGAACACCTGCTGTTGAGGGCGGCGTTGGCCCCCCCCCGGCAATGGTTTGCCAAAGAGACTTTACGCTGCTTTCTCTAACAACTGCACCCCCCCAACTCCTCCCGTACTATTATGATTACTTCTACTACTAGCAGTTGTAGCTTTGTTATCGCATTGCATTTCTATCCCACCTTTCTTCCTTTTGCCAGGAACTCAAGACAGCTTATGACTTCTCCTCCTCCCCATTATCCCCACAACAACAACCCTGTGAGGTAGGCTGGGCTGAGAGTCCCTCACAGGTCTTCGTGGCGAGCAGGGACTAGAACCCAGATCTCCGGAGTCCCGGTCCAGGACTCTGGGCCACGGCACCACGCCGGCTCTTCCATGCCCAGCTCCTGCCATTGGTGCGTTGCACTAGGGTGCAGGAAAGCCCCAGGAGTAGCCTTAATCCAGACACAGCTGTGCATCTCTGGGGCCAAATTTGTCATGGCCTTGCCCGGTCACTACCCCCTTGTAGCTCAGCGATAAGAGCCCAGGCTTTGCATGCAGGAGATCCCCAGAGCCACTAGGAAGGCCCGGGGTGCAGCTGAAAGGAAAAACAGACGGCAGCAGCTCACCAGCAGACCTTTCCAGAGTCTCCAGGACTCGAACCTGTGGCCGTCCGCATGGAAAACGGGGGCTCTGCCGCTGAGCCACGGGCCTGCCTGGGCTTGATGGACACACGGCCCGTTCTGCAGCACAGCAGCCTAGACGACCCACGTGAGGAGCCTACCTTGTTCTCCAGGCGCTCCAGCAGGCGCCTGTGATGCCTCTCACTCACCCCGGACCGGAGGATGTTGCGCAGGTTCCGCAGCATGGCCATGAAAGGCAGCTGCCCGCGGTCTGCAGGGGAGAAGGACAGACCGGGTGGGCACCGGAATCAGCCCCTGCTCAGAGGGCAAGCTCAGAGGCATTTGTGAGTTGGTAGTACATACTTTTGCCGAATAAATCAAAGCCAACATCTCTGCCCAGAAGAGACACATTCTGGGACACGCATAAATTGCGCACGTGCAAGTATTTCCTTAAAGCATTGCAAATATTTACATAGATTTTCCCCTTCAAAAATCCAAGGCAGTTAGCAACAGGATTAAGAGAAGAAAAAAGAACAGCAAATAAGCATGGAAAACCAATGCTTTTTAATACCATCAAGACCGCCAAGTCACAAAGCTATTTTGCTGAGTTTCTGAAGTCAAGCAATAAGAGAACCAAACAGAAGATGGATTCCAGAACTTGGGTGCTGTCACCAAAAAAGGCCCTCTCCATGGGACCAACCACTGTACCTCAGCCAGGAAACAGAGCAGGTCTCAGAGGAGGACCTGATCAAGGAGACTAGTTCCTATTTGGCTTCTAGAGTAAGGAAGTGCCTCACAGAAGTACAGTTAGATCCCTAACATATTGCTGGCAAAACTTGAGGTCTAGAAACTTACTTTTTTAAAAAATGGGGTGGGGGTGTGCAGTGTTGTTTCCAAAGAAGTACGAACGTGTCCACGGAAGCCAATATGCTATCTGGCATTTTCCTTGACATCCATCAAGATGCCCTTCCCCTTTCCACTTATTTCTCTTGAATTAACACATTTTATTACAGGCAGCTCAGATTGCTGTGAAAGAGGGTCATTCAGGCAGGAAACAATGGGTAGCACAGAGCTGTTTCGTGTGTTTGGGCCCAGTCCCCACCTCTCCCCTGTGCTCCCTCATCTTTCAGGCAGGCTACCTGTTCTTCTCCACACCTCTCATCTTGGGGGAGCTTTCATTGCTTCTCAAACTACAAAGTCAAAGCCAAAAAGTTCGCCTCCCCCATCTGAGAAGATCTACATTATAGGACTCAAACCAGTGCACATTTAGAAAGGAAAAGGCCTACAACTCCTCCAACTTTTCTCAGCACAGCAGGGGAATCCTGTGGTTTGTAAGGTTTTTTTCTGCCCTATCTCAACACGAACAGGACTGGAGCCTTAACAGAGATTCATTTTAAATCTTGGGCAAGAATTTTCACCATGGAAAGGTGGGTGACGCAACTTCTTTGCAACCACTGGATCGCCAAGACAAATTGTGTATGTTACCTTGAGTTCCTTGAAAGGAAAAAATGTGTGACAGGAAGGAAGAAAGGAAGGAAGAAGGACGGAAGGAAGGATGGAAGGAAGGAAGCCAGCCAGCCCGCTCAGGGTCCTTCCAACAAGGCTTACTGATCACCTCTGTAACGAGCTGAGAGAATCTTTAACCAGCACGAACTTCTTCAGCATCAGGTTCCAACAGAAGTGGTAAGCACAATAAAATGCAAAACAAGAACCTCTGAACTGTGCAGTCTAAACCTACCAATCAACTCTTCCCAAACCGCAGTTTTGTTCCCCCGTTGGCTGAGCTCCCGGTCCCAAGTCACTGGTTTTGGCAGTTTCATGCGCGTGCCAGCAAGTTTTGGGTCCCAGAGGCCTGGGAGGCGGCTTCGGGAGAAAGTGCGCAAATCTGAGGGATACCTGAAGAGCACAAAAGCAGCAGCAGCTGGGGGAAGGGTGTTCGTGGAAGGGAGACTGTGGTCCACCCGTGGCTGCATTTCCAGCAGACCACTGGGTGTGTGTTGGTACCATCTAACACAAGGGCCTTGCCCAGTAGCTTCCGTATATTCCAAACGGGAATCAGTTTTAATTAAAAGTTACGGTTGCTAGTCCTCATGGTTAGGGCCACAGAGAAAAACAGGAATGGGAAATGTGTAGCCCTCCAGATGTGCCTGGACTGCTTCTTCCACCTCTCCTCACCACTGGCTGTGCTTGCCAGGGCTGATGGGAAGCAATGGAGGGCACCAGTTCCTCTACCCTATTTGGAGAAGGTGTGTTGGTTGTACCCACTTAATCGTCCAAAAGCGAGGGGGCACTGCTGGCCAGGTGTTTCAGCAGCATGCAGGTGTGCTCACCTCTGCCCCAGGAGACTCATCACATGCTGGGCTGGCTCAGAGATGTGGAGGCGCTGGATCAAAGCCTTCAGAGAGAAACGGTCTTTGGGGGCTGCTGGACGGGCCCCCGACGGATCCAACTTCGGTCGATACTGCGGGGCACAAACCAGAATGGACTGGAAAATCTGAAAACCGCTTTGCGTCTTCACAGTAGTTCTGAAAGGGGACAGAATGCAACCCTTCCCTCTTGCACCCGCAAGACTTTGCCCTGTGCCCCAACTTTTTCTGGCCGAGCTCTCCACACTCACAGACTCTCGTGTGTGTGTGTGTGTGTGTGTGTGTGTGTGTGTGTGTGCGCGCGCGCGCACGCAGGAGGGAGGGAGGGAGGGAGGGAGGGAGGGAGGGAGGTGGGTAGAGGGGAGGAGGACATGGCCTAGGTTCCAGACCCCACCAGCCTCTATCCCCATCCCCACCCCCCGGAAGTGCTTACAATTTTCTCAAGAGCTTCTACTTTTTCTAAAACACAGTCATCCTGACCCAGGTTTGTCTGTTTCCAAGCATTCCAACGAGGGTTGTCTGGCTTCTGCTGAGAACACAAAATGGACAATACAGAACTCTGATGAATGGGCAACTTGATCCCCTCATATTGAAGTGGCACAGCTAACATGAGATACTGCAGATGAGCTTCTGTAGACATGCATTCCATATTTTGCCAATTCAAGTTTCCGGCCCTCAGGATCACAAGTATGCTGGAGACTTGTGATGATCCAAAGTTGATGATCACAGTATTCTCGAAATGGATGGGGCCAAGGATGAGCAGTAGCCCAAAAACTGCTGCCTATGGGGGTGGGAGAAATAGACAAGAGAGGGGCAGAGAAGGAGCAGCGCTCTGAGTCCAGGTTGTTGGGACAGACAAAGGCAAAGATGAGCTTTGTTCCCTGGAAACTGGTTGAAGTTGCGCTGGGAAGAAAGAGGCGTACCCAGCTGGAGAGCAGGGATGTGAAAATACCTGAAGGAGCTCCTTCTCTCGTTTTTTCCTGCTTGCTTACTTTTCTTTGGGGACCACCACTCGCAATGCCTACCAGAAAAATGGAATGCCCACCCAGGGGAGATCCCTCTGGCTCTTTACTGTACATGTTACACCACCAGGCCCAGACTCCACTCTAAAAGCAGGCATCCCATCTTTAATTTGCTGTTCAGATTATTAACTGGCTCTTTCAACAGGTTGATCTGCAATACGTTGGAATTTCATTTTAATGATGCTCAGTACTTTAATATTCTTATTGTTTTGGTTGTTCCTGTATTATTGTTCCAGGGTTTATAAAAGTATAAGCCACATTCTGAGGTTATCAGCCTGTTGGGCAAGATAGCCGCTTAATAAATAAACCCACCAACAAAACATGCAGATAAAGATTTGAGTTCTGGTATGAGTTAGTCTTCTCTGGGCCAAGATAGGTTTAGCTATCTCTCAAAGATGCTAAATTGGTGTTGAGGCTTTGAGGGCTGTTATCAGTAACAGAGATTATCACCACAAGATAAATTCCGGATACACAATTAGGGCCACCTTCTTTCCTCACAAGTTAAAAGATCAGAAAGGAAGGAAATCAGGTTCCCACCCCCCCACCCCCACCTAGTTCAGAGTTTACAAGTCATATAGATTCTTCAAAGACTGATTCCTATTCCTCATCTGGGGGCACCTTTCCACTCGGTATTTCAGAAAATAGTCATAGCGCCATAGAAACTTCTAATTCTGCTGCCCTTTGGGTCAATCCACCCACAGCCCAAACCTCCCTCACCTGCCCACTTCCCTCCCTCTCTGTACAGTCAGTGTACATTCCCCCACCCCACACATTTACATTAGTGCTCACTTTCCTCATAGGACCCCCATGGAGAATGTTCTCCTGCAACGAAATTCCCCTGAGCAGTTAGAACGTTTACGACTATTCATGGCATCCCAGCAGGTCAGCTAATGACAGAGCTCAGAGGAAAAGCTGGACGCAGGCTTCAAACATGCTTAGAAGCGCAAGAAAATTAACACAGACGCGCAAGGCAGAACCCTCACCTCACTGGTCTTTGGCCGTGGTCGTTTCTTCCCCTGGCTCTTGCGGGTATTATACTTGGCCAACTGGTATGGGCTGAACTGGCGGAACTTGTCGGTCATGGCGGCACGGAGGCAGGAAGGCATGGGAGCCAGAGCTTCTCCTTCTCCCGCTAGGCTCTGCACGTGGAACAGAAAGGGCGAAAAAGGGGGCCATCGGACCAGCCGGGGCAGCAAGAGAAAGCCCACCTTGTGCCGCACGGCACCGCCGGCTCTGCTGCCGGAGGACTCTGCCCAGAGCTGCAGTGGGCAAAAGGGAAAGGTGTGCGCCCTCTACCTGGTACAGCCGGGCCACCTCCATCCAGTCGGACGGCAGCTGCGTGGCATGGCAGAAGTAGCGCCGCAGGTGTGGCCGGCCGGGCGGGAGGAAGGCGGCGAGGGCCAGCAGGAAATTGGCCGCACTGCGGATGTTCAGCTCCTGGCGAGTGTACAGGGCAACCTGTGGAGGAGGCACGAGAGCGGATGTGGTGGCAGAGAGGAAGGGGAAACCCCGCAGGTAACTCGGGCGTTAAGGAGCTCCGGGGAACCTGAGCGCACCAGTATGCGCAGAGGAGCAGCCGCTTTGGCGATGCTCTCCACGTATCCTCACTGCCACATGTCCTGATGCAGAGAAGCTCATCAACAGCAAAGTGGGGGATTCCATATCTTCCAGATGCATGCTTCTAGTCCACAGGGATCAAATCCCCACTTGGCCCTGAAGCACACCAGACCGGCTACTCTCTCGCAGCCTAAGCAACAGACTACCTTGGCTACTCGTTGGAAATTATCCTATTGGCCATCATTATCAATTACGATTTGTATTTATTAAGTAATGCTATTAATACTATTGTTACTAGAAGTCCTCTGATAAAGGAGCACCAGGACTCTGTCAACAAAAAACACGAATTTATTGCATTTAGTAAATTCTCTGTGCTTCACACAGTTAGGATAGCATAAACAGCGTAACAGAAACTGGCCGCCAATTGGAAAGACTCACTCCTAACCTTCCACAGGAATGACAGACAAGAGTTGGCATTTAAATAAGTTACTGAAGGTACAATCTTATGCAAATTTGCAAGGATAAACTTGCAAACCAATAGCTGGCAAAATCTTGAGCTAAGCTGCCATCAGGTTTAGGGCACTATTCCACATAAGAGGGAAAAGACCCATGGCAGGCTGGGAAGTGCAGCTGGGTATACGGGGTGTTGCCTTCTTTGGACTTACACAAGATCACATCAATGGGGAGGAAAACACAACTATGCATAGATTTTCTGGGCGTCTGAACACCAAAAAGAAAGGTTAAGACCATCCCGCTAATACAGTGACCCTTGGACAATCCATGCTTTCTTGCAACAGAAAAACATCCTCCATTTGTAAAAGGAAGATTATGTAATATTTCTAACAAAACTGCTTCTAGTCATTGGACAATCAATCAGATTCAGGAGACAGAATGCCCAGAGGAGGGCTTTCTCTGCGGTGGCAGAGAAATTAAGATCATTAATTATTTTTTATTTCAGTCATGGGTTATTAGTTTTATCTTTGTTGGGGTATTTATGATCTTTTATATTGTTGTATTTATTGAACCTGTTTTGTAAGCCGTCCAGAGACGCACAGTGATTGGATGGGTTGGAAATATCCCAAATAAATAAAAAAAATAATTTCACAGAAACAAACTCTAATTTGGGCAAAGCTACAAGTTCGACCAAGGCGCAGCATTACCCATAATTCCTCACTGCCTGCGCAGGCTTTGGGTGCAACCCGGAAGTTCAGGCTCCCAGTACCCTGCCCTTCATACCTTTAAGATGAATTCCGGATCGTGCTCCGCTAGACTCTTGCATGTTTGCACAAGTGCTTCTTGCAGCGCACTCGGAGGCTTCCCAAACTTTGGCCCTTCTACCAGCGAGCAGCAGACCAAGTTTAATAATTGCAGCTAAACAGCAAGAAGGAAGAGAAATGAAAAATAAGGGGAGAGTCCCTTTCCCTGCACATTCCAAGATTCCGGCCCAACAGAGATGCCAGAGATACAGAGAAAGGGAAACCCCCAAAAAACTACTGAGAGCTGGATGTAAAAGCGGGAAGCTCATGTTGCAGGGACTGGCAACTGGCTACTTGCCTCTAGCAAAAGGATCATGGAGGAGAGGGCACCTGTCATGGGCTAACTGATCACTCGACAGATGAAACAAATCTACAAGCAAAAAGTCAGGACAAACGGTTCATCTTCAGCTGCATGGCCTGCATTGCATTATTAATTTTTCCCAGGAAAATGTATATCGTTGGTGCCTATTCAGCAAACAGCGGGTGTTACGACTGCCACCAGCTCTTACTTTATTCTTTTCCACATTCTGCTCTATGCTTTCAGCTGGCGATTCATCTCTCAAGGGATCTCTCTCCTCTTGCTGCACTTCCATCGGGTCGTCTTCAGGCATGGTTAGAATGTACTCCGGCATCGTGCCAGCCGAATCCATCTCATCCTCCTCCTGTCGCTGGACGGAAAGGGAAACAACAGCGGCTGTGCTTTTAGAGCGCAGGCCCCAAATTTGCTGCCTACCTCAATTTCCTTGGCAAATTATTTTTCTCTGCTTCACACCACTTTGCCTCCCAGGAAGCAAACGCAAAACCCCCTTACTACAGGCTCCTGTAAATTATTGGGGACTCCCGCAAGTCAATGGCACCCCATTTCCTTCTTTGCTTCCCTTTGAGAGTTCCTCAACTGCCCCCAATGTTCTGTGACATCCGGAGCACAATGCAAATGACCAGAGTCTTAGCTGGGCCATTCCAGTGCTGCTTCTAAATGGAGAGGCTGTTTTTTCCTAGCGCCCTCTGTCCTGCTGCCCAGCATCACCCCCTGCCCCAGAACCCCACAAGCAGCAGCAACTTAGCTAAGGCTATGGGTGGCCCCACTCCACCGCCCACTAAGCAGCACTGTGAGTTGCAGCTGGCTGGAATGTCAACACGCAAGCACCATGCAACCCGTGGCTGGCTATGCAATCGTGTCTAATGATGAAGTAGCCAATTCAGTGAAACTCCTGACCAGGCAAAAGAGGCCGTCTGCCGTTGCCCATTCCTCTATTCCAAGGAGCAGAACTGTGGGCCACAGGCCACATCCAGCCTATGCAGGGCCCAGATTCATTTCCCTGGACGGCTGCATCTCCCTCTGCCTCACGATGTGACTATGTGCTGGGTTCTGTGCAGCCCCTTCCCCATTCTGAAAGGCCTCTGCTAGGGCTTAGCTAGGGGCAGTAAGAATTGCAAGCTAATATATGCTGATGTTTTTAGTATTTTGGCTGCATTCCCAGTCTGCCTTCAACTTTGAGAAGCCCCAAGGAGTTCTCCTAAATGGAATTCACCCTCCAGGCTGGAAGGTGTCCAAACTCCCTTCTCTGTCTTGATCTACATTTAAAGTCAGAACTTCAGGAAGAGCAGAGTGGTGTGTCATTGCTGGAATGCCAACATGCAGGCATGATGGCATCTTAGAATTGGCTGCGCAATCACAACATGCCACTGGCCAATGTCACCATCAGATGAAACAGCTGACCAATCAAAATAGGCTGTTTGCTGCTGTGGTGGCACATCAGGCAGCCTCTGCCTCTTTTCTGAGAACACGGGTGAAACCAATAATTTCGCTAGCCATGGAAGTCACGGCCACACCTGGTTGTCCTAGTGAGGTGTGGTTTCGCAACCCCTTTGCTCACGTAAAAACACAACAACCCCAACCCAGGCAATCATCTGCAAGTGATGGGGCCCTGTGGATTTAGTTCAGTGTTCCCCAACCTGGCATCCTCCAGATGTTTTGGAGTACCAAGCCCATCATCCCTGACCCTTGGTCCTGCTAGATAGAGCTGATGAGGAGTTCTAGCCAAAAGCACCTGCCAGGGAAAGCTGCTGTTTCTGGAAATACCGAGGAAGGCAAAGTCTCAACATTTTTACAAGTAAAATCTCCTAGCCATACAAGACACTTCTTTGCCCCAGAAAGCCTTCCCTTCCCCTTCCCCACCCCGCCCCCTGCTTCAAGGAATCAGAGTCCCCCATACCGGAGAGCTCTCTCACACCCAACCCTGGCCTGGCCTGCACAATCTCTGTGGGTTAAACAGACCCACTTGTTAACTGGACTAAACAGGCCCATGCACAGACCCCATGGCTTGCGAAGGCCATGCTGGCTGCCATTTGCCACTTCATTCACCAAGGCGCTGCTTGTCCCAACCTGGTCACATGTTGGAGGCAGAAGCAATCGTCAACCAGCCAAAAAACAAGCCATGGGTTATGTGCAGGTCACATTCCCTTCCAATAAGCCAGGGTGTGCAGGTTCAGACGGCAAGCCCACAATGGCTTATTTAACATGCAGTAACCATGTTGTTGCCACAACTGCATCCCAGCTACCGATCGCTGTTTTTTAATCATCCTCGGCTCAAATTCAGCCTTACTCTTGGTGGCGGCCGCTCCAGTTCACTGCAGGGTTCATGAGAGTCATTCTGGGCTCTGGGACTTGCAGGCAGCCCTGCAGGCATCTGGCCACAGAGTGTTTCCTGGTGGTCCCTCTGGAAAGGGGGCCGTGGAACCAGCGCCTTTGAGGGAGCCAGCTGGGGAGCGGAGGGGACAATAGGCTTCAGCAGGCGAGCTCTGGAGTCCTCCAGCCCCCGAAGCGTGAGGGTGCAAGAGGTGGCCTGCTTCAGCAAGGGCTTCTCCAACCACAGCGGGCTGGGTTCAGGGAAGGCTGGACAGGTCTGCAGTGTCTTGGCCTCGGCCACCAGGCATGGAGCTGTCTGAAAGAAGACCAAATAATATGCAGAATGTGAAGTAGGATCCAGGAGATACAGTTTTACCTTTCAGTCCCCTGCACTGGGGATGCAAAACCACCAACCTGAATGATTCTTCAGCAGGGACACAGAGCTTCCTTAGGCACCTCCAGGGGGTGGGGCTTGCCCTCTAAGCCCCACCCCCAGAGGAATCCCTACTGTTACCTCCAGTCTAATTCCCAGGAATTTCCCGGCACATCACCCTCCTTCCCATAGGAGGCCCATAGCCAGCACACACCTCAACTGGGGCCAGGACACTCGGCTTGGGCGGGAAGAAGGGAAGCACCTTGGATCTCAAAGCATGCCGATGCAGTCAGGTGTACAACAGGGTTCGGCTTTTCTGCACCTGTTTTACTTCGGGCTGGAGAGGAGCATGTGGGACCATTTCCTTACATCAATGTCACCTCTGCCCATAAGAACCCAGTATAGCAGGGACAGGGTCCAAGTCTAGTATTTTCCTGCACTGCACCAGGTTTGTTTGTTTGTTTGTTCTAAAGGCTCTGTCTGCCACCTAGAATGGTACAATTCCACTGTCCAAATATAGAAAGCCAAACATTGACTAGTAAGTCTGCATCTGAACAGTAGACTCTCAACAAGCCCGTGTCCCACACCCATGGCCTGGACTTCGTTTTATAGGTGGCAACACACAGCGAAGGATGCTAAGATGCAGGGAAGACATTATTCCCCATCTAAAATGGCCAAGCTATCCCAGAATGCTTCTTGGCAGAAGCAGCAGCCATGCTTCGTGATGAGACCAAGGAAGGGGTCAAGGGGAGGCATGCTGGGGGCAGCCCAAGAGCTGCCCACTAACCATCTACGAAACCCATAGGAGATGTCCACACTCCGGTTCTTTCTACAATGGGAGGGCAAGCAATGCAGGAGTTCGGAATTGTAATGCTTGTTAAAGCAGAGCAGATCCTTGCAGACCCCTGGGAGTCTCTGCAAACCTTTTTCACCATTACGTTGCTGTGCTCCAGTTCCTTGTCACCTCCCGATACCATCTCATCTTCTGCAGAGTGATTGGCATCGGTACATGAGGTGCAAAAGCTGTTTTCATGCAAGGAACCCATATGATTTACCCCACCAGCATCCCTCTGCTAGGGGACAAAGGGAAACATTAATCTAAACTGAGTTGCATTTAAACCTCCCGGCCGTTTAACCTCAGGATGGCCAAATTCCTTTCTGCAAAAGCTCCCAGGCCCCACTTCCAGTTGTGGGCAAGCCGAGCATCAGTAGGAGCAGGGCCCAAATACCACAAAGACCTATTTATTGTAGCTTAGTCCCTGCTGACAGTAAGTCAGTCTTAAGAGAGGCATTCCAGCTGCTCAGAAGGGGGGAAGAGCAGGGAGGCCACCAAACAACGGATGGTTCAGAGAAAGGGGATGGGGTTAAAAGCAGGGCCATGCAGGGACTGCAGGATTTGACCCCCAAGCCTAGTGGCTCCCTGCCCCTGAAAAATACTGATTTGTGGCAAACCTGTGACTTCCTATCACCCACAAAACATAGACATCTCCCAGGATTCCTGAGCAAGTAAGAGAAGGGGATGTGACAGGTATACCCATCATGAGATGCAACATGCATGTGTAAATAAGTCATCCTTGTTTTCTCTCTTTTCTGCAAGGTCTTGGCCCTACCTGAGCCTTCTCAGGGATGGAGCCGGCCGGTCTTCCACCTTGGATGCCTGGAGCATATGGCACCACTGAGTAGTCCGGTCTGCCCTGGGTGCTGAGAGGTTTCAGACTGGTTAACCACGAGGCAGAAGTATTTATGGGTTGCAACAGTCGGGCCCGGGATTTCTCCAGGTTTTGGAGGGGAAGGGAAGCAGGGCAGCATGTCTGAAGTGGACGCTTCTCCAAGGAAGCCATAGCCCTCCTGGACTCTCCACAACCTGTGCGGAAGAAAACAAGACAGCATGTGAGCACTGCTGGTCCATATGGATAAGTAACAATTATAAAGCAAGTTCTTTAAAGGGTGCCTGTCCTTGGATTTCTAAGCCACCGAGAGCTGGTGTGGTGTAGTGGTTAAGAGTGTGAAACTGGGACTCAGGGGATCTGGGTTCCAGTCCCTGCTTGGCCATGGGGCCACCTGGATGACTATGGGCCAGTCACAGACTCTCAGCCCAACCTACCTCACAGGGTTGTTGTTGTGGGGATAAGTTGGAGGAGGAGAATGATGTAAGCTGCCTTGAGCCCTTTGTAGAAAAAAGGCAGGATATAAATTGAAAAATAAATAAAAATGAAAAAATAAAAATACCACCACCACCACTAATAATAATAATAATAATAGAGGCAAACCTGGTTCTAAAGGAGAAATATTCCACAAGAGCAAAAGATATAAAAACAGTTGATTGGAATTGTTGTCTGGGGGTTAAGATTGAGAGCAGAGGGTTGTTGTGGGGATAAGATTGAGAGCAGCAGGAAGAGAATGATGTGAGCCACTATGGATTCTTTAAAAAAAGAAAAAAGGTGGGATATAAAT